TAATTATACTCTTATTAGATTACACTCTGATGGGCTGTACTTCATTTGATCTACATTTGGCAGTACAACAATAATCAGGCAACTTAAAATGGAAATTGTTTGCACTCAAAGAACGGTGGGCTTCATTTGTTTGCAAGCCAGTTTTTGGTTTCACTTACTTGTCTTTCACATGACAAATCAAAGGAAGGTTTCTCATCCTGACTAACCTCTGTACGACAGAGAGCTTACACAAACCTTTCACATGACAGTGAAATGTCGTCATGTTTATGGTTGTAAAACGTGACAAAATGTGGAAAATTCTTTTGCAAGGGACTGTAAATGAAAAATCTTAAATTAGCCAAACAAAACCTACATTTGATGTTTGTGATAGCAGACATAAGTGTTCTTCTGCAATTTTGAGTAGCTTGTTTAGTTCCCACTGTGGCTCTTTCTTCACATGACTGACTCCTGTAGACTGCACATAAACAATGAGAGAGCGCAATAGAGGAAATACAGGAAGTAAGTGGAAGTAATGATGGTGAAGGGGGGGAAGAGGGGTCGATGAAAGAGACCACAGAGCAGACTGTTTTTAGTGGGTTAGTGGAGCGCAGCCCTTGATTTACTGTGACCAGACCAATGCTTACCACAACGCAACATGTGTGCCTCCAATCAGTGCACTGCAGAACCCTTTGAGAGCTCTTTGTATTTGTATAAGAAGCAGACCCATTCTATGCTGTTTTGTTTAGACTTTCTATAGTCCAAGTCATCTTAGATTAATTAATTTATGGCCACAAATACAGTTTTCAATTAGCCTACATTTGTCCCAATCCCATGTTTATGTTTCATTCTTTTAATGAAACGGTTACAAATCATGTTCCCAGCCAACTCATTTATTTCTATGTACTTTGTAGAAAGAGATTCTTATTTCATGCTTACATTTTCGCCACTGGGAGCAGAGGTTGTTAATTCTAAAAGTTATGGGAAAACCTCTGTGATGGTACTGTTTTATATTTTATGCAAATGTTTTATTTTTCTCCTTTAAATAAAATCTATATCTTGAGCTTATTGGGTAAGAACAAAATATAAACCTAGGCATAACAAATAACAAAGAAATATATAATTAATTTGATATGAGGATCATTAACTCTATAATAGCTCTGAAAGTAAGATACATATTTAGCTTACTATATAAAACAAATTCTATGATACACTCTAGTGAAAATGATATTTAAATGATCTTTAGGTTCAATTATTAACAGTTTTAGCATCATGAGATTATGGGCTACCTACATGAGGTACTAAATTGCACATTCTGATATTATTGCACATTATTGCCGCTGATGAATGACATGCATGGTCAGCAGTGCTCCTCAGTCTCTATTGTTCATTGTACTGTCTGACCGCTGCCGGGAGGAAAGCCTTGCTGAATCTCTCAGACACACAGCAGTGGTGGATCAGCCTGTCACTGAAGCTGTGACAGAGATTTTACTTTCTTTATTAGGTTGCTTTACTTCAAGTTATCAGGGAAAGGAGTACATTTAAAGTGATCATGGCTGATTTAGAGTAGCCTTTACTGCTGCCCATCCTATTATTTGGTGCCAATAATATAGCTCTAGTCCCCTTTTCATTCATTTCCTTTATGTACCGCTGCCAGTGAAGCCTGCTCTCTTCTTGCAGCTCAGGATAAGTGGCACCAGACAGGCCTTATAAGGAGTGGTTAGATCATTGGCCACACTGTAAGTAAAGCAGAACCATATGAGCGTGTGTGTGTGTGTGTGTGTGTGTGTGTGTGTGTGTGTGTGTGTCCAGGCGCGGTAGGTAACCAGAGAACAGAAGCCTGCTGCTAATTGTTGTGAGGAGGTCACATTAAATGGTCATGATAAACACACATTGATACTGTCCCTTTTCTAGCTCCACAGTCTGTGTCTATACCAGTTCTAGCGTGGGCCTTATTATTAATGCTAGGGCTAAATTATGACTTGATTTTGGTGACTGATGTAAACTTTAAGTGAAGAACATTTATAGATTTACCCATCAAACTTGTCTAATGACCATGAACAGTAGCTTTCATCGAACTTGATTGAACTGGTCAGTTCTTGTGTAATCTTTATCTCTAAAAGAATGACTAGTGTGCCTTCACATTCAAAGGTACAGACAGCATTCTATCTATATAATTATGGTAAACTGCGTCTGCAAAGTATAATAGCATGTCCAGTGTGAGTGATCTGTTCATCTTCAAGTGCATAATAACTCAGTTTGTTAAAATGTCACATACAGTACGCTTGATAACTAGAAACACAAGTTCTTTAATAACTGTAATTTAACGCCATTATTTCAAGTGTTTTATATGAAATTTGCTTATATTACAAACTTTGCATACTCCAAATACTTTTTTAACTGAAGTCATTTCTTTGGCCACTACTTTGCACTTCTACACTTGAGTGGCTTTAATAATCTTTTAATTTCTGGACTCCTGGTGCATCAGTGTGAGAACTCTTAAGTATTGGTCTTAGGGATGTAAATCGGTGACCGTTTAACCGGTGGTTGACCGTCACAGCGTTAACCGGTCAAAGCTGTCGGTTAAAAAAGAGAAAAGGGGGAGAGGGGAGGTCTCTTCATAACGCTATTTTAAGCCCTATTTGCACGATGTGACGAGCGGGTCCCTATCTAGCTGTGTGCGCCAATGTAACAGTAAACTCTGGGCCAACTCTCACGCCGTACGCGCCACATATGCACGCACACATGTACACGCACACACACACACACACACACACACACACACACACACATTCCCCCCCCCTCCATTGACACGTAACATCCACACGCATCATCTCTCCCCTCTGTTACCGCCTGCTAGTTGCACAGTGGTGCGGGTCAGAACTACATTGGAGCTTATATTTACACACACATACATACATGTATTGTACACACACACATACCGGTCTGTCGCGCTCCTCTGTGTCACGGAGCCCAAAGCATTCTTGCAAATACACGGCTCCAGTCAAACCACATGGACCATGTTTGTGCTGCTGGTCCTTGGCATCAGCTCCACACTGATCACTTTTAAACTTTAGCGGAGACCTCGTCACTCGCTGCCCTGACCATGTGGACGAGCTGTCTTTTGCTTAAAAATGCTTTAAGCCGCAGCACAGAAGAATGGGAAGATTAAAACAGCAGTTCTCTGTGCGCAAAGGTGCCCAAGCTGTTGCGGGTTTTGGTGCCGCTGTCTCCGCTCTGATCCATTAGAATGCTCAGCTGCACATATGAAAAGTACGCAGCTCGAAATGGCTGTTATTTCAAAGAACGTGGACTATTTTAAACTACGCGGTTAACCGATTTCAACCGGTTAATGAGGAACGGTGGTCGGTCATGAAAATTCATAGTTTTTTACATCCCTAATTGGTCTGTACCGATCCTGGAGAGAGGAGCATCTTTTCACTGTAGTTTTGATGATTTTATCAGATCTCTCCTTCTCAAACTCTCGTTCTCAAACTCTCCTTCCCTCTTCCTTTCTTCCGAGCCTCTCTCTCCCATCTTCCTTACTCAGCGCTCCTGGAATGTACAGATGTTTCCTTTTGGGAATGGGCGTCTTTTCACACACACATACACAAGCACAAAGAGGAGAAAATATTGCACTCTTCCGTGTTTCTATTTAGTCTGTTTTTACTGTATGGCTGGCATGGGAACATAATCTCATTATCTTAATGAAATTGTGGTCTCAGCTTCTTGAGTGTTAAGTCTGAAGTTATTACATTCCTCTAGAATACTTTTAGTCTCTTTATTGAGAGTTGAGTAAAAAATGTATTCTATTTTGAATTGAAGTTGATTCGATAAATCCAAATCGGAGCAAGGCTACACTAAGCTACAGGGTAGATTTTTTTGTGGAAAGTTTGTTTATAGGCAGCTCATCTTTTTCATTTGTGGCTCTACATTGTAGATGTATTTTGAAATTATTACTTATATATAAAATCAGCTTGATCAAAATGTCAACAGTAATGCTTGAATTTAAATATAATCAATAACAAGGAAGGCTTGTAGACTAATGTGCCTCTGCTGACTTTTACTACTACTTAATAAAATAAATAATAATACATTATTATTAAATAACATGGTTGTCTTATGTTGTTATTGTTTACCATCAGTGCTTGCAATATAATCATATTGAATTATCCTGGACCTCGCCATTTTAAAGAGTAAAGGTGCACTTTATCAATCCCCATAGGGCAATTCATCCTCTGCATTTGACCCATCCTGATGCCAATAGGGCTTACGTCAGGAGCAGTGATCGCCGTAGTACAGCGCCCGGGAACCCATCTCCAGATGTTGATGCTTGGATTAGTTAGGACTACCAGCTGAAGGATTTTAGTGTACCTTTTGTGGTTGTATCCTGGAGAAGAAAAAAATATTTGTCAGTTTAACTACTGTTCAAGGCTATTGTAAGTTGGATACTATGAAGAACAAACATTATTTACTGGGGTTGAGTTGCCTTGTGTTAATCCAAACCAAACAACAAAATGTCTAAAATCAGATTAATCATGAAATGGAATATATGAGATAAATGGTGTTTTTTGTAAAATTATTATTCCTAATTTTTTCCCTTGTTTATATTGTAATATTTGTCTAAATACAGAACTGATTCTCTATTTAAACGGACATAAGAACATTTGTAACTTTACTTTAGGGGAGTGTTGAAAGCTGGGCATTTCTGCACGAGTAACTATAATGACTATAATCAATGTACCTATAGTCTTGGATTCTTCTTTTTGTGTCTTTTTCCCATTTACTATATGGATGCCAACATTGCGGAGGAGATGTTCGCTTTATGTGTTTGTTTTATGCTCATTTCCATTTTACTAAATGCATATTATGTCATCCATAATTAACTTATCAAAAGCTGTGACAAGGGATAATTTTCCACAGTATACTTAATGAGCCCCTAGAAAATGGTGCCGGAGATCGACATACATAATGTTCACACTGTGTCATCTCATAATGATTTTTATATTCTCCTCCTTCTGCAGAGACCTGTCCAAAAACCAAATCTCCTCCCTTGACACCAGCCTCCTCGATCGGCTGACTGGTCTCCGCGAGCTGTGAGTAAAAATCACTCCCATCATAAATGTATATATTACATTTATATGTCCTTTATATGTCCTTTATGTCCTGACAGATATCTGCAGGGAAACCGGATCAATGTTCTGCCCAGAGGCGTCTTCTGCTGTGGGCCCCTGTCGGTGCTGTAAGTAGTAGGAGTCAATCACTATGGTTTTATCAGAGCCGATACGGATAATTACCGATATCGACAAGGAGGCAATAACCGATACATGGAGCCAAGTGAAAATACTGCTTTCAAATAATTTTATAATTCAAACTTTTAATCTAGCATGTTTATACTTACCATAACAAATGAAGAATAGGACAAACATAGTAAACCGTGAAAAGACTGGATGTGTAGATAGATCTCCAACAGAAGCTGACTTTGTATTTTATTGTGTCCTTTTGTTTAAGTTGATTATGTACAAAATAAATAAACTAAACTAAGCTAAGACACAGTTACAGTTATTAGGACTCTGTAGCAGTAGTAGGACTGTGTTACAAGGCACAGCTTTGTTTTTATTTTAGTTGTGTTATCATTATACATTATTATGATTTGACTATAGTAAAAAGTAAACCCCTAGTAGTGACCCTGTGATAAAAAAAAATGAAAATGTATTATTGAAAATACCTCAATGTTGATATTGTGGTAGATATTGTTAGTTCTGTCTCTCTCTGTAATCATTCATGCAAAAAAACTGCTATTTTTTCCTGTAAATAGAAGGCTCAGATACTGTGTCTCGTTTCAGAAATATAAACTGCAGAGTCTCCCCCTCTTCCTACGATTAGCTTATTTCTTCCACCCATTTAGCCGTGGTGAGCGAGCACTGGTGGTTTCCATCAGGCCTTTCCAAAACCACCATACAACGGCCCCATTATAAAGCTGACTGCACACAAACGGGAGGGAGAGGGAAATGGGACAAAAGTCACAGCAGTTTAATTAAGATCCTATAAACGCAGACATCAAACATCTTTCTGAGTTTGAATTGTGTTTTTATTATTGAGGATTGATTGTTATATACTGTGAGTGTAATAGTAGTTTAGCCAGAGCAAATAAAATATTGTATTTCATTGATTAAGTTATGTAAAAAATAAGACACTTTTTCCTCTTAACTCTGTCATGTTGGATTTAAATTATGTCAATCTGGGGAAACTAGATTGTTGCAGTTACTTAACTTTATTAATACATTCTTTAGAGTGGCCTAATGTTGTCCTTAGGCAGATGTCAAAAAGTCAAAAGCAACAGTCAATGCAACTGATTCAAAAACGTATCAGACACTTTAACATAGTTTGTGTTGTATTTAGGTATATTTTATCAAACAGCAAACTTAATGATAAAACCAATCTTTGTAACTTTGTGCTTTTGCCCCCACATTTTACACTGTCATCTATAACACTGGCTATTTCACATTCTCTTTGTATTTTTCTTCTTTTATTCTTTCAGAGATCTGAGCAACAACCAGATCACCACAGTGAAGGAGCAAATATGTGACAATCTGTGCAATTTAACGCAAATGTAAGTGCCCACAGGAGGAGCAAGAACCTGAGGTGAAATCCATGCATTTTCTACGTTCAGTCGAGCACATTCACATTCATTCCGCCTATACCCAAGGTGAATGTAAATCTATATTGGGGTCGAGTGGGAGAACGGTAATTATTACTCCTCATTGCGTATTGTGGGAAACACGGTGTGTATCATTAGTGGTTATGGAGAATTCTTACATTAGTTTCATGCTCAATCAATATCATAACCACCTCATTTCTTTCAAAGGGGATATTTTTTGTAATTATTCTCCCGCTGAAAATAAGTTTGACGACTGTTTGTCAATTTGAAACATAAGGTTGACTCTGCTTTTATTGCTCAAGAACAGCATTACAAATATCCACTTTTATTGTCATTCATACTGTAAAAGACATACACTTAATTGACTGCATCTGGTGTCTCTTTTTATATTCCCAATCTCTTATAATATGGACCAATTTACTAATAAATGTTAATAATGTAAGTGATTGTCTGCAGTTTATCAGAAAGAGAGACAGAGGTACTTGATTTTTTTTTTAAACGACGCAAGCTCCCTCCCCCTTCCTTTCTGATTGGTCTACGCCTATGTTTCCGTAACAAATTTGAATGTTAATGAGAGAACACATTATACATATACATTATTAATACACATGCACGGAGGTTTTCAGAATGATTTGTTAACGTTTTCATGAAAAATATTACGTTTTTTATGCACAAAAAAAGCGATCGCGGCAAACCCGGAATTAGCTATTATCATTGATTGAACCTTATAGGACACATCTGCAGAGGATCTGATTATGGATATAGGTTCAGTATATACATAAGTACCTCAGCGCGGATGTTCAGAATTCTTTGTTCAGTTTTCATGTAGTTCCAGAGCCTAATGGAGGCTTGATTCGGAGGCTCCGTGAAAACAAACAACTGAGCATGAGCAGCTACGAGCATCAGCGCCGATGATTGACAGCCCTTGGCATCACTTGGTTGGTTAACGTGGACGGCATTGTGGATTCTGAGCTATAGCTAAGAGAAGGGAAGGCGGGACTTACCCGTAATATTAGAAATAATAAAATGACTTATTTTATATCAATATTTAAGGCCAGGAGGTCATTTTAATACAATTCTTAAAATGTTTAATTCATCTAGAGTTACAGACACTTTATTTATTTCATCGATCTTAGTCTAGAGCTATAGGCCTGATGCTTCACTGGTTTTAGTTTTGCTCCTTTGCATATGGTGATATCTTCTATGATTTAAGATATCATTTCCTTTCATCATTGTGAGCTGTTTGTGGGTAGTTGAATCAAACTACAAATGATGGGCCCCTAAAACTGTCATGGGGAGAGGTGAATGAAGGACTCAAAATGCAGGAAATGCCAAAATAAAAATAATTTAATGATGAAAAAACAAAAGTGTAGATGAAAACAAACTCAAAAATCCCAAACCACAAGGAACCAAGAACGGAACGGACAAAGACATGAACAAGACAATGGACCAGCAACAAGAGGAGAGAAGCACAGGCTACATATAGACACAGACACAGGTGAAACACATCAGGGCGGGGCAGAACAATCAACCCAGGGGAACAAGACAGGAAGCAAAACTAAAACCAACTGACGTCAAAATAAAACCAAAATACGAAAATAAAATCCACACCACGACAAGATCACCTGCTTGAGTTAAAATGCTTTTTGTGGTTCTTTTGAAAGACAAGTTTAGATATATTAATGTTAACATGTTTCGGCTGCAGAGCTGCGAGCCATCTTCAGAACTATCACCTTTGATGACATATCATTTATCAGCTGATGGGACTTCCTGAGTAGGCGTGGTCAGCCTGATTGACCTGACGAAAACAACAGATACAAATGCTGGATCAAGGAGGCCATTGAAATCAGAAAGCGGGGCAACAACAGCATCAATTAAGATGAGGGAGCCTTCCTCCTGTCCCACACATGGGACACCCTCCTCCAGAGACCACGCCTACTCAGGAAGTAACATCAGCTGAAAAATGACACATCACCAAGTTCTGAAGATGGCGATGTCTATCTTTTGGCTTTTTGAGCCAAAATATACATGTTGTACAGATCCTCCCTGTACCTCTTTGTTTGTTTTTTCCTTCATGTGTTGCCCATGTGTGGGTTCAGTGATTTCTGTTTCGTGCAGAATGTTATCATTTGTTTTGTTTGGCTCAAGATAAAGTATTCAATCAATCAATCTCTCACCTGCAATGGAGTTAAGCAAGCAACTTAACTTACAAGCTAAATTACTATTCGTCACTCCAAGCCAATATCCTGATTGTGAGTTTTAATTGAATGAATACGTTTATAGTGTATTCAATTGAGGTACAGAGAAAATAAGTTATCTCCTTCGAGCAGGTAGCAGACCCCATTATAAAAGTTGTGCCATTAAACACATGACTAATTTGGAATTACTCAAAATGGAATATATTTTAAAGTGTGTGTTTGCTTCCACAGCGATCTTAGCAGTAATCCCTTTGAGTGTGACTGTAAACTCTTCCGACTGGTGAGCTGGCTCCAGAAGAAGGGGGTCCGGGTGCGGCGGCCCGAATCCATGCTCTGTAACCACCCGTCTGAGCTCCACCACCACCCTCTGCTCAACATCAGTCAGCTCACCTGCGGTACATCTACACAGAAAATCCATCCATCCAAACAAGGGCTAACATGACACAGAAAAACAACCACAACCCATTTTAAAACTCCTACAAAGATGTGGTGATAAGATGATTTCTTAATTTCTCATAAAAGAGTAAAACCATTAAAGCTGGGGTTTTGAGTTTTACACTCAGCAGGGTTCAATTGCACCTTCAATTGAGGCCGTTCTGTGTAGAGTCTATGTGTGCTATATATATATAAATATTACTGATTTACTTCATTACCTAACTTGCAAATCTCGAATAATGGAATACAATCCATGTAACTTGCTCTCAAAACACTTAGGCTCTTTCACGAGTTGTCACATGCCAGTGTTTTTGACCTTTCTCACATCTTTAGATTAGATTTTTCCGATAGAAAGAAGAAAAAGAGAGGACCGCCCTCACTCAGCCAATCAGCTCTTGCCCCAAAGTGTCAAAAAGGGACTCACTCAAAGACATACCAAATACATTTTCTGTTTCCTGTGTAGGTATGAACTATGCAGCCTGTTTGGAGGATAGCAGCAGTGGAGCAGGAGGCCGCACGGAGCTTGTGATCTTCTCCTCGTCAACTCCGGGAAACTTCAGCCGGGAGCACTGCACTGGACTGTGTCTGACCTCGTCCCATCGTTACGGGGGACTAGGGGCCCGCAAGGAGTGTCTATGCAGCACAAACTCTGAACCCAACTTCATCAGCGAGTCCCAGTGCTCTGCGGCCTGCACCAACCCACAAGTCATGGAGGTAAAATCATCTATACTGAGCTAAAGAATGATAACCTGAATGGTGATGTTGAGAGCTACACTATGATAATAAAAGGTCTTTTCAAACCCATATCCAAAGCTTCCCTGAGTTCAGTGGCGGCTGGTGGAATTTTCTACTGGGGGGGCTATGAATATGATGACTCGATATAAATGCCCCACAGAATTTGACACAGTCTATTATTTTTGATAGGATGTACCTATTCTTGTCAACCTCCTCATTGTGCTTTCTGATCCCTACCCTGTAGCTTTCATCCAGCTGGGATGAAATATTTATCTTCCCAAACATAGCTAATTTGAGGGCATTTTGCATGTGGATACCAGTCTGCTCATGCTTCTTTTCCTTTTCTAAAAAGTGCTTCAGATCAGTCATACCTGTCTTGATCCATGCTGGGTCAGATCCTGATGTTTGAAACAAGAGGCATGGAAAGCAAAATAAAGCATTAGCCTCACTACATGCTGCTAGCCAAGATTTGGCGCTGAACCAGGTCCTGGAAAAAGTACGAGTGTACCGTCTCCCCCTGTCGCTGGACTGCTGACTAATGGTAATATTTGGCTGATCAGGTCCAAGCTCTTTAACCTCAACCTTCTCCTGGTATGATCTTCTCTCAAACGGTATTGTTTTGAGTGATCTAACTGAATTATTCTTTTTCTCGTTCTCCATTTTGCGTCTCTTTACGTTCGTCTCAAACTCCCACAGCTTGACCTGTCAATCACTGTAAACGGACGTCACAGACAGTGACAGTACAGGTCGCGGGCGATCCCGCCCCCTCAGGGCGCACTTCTCCTGCGCCCCCAAATCGTCTTATCTCTTGCATTGAAGAGGAGCTACTGCGCATGTACAACTTTTAACGAGAGTCCATAGACGCCTCAGGGCGCAATCTTTTGCGCCCTGAGGCGGAAATACGTCCTCAGTCCGACACAGACAACGCTGATGAGCTTAATCAATCCAACTCAGCATAAACTATAAAGTATTTCTTCCACATCTGAAATAAAACACACATACATTTCGAAATATTTTAATGTTATTATTTTTTTTTACGTTTTATTCAAGGTAACATGGCAAGTTGTGAGTGGTGGGGCGGCGCCCTAGCGCCCTCTATTGGCCGGCCGCCACTGCCTGAGTTACTGCCAAGACTGCAGTTCTCTGAGTTGTTAACAGACACAAAGACCTGCACTAGGAGAAAAAAAATCCTCACACACTTTTTTTTATCATCCTAATGTGCAGTCATATTTTATCATGTGCTCCTACAACAATGTGCAAGAGTGTTATTGTTTGAAACCTTACATATTCTACATAATGGATTTGAAGATGTGGTAATTCTGTCTTTGATATTGTGATAATCTATGACACCCTTGCCTCATTATTATCATTATTATAATATATTTACTACATTTTCCATCTCAGTATTTGTTAGGGTTAGGCTTTATACATCAAAGTCACAGCTCTACCACAGATATAGAGTTTGTGACGCATGGATAATGTTTTTCTTTGAGGAAAATTATGATGATTCCAAAATTGGAGTATCATCTGCATATCACAGATTCAGATGATACAATTGGAGCGTGGGTAAAAACATTGAGAGCAATCGCATTAATCACAAAAACAACCTTGAGCTTATATGACAAGTAAAGCTGTGACATGTTGCATGGTATGTCTCCTTTAAAGACCTTATGACGGGTTTGATTTATTTAGAAATACAGTTTTAATACCATTTTATATTAGAAGAGAACTACTAAAGGTTTCAAAATCAGTTGTTGTTTTTTTTGTCTGATCCCCCCCAAATCGAAATAACCCCATAGCAACGCCCTTAGAAACGAAAAAACTTCACAGCCCTTGGTGACGTCAGAACGGGTACGTTTCAACGCTGTAAGTTGTTTACAATTTGGTATTCGTTCTTTTTTTGCGGATATTCAAGATGACAAGGCCGTGTACAGCGAGTCTAAAGTAACTACTAGAATGTAACATTTCATTGTCACTGAGATAGTCCAGTGGTTGTGTCGATGGACTGCCAATCCAGATACTTGGGTTCAATTCCCACCTTGGACACTTTTTCACACTCAAAACGGCAATTTATGTGTAGTGAGCAATTGTCACCTGTAGAGGGCAGTATTGTGTTGGGCATCAGTGGAGAGAAGAGAGAAAAGGCAGTCCTGTGGCATAGATCCATGGTTTTCAATGCATGGGTGTAACCCGATATGACGTCACACACAGGTTAGAGCATAGACAACTTAAATTCATGAAAAACACGTTCTTTTTATAAAATATAGGATTTTTTTTGCCGGAATCTCTTTCAAATTGACATTGTCATGCAATTTTGATATCCACTATTTTTTTTTTAAAAACCCGTCATAAGGTCTTTAAATGAATTCTGTTTAAAATCATTAGGAAGTTTTTTTTGTTGCCTTAATAGTAATAAAAAAATTAAACAGCATTGTTTCTGTGTTTTCAAAAGGCTTCCTTGAAAATGGGAGATGCACTAAAGTGGTGTATTTATAAACTATAGTATGACCAGAAAACATCTGAAAGTTAAACAATTCCTCGTTCTCAGGAGTGTGGCTGGACTCTTGCTGATGAAGCCTTTGCAGTGGATTTCTCCGTCACATTGAAGCCTGTCCAACCTCAAAGTGTCCACGACCAAATCAGCTTCTCTGCGTCCTCCTCAGTCTCCCCCGTCACACTGTCCTGGGACTTTGGAGACCTTTCCCCCCGGTTCAACACCTCTGAACCCGAGGCAACCAGAGCCATGCACAAATATGGACTTCCTGGCCAATACAAAGTCGGTGTGACTGCATGGATGGGTAACAAAGAGGTGAGTGAAATATCAAGGAATAAAAGGCAAATTCTGAAAAGATTTGGACCTTAAATATAAACTGAACTTCAGATGATTACAAATGCTATTTTGATTACACATGGATTGATAAATATACAGGTATTGTATCCATCCATTTCCTTCTGTAATTCAACTTCTGTAATACAACTATATATATATATATATATATATATATATATATATATATACTGTACATTAATGTCTCATCGTAAGCTGGATTGTAGAAGTAAAAGAAGGCACCTACATTTATCCAAAAACTGATGTGTGTGATGTCTTTGCATTGATTCATTCGCCCTCTTACATTCCAGCAGGCGTCCGCTCAGGGCGAGGTGACAGTGATGCTGCCGCCCAAACTTCACCTGATGTGTCCTCGTCTCGCTGTGGCCAATAGCAGTTTGGAGATCTCTCTGTTCACCTGGGGAGCCATGGGCTTAAGCATTGACTGGAAAATTACCAAGGACAGCGTGGAAGTGGCAAAAGGTAGCTCTATTTGGAACATCCCAGTATTTTACTACAATCACTCCCTATTATAATCAAAGTAAAGCTACCCTCTCACCTGTTCACTGTAATCAACAATCAGCTTCCTTCCTGCGCGTCCTTCCCTCTCAGTAACCATACATCATCACACTTGTGCATTGATTTTCTCTTCTTCTCTTCCGTCTATAGCTGAAGCCATAAAAATCATGGTTTTTGCAGTTTACAGTTAAAGTTTTCACATTATATGTTTTTCTACAACTTCATTCATTCATTCATAATTGTACATTGTTAGCTAATGTGGTTAAAATATGTATTTAGTATCAGGTTTGTCGCCAAGTATTACTGTTGAAGGTAATTTGGGCTGTTGTCTTCCTTGGTTAGGTAGTAGATCTCTGATCTATTTTGAAACAATACTTGTAGAAAAGTAGTATTTAAGTAGGAATGCTTCAAATTTGTTTGTCTCTTGGCAGCCTGTCCTCACTGTCCTGGCGGAGTGATCCACAACGAGACGTCCCATTGTTTCCAGATTTTTCCCGAGATGAACTGGACTGATGCTCGACAGCAGTGTTTAGACCACGGTGGAGATCTGGCAATTGTGAGAAGTGACGCACTGCGTGGAGAGCTAGCTTCACATGTCACACAGTGAGTTTCCTACTTAAAATTCTTATTTATACATTATAATTAGTGCTGTCCAACGATTAAAATATTTAATCGCGATTAATCGCATGAATTTCATAGTTAACTTGCGATTAATCGCAAATTAGTCACACATTTGTATCTATTCTTTATGTCCCTTGAATTATCATTTTAATACTACTAAAAAGTGAATAGGCGTGCTGTGTGCAATTGCTTTTTTTAATATTTTGTAAATTTGTTCATGTAAATACTCTATGCTGTTTCTCTGTTTACTTTCGGTATATCTATGACTGTATACTGTTTGCTTGTATTGCCTTTTTTATTAACCCCTCCCCCCCATCTCCCACTTCATGTCCCCCCCCCCTTCTGGGTTTCTTCTTTGGCCCCCTGTATCTCCAACTACATATTGTTTGTAATCTCTGTCTACAATGTATCTGAACTAGTCCTTTTCTTTGTTTCTATTTTTTTTTTCTGTATATGTGTTTGTCTGCAATAAAAAGTAAAGTTTTTCGTTTTAGTTTTTTTTGTTAATCGCGCGATAAAAAAAATGACGCCGTTAATATTGATTTGCGTTAACGCGTTAATGACGCGATAGTTTGGACAGCACTAATTATAATATAATAATGCACAATGGTTTGATCAGATCAAATATGATGAACTTTGATTATACATATACCGTCATCCTGGAGTAAAAGCCGCTACTTTGTTCATATTCTTTGAACTCAAGCAAAGAATTTGAATTTAAAGCAATTTGGTCAATTTGTACAGTGCCCCCTGGAGCACTAGAAAGAATTTTAGCACAGCTCTATCAGCTGTTGATATCTGCTTCCCATTTGTGTTTATGCGAGCAGCAGAGAGAGTGGTGTTTATGTGATAAATGCTTTTAATGCTTTTTTAATAGAGTGCTTTGATCATCACGAGTCAACAGTGCCTTAAAACACCTAGTTTTTAAATCGACTTGTAGGTCAAGTGTTACATTATTCATACTATTCTGTTCTACATTAATTTGGTTACATATTTCAAATGTCCCCTCAGTTTGTTCCAATTACCGTAAGATAAGGAACAAGAATTCAATGCCTTCCATTTCAAAGATACAAAAGGTGTTTTCATAAATACACTGTTTCCAAACTTTTCATCCACCTTCCAGTGTTTTGTAGCACGAACAGTTTATGAGACCATTGTGTCCTCGCTCTGGTCTCAAGGCTTTGTGTTTGTCGTTGAGACTCTAGAAGATTTCACAACGTTCACCTGCACTGGCACAGCTGTTCTGTCTGCTGAGGTGCTAGCGGGGGCCTGTGCTCTCCACAATGCAGACCCTAGAAAACATTGTATCCCCTTTTTGTGCCCCCACAGCTGCAGTCCCATAGCTCAACCTGTTAAAGTTTTATTGCTCTCTCAGCTTGAATCTCGGCTATATCTACACACGCACAATCACACTCATGCATGCATGCACGCAAGTACACACACACATGCACACACATGCGCATACACACACATGTAATGTGCACAAACGCACATACACACACCGACATACTCACACGTTACATAAAAAAAAAAAAATCTAGTCCTGAGAATGCAAAGAAATGTAGGTGCTTGAAGTAGTTTTATCTTGATTTGAGTAAATATTAACGGTCGTAGTCACGCCAATCTCTGCCGTTGAAACTAATGTGCCATCACTTTTGCCTTCTGAGGACATTTTCAAAATGGCTGCGGGCAACCCCTCCCGCACATTTTTTTTTTTTTAAATGCATTGGCGCATACGTTAGCCGGCACCAGCTCTATTAATTTAAAGAGTGCCTTCTGAAGTCCACAGCGGCTAAACTAGAGTGGTCCAAAAATAAATACTCCCCTCAGCGTTGACACACATCTGGAACGTAGCAACTTTTGGAACATCCTGTAAAGCTGATTTTCACTTTATTTCAGTATTTATTTGAGCACTTGTATGACAAGTTTACAAGAAAAGAAGACATATATGTAAATGCCAAAGCAGAGCAAAAAGACATGTCCGTGCCTACTCCCTTTCAGATCAATATTTTTTAGGACTTATCCATGATAACTAATGTCGATAACACATAAAAGTACAAATGGAGTACACTAGAAAGTATGTGATATACTGCAAGACAGATATGTGTGTGTGATATGGAACTACAAAATGTTACACATGAAAAAGGAAAGAGTCAGACTGAAAAACAATACAAGCTCTGTCTTTTACTTACAACATGGCAGGAAAACAGTCCATTTCAGTGAGTGAAAATCGAGAGACATCAATCCACTCATCATCACTGAGGCGGCCGTCCATTTCTGAGGCCACTCTTTAATCCTTAAATAAAAAATAGATTTGTAGTTGTGTATCTACATTTTCTGTAGTGCATCCTATACCATATTTGTTCATTGTTTATCGTACACTACACCCTTCTACTGCACGACTCCCACTGATGTCTGCTGTCATTGTGTCCTTGGGCAAGACACTTAACCCCACTTTGTCTGAAGCCCCCAATGAAAGATCAAGGCTCCTGTGGACTCACCACCTGCAGGACAATCAATGAGGGTGCTATGTGAATTGGGTGCAGCTCTGACTGCCATCCCCCAGCCTAGAAATTGATTATGGGATGGATGGATGTGAAACTAATATAATTTTGATGATTATGGCTCACACAGTACATTTTCAAAATGATTTTTACAAGTTCTGAGCCAATTATCAAAATTATAACAAATATGGGTTTGATAGATTTGATATATCCTACTTTATCTCACTTGAAAAAAATTGTAAAGCGCCTTGTGTGACCTTGGTCTGTGAATTGCCACTTACTGGGTCCTTCATGTATTAGTTTCACATTGTAAGTTGAATTTCAGAAGTAAATGGATGTGAAACATTCTACAGTGACAGCTATATATGAAACGGGTAGTTATAGTTTTATATACAGTACAGACCAACAGTTTGGACACGCTTTCTTATTCAATGAGTTTCATTTCTTTTCATGACTATTGACTGTAGATTCACACCCAGGCTGTGTAAGAGTTAATGAATAATGACACGTAAAGCGTCTTTGAGTGTCCAAAAAAGCGCTATATAAAACCGATGTATTATTACTATTAGTATTTTGATAATGAATTAGAAAAATGCCCTAATAATCCTTCCTCTGTTGCCTCCTCAGGGAGCGTGGAGTGTGGCTTGGCCTAAGTGATGTCCAGTCCCCCGGGAGGCTGCAGTGGGTGAACGGCTCTGATGCGCTGGAGGGAGAGGAGGGACCGCCGCCTCGATCCGTTATCGCCAGAGGAAATATGTGCGTCTCCCTTGACCATCGCGGACAGACTAGCTCACACCCCTGTAACATCAAGAGGGCGTTTGTCTGCGAGCGCAAGCCACAAGGTACACGCTTAAACACATGCAAACCTTCTGTTTTGTTTGTCCTTCCTACTGCGAAGCATCTTTAAGTTTCAGTGCAACGGAAGAGGTATGAACAAGAATGAATACTGTTTATGTTCCTGATGCTGATTCACCACACACAAACATTACTCCTGGGACAAGACGAGCAGAAGCATCCAACTGACCAGGATTAGAAACAAACCGGCTAAGATTAATAACAGACATGGGTTTGCACGTGTACTTGTAATTTGCTGCTGCTGCAGTGAGGAATAATTATGGTAAGCACGTAGCATTGTTTTGTGAAAGTAAAAACAAAAACACAATGTGAAACAATGTGTTTTGTCACACTGTATTGTAATGCTTGTCTTTATATTGAATTATAAAAGCGAAAGCTAACGGCAAGCAAACATTATCAGTAAAATAAAAACAGTTATTACAATGCCCAAGGTATTGTAATAACTGTTGAAAACTGTTGAAAAGTGGCAGCTCTTCCCCTAGTATCTACTTCTGGTAAAGTCCTCTAAAAAGGCTTCCTCTTCTTTGAAGGTCAAGGTTAAGTGTTTGCAGCTCTCAACAGGAGTTGAAAGTTGTTCATGAGTTACAGGTTCTTTATAAAACAAAACATTCCTCAGTGATTTGAGCCGTGTCTCTGACCTTCGAGAGTGATTGTTTGCATCTGTAGGGAACATCTCAATCTTTGCTCTCAACTTTTCTCTAATGTTAGATTATAGTGCATTATGTTGGCTGAGTGGATAGCACTCTCGCTTCTCAGCAAGAAGGTTCTGGGTTCGAATCCTGGTCGGAACAGGGCATTTCTGAGTGGAGTTTACATGTTCTCCCTGTGTCTGCATAGGTTTCTTCCGGGCACTACCACTAAAAACATGTGCAATAGTTCAGGGTGAAAGAGTGTGTGTTTGTGAGTGCAAATCTGGGACAACGGACACAAATTAGCCCATGGCTACAATACGGAGTGGTGTGTTCATTAACATGAACTGTCCCAACCAAATAAACAATAAATAAATAAATAAATTATTTGGGAGATTGGGAAGAGAAAAAGATAAACATGAGACTTTACATACTGCATCTTTTTACATTTTATGTCTTAATAAACATAGGAGATCTTTGCCCCTCATTGCTCTTTATGTTTGTTTTCCTCTTCAGTTCCAGTCCCTGATGCTGGTGTGTATAGTGTGGGCCTGGCTGTGTTTCCTACCCATAATCCGCTGCTTCAGATTGAAGCAGATGAGCTCTTTATTCCTAGACAAACTAGAGGCGTTATTGAGGTAAGGAATGCCGATCCTATTGAGATTTTTTTAAATCTTTCTAGTGGACCCATTTAGACAACCTGTCCAACATACACTAGCTGATACTCATGCTTCACAGCAAGAAGGTTGCAGGTTCAATTCCCATGCCTATCCACACTTTTTTTTGTCCCATCTAGGTTTCACATCACCCAAAACATGAATATCTGACAAAGCCGAGTGTCAAGAACAACCTTAACCTAAAAAGAGATAATTAATGATACATTGGAACAATATATCATGTTTGCTTTGTGTTTATAAACAGTTCATACATTAGTCTTTTTATGCTAATTATGCAATATATCATGGTAATTGTAATTGTAATGCTTTCTGTGCTTCCTCACAGATTCTGTTGTTTCCAGTACTTAACTTTGTCCACGCCGGCCAATTGTCCTCACTAGAAGTTGTTACACAGAAGCTTCAAACTCAAGTCCAAGTTCGTTTCCAGACCTATAGACCTCACTGTCACCATCTCGGCCTTCACCTGCTACTTCCACGTAAGTTTCTCTAAGAACCCATCACTCAGGTCTCTAACACCTCTGCGTGACAGCTGTCAAGAAGCGTTTATGCCACCTGGGCCCAGACTCTGACATTACACTCTGATCAAGGCTGTCTCCCACATGAGCGCATAAGGACTTAGTGTCCTCTCTGCTTAGCTCACAAGGGCATTTGAAAACCCATTTTATCAGTGAATACATTTCATATATAAAAAAGATTACTGAAGCAGAAGGAAGACTTCAAATAATATATATGATAACACCCAAATTAAACTGATTGAACTGGGCAATGGCTGGTTGTTTTCAGTCAAGTATTTTTTTAAAACATGTTATTTTAGAATTGTAATAATCTATAATTAAAACTTCTTTACTTTGCATACATATGTTGTTTGTCCCAACAGAAAGATAATAACAGAAACATGGTATTCAGGATTCAAGATTAAAGAATTTATTTGCCATTTACAGTAAAACCTCATTGGAAAAAGTGTTATCTTTTGTATGGATAGAGCTGATTGATTGTTAGGGCTGGTACTCTCTTTATCACAGAAAACAGCACATGAGATAGAAAACTAGTGATTGAAAAGCTTTTAGAGCAGGAAACTTTAGTACATTTTATTACACATTTATTGTTGTTGTTTTGTAGTCTGGTTAGGGACTAGATCAGCCTTGGACAGCTGACAAAAAGTACAATTTTAAGGATCAATGATGTATTACATGGGTGCTTTGTAAACCCTTGTGTGTGTGTGTGTGTGTGTGTCAGGTTGCGGAGGTGTGGCCTGTGCGTCTGTAGCTGTTTGCGTTCCCATTGATCTGGGTCCCAGAAGAGACCCTCCTTCGTGCCCCCCGCTGCAGCAGTGGTGCCCGTTTCAGCAGCAGTGTCGTGGTCTCTCTGTGCCGTGTCCGCCGTCGTCTTGCGCAGACTGTGGCCACGCTCATCCTTTACCACACGGGGCGCTCAGACCACACTATACTTTGCAACGTGAGGTGGTCCTCACGTTGCCAGCCGGACCCCCTGCACACATACAGGTACAAAAGTATTGTGTATTCTTGGTTTGGAACAATAAAGAGTGGGTCATGTTTTGAGGTTGGTTAGTCATGAAAAAGTATTAAGGAATACGATGCTAGTGGATTTATGTAAGTTAGATTACATCTGTATATGCTACAATATGTAGTAAAAGCAGAGCATGAAGCAAATGCAATACTTTTAATGTTGTCACAAATCTTTTTTAAAGCAAGTGAGTTCCAAGAGGACTTCTGAGCCCTGTGAATGTGAATAGAAAGAATGGAATATATTTATGATCTTTATTGAAATTCATTATTATCCTTAATACAATTAATAAAACCTATAATATTTCATTACAGTGGTACAGAGTGATACTTTCACATTTCCAAAATGACTTGCACATAATTTACAGCAAGAAGATCAGCATAATAGGGTTTGTCCAAACAAGTCCATTGTGAGTGACTCTAATAGTCGCTTTTATTTACCAGATACTCGACCAAGGAGAGATACTCCTCGTGTCGCCGGGGGACGTTTTTGCCCTTCAGCACGACGCAGGTCCAGGGTCCCTCCTCCACTGCCAGCCGGCCCCACACTCCCCCTGGCGCCAGTCGGTTATAGCTATAAATCAGTCGGAATGGTTATGGTTAAACAACTCTGTAGCTTATGAAGAACATGAGACGAGCCGCGTGCCAGAACCTGAGCTGGACCTGGAGGCCCTGGTGGAGGGTGGAGAGGGGCGGTGGATGGAGGACGTGGTTTGTCCCGTCAGAGTGCTCTACGTAGGGCACAGTGAGAGCCAGCTGCAGGGAAGGCATCTGATGACTGGTCTGAACGAGCCTGGCCTTTACTCTCTGACGGTAAGATGAGAACCACTCGGCATGTTGTTTTTTTCATTGATTAGATGGTTTATGCAATCTATTGGGTCTAAACAGATGTCATTGGTCACTGAACTGAAATCAGTGTTGGGCAGGTTACTCAAAAAGTGATTTATATATGACTAGTTACTGGGATGAAAATTTCATACATTTGTATTACATTATTATTATTATTTTTTGTCTTTTAGAGTGTCTTTTAGACCACAGTCACAGTGATAAAAATGGCATCAGTCTGGAGTGTTTCACCTGGACCTAACTGGAATTATCTTGTTTTTTCTCCAAAAAATTATAACATATAAGTTAAATGGTGTTAAGTTAAATACGTTAAAAACAAATGTGCATATAACGTAATGTAATGTAATATATTACTCATGTTATTATTTGTACAAATTTGTATTTATCTTCCAAATGTTGCATAAATGGGTACTATAGTAATGCGCTTAAGACATGACAGTGGCCATGCTCTAATTAGACTTTCAGGCAGCCACTATAGTTTGTATACTTTATTGCACTTACAATTATAACTACAGTATATATCTTATGAACGCATAATCATGTCTTCTTTAATAACCATTTGCTGTTGGACTGTTGTAGGCGTATTCGGCTGATCCATCCTACCCTGCGTCAGACACATGCCTGCTGCCTGTTGTGCCTCCTCTAGGTTTAACCATCATCCACCCAACGCTTCAGAATGGATCCGTTTACTTGCAGCCCAACGACACCCTCCTTCTGCTGCGAGTGCAGTCTCGATATGTGACCAGTGCAGTATGGAGCGGGACCAACCGCAGCGTGACCTTCCAGCTCCTCTGTCCCTCTGAGTTTGTGTCCCGTCCCAGTGTCTGTCAGCCCAGTTCGAGCGCAGGGTCCAGGGCGGAGCTCATGGAGCCCAGTCAGTACGCGGTGCTGGATGTGGGGCCTGGACTAGAGGGGCGGCTCCTGCAGCTGGAGCTGGAGGCCCGGAACAACGTGACGGAGGCCAGTCTGTCTGTGGCTGTGCACCTGGAGGAGCCGCTGCAGGGGTTGAAAGTGCAGCCACACCCGACCCATAGAGTGCTGATGGAGTCTGTGGTGGTACGATTAGCTCGCATTTTTTCAACACATTTACTTGTGCATTTATTTATTATGTATGTTTACAGAGCTACTCGGCATCAGTGGTGCAAGGCTCAAATCCAACATTCAAATGGACAGTTGATGACAAACCTTATTTCACTTATTACAACACAGTGCTCAATGTGATCTACCAGCATGCTGCCATTTACAAGCTCACGGTGAGATATGTGCCTCCAGTCTGTTGGCTCACAATAAGATAATCAATCTATTTGCCTCAGATTTTATCCCTCGACCTTAACCCCAACCTTTTTCATTTGCCTTAACCGTAATCTAACAGATGAGGGAAAATAGGGCTGTGGGAACAAGGGTTGTCAAAAGTATCGAAAAGTATTTCTTGAGTTCTAAAACTAGTATAAAAACTAGATATATTTCTGACCAAGTAAATTTTCTTACACAAAAAATGTCTTGATAAATGGTTAAAAAAAATAGCTTTCTATACAATAAAATAAAGATGTTAAGCTTGTAGACACTGGTAGATCCATTCTCCCCGTGACTCTCTCTCCTGTGCCCTGCTGCTTTTTCAGGTGACGGCTTTGAACCATGTGAGCAGCATTACAGAACACTTTAATGTGACTGTGGACCGACTGGTGCCAATGGCCAACCTTTCTGTCCGAGGGGTTCCAGATGTGGTCCCCCAGGGCTCCACTCAGACTTTCACCACCTCTGTGCTGCTGGATATGTCTGTGACCGCAACTTTCCGGTAAAAGCAGTTGGGAAATGTATAAACAATGTGTTGCTAATGTATATTCTAATAGATGTTATACAGTGTGCTATCTTGTGGAAAACTGTGGAAAACTTTCTGTTTTATTCCCTGGATACAGACTCGAGAGTATCTCTAACTACTTTTCCAAATTCACATATAAGTCCCTGTTATTATCCTTGCCTTGTCTTTTATTACATTTTTGCCATCATCTTAGCCGTAGAGTCCTGGATTTACGGCTGCGTGGTTACTGCAGATTGCTGACAAGAATTTTCCCTTCTTTTCTCACTGGCACTTTTCTTTCTATTTTTTTTGTTAAAGTCCCTCCTGCTGGCCCCTGCGCTCACACCATCCTTGATCCACTTCCTGTGTTTTGAGTTTCCACTTCTCTCTCCAAGTCTATAATGTATCTAGTAACTCTGCATTTCAACTTTTACGTTTGCTTGTTCTCTAAGTATTTTGTCTTTGTACTGCTTCAGTTGGCATTTCGGTGATGGTGGATATAAAGAGTTTGAATACAAGCCTCCGTATGCCCCCACTCTGCACAGTCCAGACTCCCCCAATCAAGTCCTCCTCAGCAACAACGTCACTTATGTCTATTCTCAACCAGGTATTCTTTATTTATTATGTTGCTTCAAAGTTGTGTGCCCTATGTAAACTATGAAAACTATGCAAACAAAGTACTATTCAAAGAATCTTATAGGATGAATATTGTCTTCAAGGTTTTCTCTGTACGTCACCATTCCAAAGAGCCTATCGTTAAACATTGTGGTGCAGGGCAGCTGGGAAATCATTGGTGGTTGCTTTTTTTTGAAGCTGTTTTTGCTGTAATTCTTGGTCACAAAGTTCTTTGTCAGCGCATAATAACTATTGTCTAATTATTTTCTCATAAAATGTGTCTAGAAATTGTGAAATTTTTTAGATAAGATATACTTTATTGATCTCACAGAGGAGAAATTTACATGTCACTTCTGGTATGGATAGAAACACTCAAGATTGTGCAAAAAGAAAGAAATGTCCAAACATGTTAAATGCAGAATATATTATGTACAATAAAGGGGCAATCAAGAAACAGTGTCAATAGTAGTGCAGGTTTTTCAGTCTTAATGCAGTGACTTAAGTGACTTGTTGTTTAGCCAGTTGAAATGACTTTCACACGTAAGAACAAATCTAATCACTTTCAATGAATGATCTGGCAACATTCTGGATATTTCCTTTTACAAAATGTCGTTTCAAAAATGGCCTCTTTCCTATTGAGTTGTTTTCGCACCTGGTTTTCAACTGAAATACAATTCTACAACATAAACTGGATTGAAACATACATTTATTCTTCTCTTATTCCCCAGGGATTTACACAGCTGTAGTGTCAGTGACAAACCGCTATGGGAACATCAGTCAGACCATCAACATGAGCGTCTACAGCATCCTCAATCACGTGGACATACAGACAGAGCCTCAGCTGCTGCTCGCCGGCCAAAACGCAGAGTTCGAAGCCCATCCTCTGCCCTCTGCGTACGGGATCCACTACGACTGGCTCCTGGGCGACGGCTCCGCTCCCCTGCAGGGTCGCCGCGTGGCCCACACCTACGCCCAAAGCGGGGTCTTCAACATCTGCGTCTCAGTCAACAACACCATAAGCTCTTTGAACGTCTGCGCGGAGATGTTTGTGTTTGACAAAATTGAAAACCTGTCCGCCAACACCTCATCTCCGTCTGAGCTGAACTGCCCTACAATCGTACAAGCTCACATTACATCTGGAAACAATGTGACTTGGACTTTCTCTATGGGCGATGGTCATATCCACACTCTGTCTGACCCATACATATCGCACCACTACAGCTCCGACGGCAACTACACCGTGAATGTCACAGCCTCGAACGCAGTCAGCAGCGTTTGGACTCTTCTCCCTGTGCATGTGTTTGTTTTCCAAATCGTCCACATCCAACCAGCGGTTTGCGTCCATGAATACACCCCAATAAACTTCACTGCTTTTGTCACAGGAAATTCCTCCGCTCACCTTTATGAGTGGACATTTGGAGACGAAAGCGTGGGTGAAAAAACGATACGACACGGAAACCCTCGAATCTCACACACGTACGTCGCAAGTGGGAATTACAACCTTACTCTTTCAATTTCGAGTGGTGTGAGCAAAGCGATCAAAGACATGCTAGTTTGTGTGGAGCCAGCTCTTCAAAATATCAACGTCATGCCTGATCGAACGCATTACGCCGTAGAGGAGAAAATTTGGTTTGAAGTGCAGGCCCATCCCAACTTTAACTACAGCTATCAGTGGGATTTTGGACAAGGCGATGACCCTATATTGGTGGTCGGATCTGGAAATGTAGCCACAAAATATACCGACCCAGGCCATTACACTGTGACAGTCACCGTTTTCAATAATATCTCCTCTCTCAATGCTAGCTTCGAAATTGAAGTTCAAATACCAATTGGACCGATTGTAATTTTGCACAATGGCACCAATCACAACAACCTCACTTTGAGAGATCCCTACGCTTTCCACACATCCTCTGTTGCCACCAATGTCTCCTACACATGGCACTTTGGAGACGGATTTATACAAAATGGTCCAAGTATTGTTCACGCTTACAACATTTCAGGGATTTACAACATCACACTAACAGCAGCGAACACAGTCAGCAGCAACAAGTCTGTCTTGCAAATGGCGGTGCTGGCTCCTATCACAAACTTATCGCTCAACTCCAGTTTGATAAATGTCCCCTTAAATGCCTCGGTGAATTTTGAAGCACACATGGATGCGGGAGACGGAGTGCGTTTTTCTTGGATTTTGTGCGACCACTGCTCCTCAATAGTTGGGACGAGCACTATGTTTTACACGTTTCGATCCGTCGGCACTTTCACCATCATTGTGATAGCCGAGAATGACATCAACATCACACAAGCCAGCATCTTGTTGTTTGTGCAGCGCGAGCTTGAAGGACTTTACATTGTACCAGACGATGAAATCAGTGGTGTTGGTCCAATGGAAGGATGCTGCTTTGCCACAGAAAGCACACTCCACCTACAGGCAGGGTTGAAAGAAGGAACAAACATGACATTTACTTGGAATTTCATCAGAGAACTCGATCCTCCCTCGTCTATCTACAATGTAACTGGTAAAATTGTGGAGGTGAACTTTTCCTCTCCGGGTCCGTGCAATATCATCTTACGAGCCACTAATCTACTAGGCCAGCTTACTGTCAACCGAACTATCAATTTTCTTGAAGCAGCTGGAAAGGTATCTTTACAAATCAGTCAAAATCCTATTGCAGTTAATTGCCCCATTAATATTACTGTTTTAGCAAATAGAGGATCTAACTTGCAATACCGGTGGTCAGTTAACAAAGAGTTGCTGCAATGGCACATGCCCTCAAAAATGCATAGCTTTGACACATTCGGACTGAAATTAGTCGAAATAGAAGTTTTTAACGAAGTAAGCTCAGAAGTTGTGTCAGAAATTATCAGTGTACAGGATAACATCACTGGGCTTAAATTTACAATTAATTCGACTGAGAAAACGTACGTATCAACTGGTTTCATCTTTTGGTTACAAGGCGAGGTCTCCACTGGCACCAACATAATGTGGGTGTGGACGATTGATGGACAGACAAAAACGGGAAACAAAACATCTCATATTTTTCTTGAACCAAAGAAAACTGTTATTTCACTAAAAGCTTCCAATGACATAAGTGAGCAAGTAGTCTCTAAGGAGATTGTTGTACAGGAAATGATAAACGGACTTATAATCAAAGGGAAGCAGTCTGTAGCTGTGGGTGAGAAGGTGGAGTTCACTGTAACACTGGCAGCTGGTACAGATCCTCAAATTGCACTCAACATAAATGACAACATTATAAATATGCAACCCAACCAAACGCACACACACATCTTCACAAAAGTGGACTCGTACATGGTTACGGCAACAGCTTACAACCAGGTAAATAAGAAAACACAGTGTAAAGTTATGACTTGAGGTGTCATTTTTCTAATTCGCAATCTGGGTTTAAGGTCAGTCCAAAGTGGAAGTACAATCTCCATGTCAATGTGATGGAGCGGGTGCGAGGCCTGTCCATAGTGGATTGTTGTCCCACGGCGATCCCAGTTGGAGTAATTAAGCCTTTTGCTGCCAACATTCTGACAGGCAGTGATGTTAGTTTCCTGTGGACCTTGCGTCTGCAACATTTACACCCATTGTCATTCATTAGCAAAGAGGTAATACTTAACTTTACCTGTTTATAATGTAACATATTCAAATTGGAATCAACAATGTATTTTCCTTTGATCTTAGGTGTCCTATGTGCCAGCGGAGCCAGGCATGCTAAACATTTATTTGAAGGCCTTTAACAACCTCGGTGAAGTTTTCATCATCAAGAACATCCTGGTGCAGAACCGCCTCAGTGATGTGGCCTTGTATGCAGCGCCCCGGGACACTTTCATCAACAAGACTGTAACTCTGATGGCCTCCATCACACCCAAACACACTCCTGTGCACTGTCTCTGGCATCTGGGAGACGGATCAGCTGCTGTTCAAGCAGGCACTACTGTTGGCTACATTTACAAGCAGCCTGGTCATTATCTGGTTAAAGTATGTTTTTTGTTGTTTCATTTGAAAAAAATGTGATCGTTGTTGTTTGAGTCACGTGTCCAACTGTTTTCTCTTCCTTGCCAGGTGAACTGTAGTAATCAGGTGAGCTGGGTGTTTGGTCAGGTGGAGGTAAATATCACAGTGTTGGAGTGTGAAGAGCCAGAGGTGCAGGTGGTGCAGGCTCCGCGTCTTTCTATCTGGCGTGCTCAGCCCACTCTGGTTGAAGCCAATGTAGATTTAAAAGGTTGTGTTCGATACGGGGAACAGTACCTCTGGCAAATTCTTGCTGCTCCCTCTTGTGATAATGGCAATGATGAGCAGGGAATGTCTGAGCCTTCACTGCTTGTCCCAGTGATCTATCTCCCAGAAGTGGACAACCGGCGACTTCAGCTCTCACTTCCCAAGATGTCCCTCCCTGCAGGGATTTACTCTCTAGTCTTCTCTCTGTCGTACAAAGGCGTACCTCTCAGAAAAGCAGCCTGTCTGCAGCTCAGTGTCATGGCGGCCAGGTTTGTAGTAATTGTTTTTTAAAAATGTGGAAAAATATTGACTGAACACACATTTAACACTATGTTATTTTTATGAATTTTCGTCCAGGTTGATGCCTATCATCGAGGGCGGCACCTACAGAGTATGGTCTCGCAGCCAGGACCTGCAGCTCAGTGCAGAGCAGTCTTATGATCCCAACATGGACCCAGAAAAGCAGTCACTGCTTCACTACCATTGGGAATGCATAGGCACTTCACAGGTAACACATTTAAGCAAATTTGGCAATTTTTAAATTAATGTGTGAATAGGGCTTTACATCCTTTCAAATTTGATTTTACATTTGTTTTCAGACATGTGTGGTATAGGTGTTATTTGTAGCTGTGCTACATATGCACACATCCCGTTTCCTTATGTACAGCTTGTGACCTTTGTCATCTTGTATCAGCCCCAGACCTCAGACTTGTGTGTGTTTTACTCCTTGTTTCCAGGGGCCGGACCATTGCTCCACTCTGAATTTTGGATTGGGATCCAGCGGCCCTGTGCTGGGCATTCCAGGTGTTGAGCTTGAGGCTGGGGTTGAATATACCTTCAGATTGACAATCAGCAAAGATGGCTTGGCTCCAGAGTCTATCACACAGACTGTAAGTTAGCATCTACAAACATGTGCAACATTTAAATGTTGTTCTTATGATTTGTTGATAATAAAATACATAACATGTGTATTTTGCGTGCATATAGGTGATGGTGCAGAGCGGCCACATTCCCATGGTGTATCTGGAATGTGTCTCTTGTAAAGCTCAGTCCTTTTATGAGGTCAGCCAAAACTCGTATGTGTACTTGAAGGGAACCTGCACCAACTGCGAGGGCTTTCACCGTGGGGTAAACACACTTTCCTTTGCAGATAGTGATTAACGGGGTGAAAAAGGATGCAGTCAGTAAAATATTTGTCTTTCAGCGGTGGACGGCCGTGACGTCACAGAACTACACTCTGGTGCTGGACTCCTCCTCAACCACAACAGGAAGTGATGGCATGCACCTAGTCCTGAGGCAGGGCGTCCTGCGCGAAGGAAACTCCTACAACTTCACTCTGCACGTCACAGACTCGGGCCTGGACGGAGAGGGCGCTGCATCCATCACGCTCATAAGAAACATGGCCCCTACTGGGGGGGTGTGTCACCTGAGAGCTGGTGGTGAGGCAGGATTGGACTACAGCGTTGAAGACACTGAGATCTGGAGAATACAAACACTCATGGACCGAGTTCACTTTAACTGCTCAGGTACAACTGGCCCTACAGATGTATTGTGCATTTGCATTTTGTACTCACTGGGTTCATGTTTTCTACTCAGGCTTTAGTGATCTGGGGGTCTCAGAGACACCGTTACTCTACAGTGTGTTGGTGACTCGGTGCAAGGAGGACTACTGTGAGGACTTCTGTGTCTACAGAGGCAGCAGTCCTGAACACTCAGCTTTCCTCCCACCAGGGTTCAGCATGGCCCGACATCGAGTGGCTGTATCCATCACAGTGGAAGACCACCAAGGAGCGACTAATAATGCACTCAATAAGTAATTACCCTGTATAACCTCCATCTTCTTAAGCTTGTCTCAACTTATTGTCAAGTTGCATGCATACTCTTGCGGTTTACTCTTACTCTTGAGATTGTTTTTGTCATCCTGGACTCACATGCCCAGGATGGCAAGATTAACACCAGAGGAAATATCTATATAATCTGTTCGCATTTAAAGCTGGAGTGCTGAAACCAAGTCGACAGTCTTCTTATTTCCTCTCCTCTGTCACCTCTTTATGTAAATGTTGTTTTCATTTCAGATCTCTTGAAGTGGGTCTTCCAGATCACCCACGTCAGTATAGTGGCCTTCCACACTGGCTGTCTGACCTAACAGATACAAAACTGAAAAAGCTACTGGAGCAGGGAGACTCTCAGAGGGTCAGAGAGCTGTCTTTGGCTCTCATCACCGTTCTAAATGAGGTGAACATAATGCTTCATGAACATTTATTTTATCATACAATTTGATTCAGCTAAAATTTAATTTTTTACTCTGTAGTATGAGCATAAGAGACAGCGGTGGTCCCAGGCAGAGCATTCATATCGAGTTCGAGTCCGCAGCAACATAACTAGAGCTTTGACATCTCTTGACCTAACCACCGTTAACGACATCCAACAGACATCAGCAGCTTTAGCACAGTGCACGGTAAGAACGGGGCGCGATATGTGCCAGAAAAAAAAACCATGCTACTTGCACTTTGACATCATGACAAATGTTTTTGCTGCACCTGTCGATAGGCCGTGAGCCGGGAGTTCATTTGTGAGGAGTGTCAGAATAGTACACTCAACAAACTGGAGTCGATGCTGAAGATTCTGCAGACGGATACGAAGCAAGGCACTGTGACCCCGACCGAGATCGCAGACAACATCCTCAACATCATGGGTGAGCTACGTGCACACAGTCATGGAGGAGCCTTCGGTGTTACTCCATACTGAACACAAGGTTCAAAGGTTCAAGGTGACTTTATTTGTCCCCATGGGTGGATTCTTTTTGCAGTTAAAAAGAGAGACCAGACATCTACACAAAAATATTCATAAAAATCACATTCCCATACATCACAATAAAAACACAACAGATAAGTTAAGAAAAGAAGGTATAAAGAAGGTTAAAGTGGTCAAAAGGGGCCTCCCACAATCAGTTTCCCACATTTTTCTTACATATATATTTTTTTATATTTTTTTCCCTGTTATTGATTTTAGTTGTCCACTATCTCTTTGTTCCACTTTTAATGTTTTAAAAACTCTTTTGTTTTTCACTAAATGAGTGCTGGAACCTGGTGCCAAAATGAAATGGGAACCAGTTCTGGTGAAATTCAAAATACAAAAATGTTAATTAATCTTTAGTAGTTTTACAGTTGGTCTTAACTAAAGAACAGTTAGTTGAGAAGTCAATGAATTTTAGCTGTTGCTAGTAAACAGTCTGTTGCTATGGTATTGGAAATAGCCAAGAACCAGGACCAGCAGCTTGGTGGAAAAAGGGGACTAGTGAGACCCCAGGGGGCCCTAGATCCCACTTTGAGAAGCACTGATTTAAGTTGGACTGAATGTTGATGGTTTCTGCAATAGTTCAAGAAAGTGAGAATGTCCTCAAATGTTGTTGGTTTATATAAGTTTGATGGTATTATTTCCAAAGAATCACAAACTTTAATATTGTTAAGTAATTGTTGAGAAGAGACAGAATTTTAAGTGTTCTTTTCAGAATGAATGTTAAATGAGAAATTGAAAAGGCTTTTGTGCAACCGACATAATCCAGATTACTATGAAGTTTTATTCAAAGTCAAATATTATATCCATCCATCCATCCATTTTCTACCCTTTAATCCATTTCTGGGTCAGGGGGGTGGCAGTCAGAGATGCCACCCAAGTCTCATAGCACCAGCCCCTCACTGACCCTCTGCAGGTGGTGAGTCCACAGGAGGACGGCTGCTCTCTGAGTGTGAGCATAGCCTTGATCTTTCATCTCAGATGAAAAGATCAAGGCTATCTTTCAATCAGATGAAAGATCAAATATTATATTATTTATAATATTCATAAGACAGTACAGAAACAACACTGCAATGAAAGAATCCACGGCCTGTCGAACGTCTGCGGGACTGTTGATAACAATTATTCTTTTATCATTATAATTATTAAAGCATTTTCAGGACCAATAACTGGACCATTGGAATTTCTTCATCATTGACATTTTGGGCCGTGGTTTAGGAAAGCCATAAGAAAAATAATTATTTAAGCAAATGTCATCTTGTCCAATCCATTTGGTTGATAAACTAATCTACTTATTTTTGTGTGAAACGGTTTCAGTCGCTTTATGTGTCTTTGATTTTTTTATTTAGATGCCAAATAAAAACAAAGAACGAAGAATGATAACCGAATGTTTTTGTTGTTGTTGTTGTTGTTATAATCAATAGAACATAGAACTACCTGGCATGATTTGGTTATCAGCTGTTGTGACTGGATGATGTCAGCGGAGAAGTGAGTCCCATGAGTGAGTCAAGGTGTGAGCCGGGGTAAAAGTGTGTGACATTTCTAGACAGAAGCTTTTGCCACCAACAGGACGGCAGCATAAGGACCACAGTGCACAGGAAAACCATCCACACGTCTTGGAAATTTGCTAAATCAAACTGTCAGTTGATGAAACACTATATAAACACTCAAATCACCATTTTAATGAGGTCTACACCCCAAATCTCAGTATCCTCAAAACTAGTAGGTTTTTTTCCGCAATCCTCCTTAGGGGGCAGCAGGGTGGCTCACCATGATCAGTAAAAGAAAAGGCTATATCTGACTTGTAAAAGGGAAAATCAACCATACATTGGGCTAACACAAAAATAGGCTATTGAATTTAGGGTTAAGTACTTTGTTCTTCTTACAGGCGATCTCATTCATCAGGTCAGCCAGTCCGCCTCCCAGTTGTATATGGCCCCTGCCTACGTGGATGCCCCTCCACAACCTTCCAACCCCACAGTCACCCCTCCCGATGAGGACAAGGGTAATTCCATTCCGGACCCCCTCTCCGTGGATCCACACCCCCTGAGGGTGGCTGCTAAGGCCTACAGTCTGTCCTCGGTGCTGATGCTGATCCTGATGCATGCCCGGGTGCTTAATGAGGAGCCTCTCATTATAAGAGGGGCAGAGATCGCTGCGACCGGGAAACTGGCGGACCCCCAGAGCCTCTTGTGCTACCAGGGCAACAGCAGTCCAGGTGGGCTCTTAAGTGTTTGTGAAGCTGAAAAAAGCTTTTTGGAAAATATGTTGTGTTTACAGCTTTGGTTCTTAGAGTGAGTGACCTCTTTAAGGTTTGAGTGGAGTGCACGTCTATTTCAACATAGCTTGAAAGCTTTTCACTGTATTCCACAAACTCAAGAGTTATTTTAGGGACAATATGTCAAAGAGCACAATACATGTTTAAAATTGACAACACAACAATGGATTTTGTTTTTACACTTCAGATTATTGCTGCTTTAATTTGGATTTATCAAAGGAGGTTGCAAATTTCGCCATGCATATTTTGGCAGTCCCTCTGGTGAACACTTACATCTCCTAGTTTACAGCATTCTGGGAGGAATACATGAAGATTCCTTACTGCTATTAGGGAACTGGTAATTCAAAAAAATATGTAGGGCTGTGACTTCAAGTCTACAATGGCACCTGTATGGCTAAATATTGATATAACTTTATGGCAAAAAAATTTAAAAAATTAATGTAGACTTTTCTCCGCTGTCTATTTAATATATTTTGAATGTTTTGATGCCTCACGAACATATCAGAATCTTTCCAGTCATGTGTAAATGTAAACACTAGTTACATACTGATTTTACATATCCAGGAGTTATCTAATGTGTGTTAAATCTTTGTGTGACACAATGTGTAAAAACAAATACTACTTTAAATGTCACAATTATTGACTTAATTTTGACAGCCCTAATAACAATCATAGCTTATCGCGTTAACACACGTTAATTAATTTTTTTCATTAATCACGTTAAAAAAATTAACGCAATGCATGCCCATGCATTCCATTATAACACTCAGAATGCCACGGACAAGTGTGTGTGAGAGGGTGACAGAGCAGGTAGCCGGTGCACACAAAAAATACAGCGCAGAAGCTGGACAACAGAGCCTCAGTCTCCTCCGTGTCTTCTCCCAAAGCGCACTCTCTAAATTAAAGCTGGGGTACCTAATTTTCCCTTCCACTACCAGTTCATGACAGATTTAATTACATTCTGCATTTCAGACTGTTTTAAATGTCCCTCATCTGTAACAAACAATAGTTTTGGTCTGAGTCTAAACAGAAAGACAGAATGTTAATAATTTTAATGCCATTTTATATGGATTTATTGTTATAATAAACAAATACAGTACATATGTTCACTATGTTGGCATGTATCTTTCCATTCAAACATTTACAGAAAAAAAATCATTTTGTTGATAGTTTGAAATGCGATTAATACATTTTTAAGCTGTAATTTACTCTATTAAAAATGTTAATCGTTTGACAGCCCTAATTGTTATTAGTTTATGTTATCTGGTCAAGTAAATCAAAGAGGCTATCTCTGCTATAGCTGTGTTTTGATCTTGTCTGTTGTGTTGTAGAATGCCAGCGGTTCTCCATCCCCAGAGCCTTCAATAAAAGTCTTTGCAAAGCTGCAGCAGGAAACAGCATCATGCAGCTGCTGTTTCAGGTACATTTGGAACGCTTTATCTTCAAAGAGTTCTCTCATTTATGTGTTAGTTGAGAGTTTGATCGTAGTCCAAAATCTTAAAGCCATAAAAGCCAAAGTCAGCGCTAGTTTCCTCATTTCACATCGTCAGGAAAATCCTCATTTAAAATTCTGTTTCTTCTCAGGTGGACTCCAATCCCTTTCCTTTCAACTATGTCCCAAATTACACTGTGTCAACTGAGGTGGCATCCATGGAGTTTCGGACAGAGAACGGCACACAGATCCCGATATCCGGCCTGGACGATAGCTTAGCCATAACTGTTGCTGTTAATAATGGCAGCAGTGTGAGTGAAACTGGCTCTTTCGGCTCGTCTGCCCCAGGACTTCCCTCTGCTGGGACCGTCAACATCAGCCATTGTGAATCTGTCATAGTCAAAGTCAACGCAAGAAACACCAACCGGCAAGCAGGACTTTTTGTGCAGCTCAATTTCACGTCTTTAGAAGGTAAAACAATAATAATCAGAATCAGAATCATTCACAATTCTTAAATTCTTATTTTTAAGAATATTGATTTTTTGGACACTCAAAGACGCTTTTCAAAAGGACCAGAGTTAGTAAGAAACTAACTTGTAATGTTGTTTTTTCCAGACACCAGGCGCAATGATGGGGACACAGATGATGACGGAGCATACATCACAGCCTACCTTCATTCACATGACACACCCAATGAGTTCATCTACACAGACACAAAACAAATCTTTCTCAATATGACAAGAGGACAGGACCTCGACCATAAGAGGTTTACATTCTTCCTCTCCCCTGAGTAAGTCTGAATATACATGTACTGCATAACTCAACTACACTATTCATCCCTGTAGGACACAATTTTAACTGTTCCAATTGGAAAAGTGGGACAGCCTTAAGAATGATTCATGCGTTCAACTTTACTTTGTTCATAGATTATATTCATTTCTTAATCATCTATAGATTGACCTAAGAATCTTTTGGGCTTTTTCTCCCCGAGCACATACAGTACAAGAAGTGGATTAACCACAGAAGAAACCAATTACAGCCCGCTCAAACAGCTTTATGAACAAGAATATGGAGCCAAAACCAGGGTCAGCGTCAACCTAGCAACTAAAGAGCCAATCAGGAGTTAGACTGTGCTCCTCCCATCCACGTCATTTAAGATAAGATAAGATAAGATTGCTTTATTTATCTCACAGAGGAGAAATTTACATGTCACATTTGGCATGGATAGAGACACTCAGATTTGTCATATCTAGATTTGCTTAGACAAAATAGAAATAAAAACACCAGGATCATACAGAGCCACAGGGTTTTAAGCCCAAAAAAGCTCATATACAGTTCAACAGAGGTCAAAACACATGCATGTGAAACAAATGATAAAACCAAATTGTTTGACAGAAAGGAACTAATAGAAATGATTACATTGTTCTATTTTATCTAGTTCTTTTGAACTAAGGTACCTACATTGATTTGTCCCTGTTGGAAATGCCTTGATGATGGATTGAAATGCATTGTATTTAAATGGAATGGATTTCTGTGAATAAACTGCTCACTCTGCCCTTGTTAACGGATCACGTGTAATTCCAGATCCTATGATACAACTCTAGAGTACTTCATCAACGTGAGTGCGCCATGCAGTTCCCACAGCCGGCCAGTTGGGGTGCGTCTGGAGGTGGGGGTGTTTGCATCCCTGTGCCAGTACTTCAGTGAGAGTGATAAGCAGTGGAGGACAGACGGCATGGTGCCCCTGGCTGAGACTAACGCCTCCAGAGCTGTGTGCCGCACCAGGCACCTCACGTCCTTCGCTGCAGGCCTCTTTGTCCCGCCCAACGCCGTCAGCTTCAAACTTCCAGTTAGTATCTCACTCAAGATTCAGTATGACTCATTACATTACTCATATGCTAATAACAGGTTTTAGTAGGCTCCTTTCCATCTGTATGTCTCTGTCCCAAGGTCATGTATGACTTTAATAAACATCAGAAATATGGTACAAGATGAAGTGTGCTCACAGTAATTAGCCACTCCTCACACCAAACACAGGCACAATAATATTTCAGTTATCAGGAATTAAAACAGGTTTCTATTCCCTGCACAATATACAGATTTAGCATCAATGATTGTAGTCAGGTAGTCCTCCTGATACAGCAGATATTGACTCAGCATCAACAACTGGAGATCGGTCTGCCGCTCCTGACCAACTTCTCTGTGGCTAAAATAAAATATACCTTAACCATGTTCTTACTGAATCTACTCATAACATCACTTTACTAATATACTAAAGCCAGTATGTCTTTGTTTAGGAGCGATATGGAGCTCCGAGCCTTGTGGTGCTGCTGGTGTGTGTGCTGGGGTTGTTGAGTTACGTCGTAGCAGCTGCCATTCTACATAAACTGGACCAGATCGATCTCCGGCGCGCTGGTGTGGTCCCCCTCTGTGGTCCAGAGGGGCTCTTCAAGTACGAGGTTCAGGTCAAGACCGGCTGGAGCCACGGAGCGGGTGAGTGACGAAGGGGTTTCAAAGGGAGTAATTACACAGAGATTGTTGTTTTTTTGTGGAGCAGAAAGGTCAACACTTTTGAGAGATAGTGGCTGAAAAAAAGACAACAACTTTAGACATCTTATGAATTCTTTATGTTTTGGATGAAACAATGGTACAGTGGTTAGTGCTTGTGCCTTACAGCAAGAAGTTCTGGGTTTCCCCTACCAAAAAACATGATAGTCCAGGATGAATGAATCCGTGCACTGTCCCAACATAATATAATAAACAAAGAAATAATTAATGATCTTTTACTATGACATGGCTGTGTGTTGTCTGCAGCCAGTAAAAGAAATGGACAAATATATATAATATTCTACCCCTCCTTCTGGTGGAAGGAAAGTCGCTTAAAGGCAGAACACATATTTATGTTTCAACATATATTTTCTATATATTCCATATTATTTTACATTCCAAAACATGTAATGTAAACGTAAATAAAATGTTTTAATGGCCAGATATAATTCAATAATTTATTCTTTAACAAGAAAACTTATGAGCTTTTCACCATGTTCCTTATTTAACTAGATTCACACAAATATACTTGTGGCACAAATCAGCACTAACACGTCACACCCCCACACAATCTCCCACACAAATTTCTGAAAGTCTAATTATATTGAACACAATGAACTAGTTTATTAGCACTTTGCACAATGGAACATGTTTGTAGTTTTCTGCATGGATAATAATTGTGCATTCTGAAGTGCTTTGTGTGTTTTTTAGGCACCACTGCTCACGTCGGCATCAGCTTGTTTGGACGAGAGAGCCGCAGTGGTCATCGTCACCTGGACAGCCGGGGCGCCTTCACACGAAACACGCTCGACATCTTCCACATCGCCACTGACACGAGCCTGGGCAGTGTGTGGAAAATACGAATTTGGCATGACAACAAAGGTAATCATGATAATATAGCACAGGTCTACAACACTGTAATTCTCTACTTTTGCGAAATGTCTAATAAACGTGTGTGCTAATGCAGGTCTGTCTCCGGCATGGCTGCTGCAGTACGTCCTGGTTAAAGATCTACAAACAGGGAGCAGTTTTTACTTCTTGGTTGATGATTGGCTCTCTGTGGACAATGAGAAAACAGGAAGAAATGTGGAGATTGAGGTTGAGGCCTCAGGTAAACTGAGTGAGAGATTTTCTTTGTAAATGTTGATAATGCATTGGTTTTATACAGCACATTTTCGACACTCAAAGGCGCTTCACATGGCATATTAATTCACTTCATATACAGTGGTGGTAATTTATTGTAGCCACAGCTCCCCTGGGGCAGACTGACATAAGCAAGATAACAATCATGTGCCATCGGCCCCTCCGACCCCCACCAATCAATCATGCACACACCAGACTTATACTAAGTAATGTGGGTGAAGTACACAAAGAACAGTTTGTCACTAAGGCACCTTGTGTTCCCAGAAGTCTCCCATCACAGTACTACCAACACCTACTTAACTTCACAAGTCTTCCAGGACCAGGCTTTTACATGCAGGTGGAAGAATATAATCTTCTCTATAGGTCTGAAGATGTACATTACATAAATTCTTTGCTGGTGATTTAGAGGTTAAAACTACATAACCAACCATCATTATAGTTTATACACTCCCTCTAATGGAAATACAGTATGAAGACTGCATAGACTGAGATTGGACACGAATAGAAAAGCAGAGATCGGACACGATTAGAAAAGAGTGGACTGGACTTAACTAGGTAGGAAAATATAACCACAGTTCAGCCAAAGAGCTTCTTGGTCGACTAGAGACATGCGAGTGATGAATCCACTAACGATATAACACAACCCTTTTGAGTCATGTGTCTGATTTGCACTGGCCTCAGAAGACTTACATTTAATGAAAAAACAAATATTTATACATAAAAAGCTAGAAACCTATTTTTGCAGTTTTACCTCTTTATTTCCAGTATTGATTATGTTCGTGTCCAGTATTGTCGAGTAGTGATGTGTTCTGACATGGTGACTCGTTGCAGATGATGCAGCGCTACGTCAGTTTCCTCGGCTCCTGCGCGTTGAGCTGGAGAGAGCTGTGTGCGAAAGCCACCTGTGGTTGTCGCTGTGGGAACGGCCCCTTCGCAGTCCCTTCACCCGCCTACAGAGGGCGACCTGCTGTGCTGTGCTGCTGCAGCTCATTCTTATGGCAAACACTCTGTGGTACAGCATCGTAGTGGACAAACGGATCAGGTACTGAACAGTTTAGACGTATTCCCAGTATAAAGATTTTTTTTTACTTAGGACTGTTAGGGCTGGTGTCAGTGTAGAGATTATGGACTTATTATTTTAGCTCCATTCAGGTTTAGTATATATAGGACGCCCGTTTATTGTCAAAATAGATTGGTGGTTGAGTTCTGACATGGAAGCTAACACTAAGTAAAAGCATTCAAACATGACTTAATGTTCACTGTGTTATTTACCTTTTAGCCTTGTCCATAACTAGTCAACAGTGCGATGTAACATTCAATTAAATCATTAAATCATTTTGAAAACAGTCAACTATCCGTTTGAACTGGTTTGTTTTTCTCCATCAGTTCATGGTTTTACATTACACCATGAAAACCTGCGGGTTATATTCAGGTGCGGCCTATATGTGCACCAAATATACTTTCTTTTAACAGTTTGATGATTCTCTTTATATGTAGGTGCGCTTATTCATCCAGCAAGCACTGTAATTGCTATATTAAACAATTATGAAAATAATAGTTTGTTTCAGCCCTACTTTCATAATCACTAACTCACTGGACAGGCTTCTGTTGGTGTTGCTGTAATGTTTTCATTTACATTCACATGGAATTTCATTCACGCCACTCTTCACCATAATCAGTTTGTTTTTGATAATGTGCTGCAGCCCGCGGGCCGTGTCCACAGTGGCCTCTCTGAACGGCGAGACGGTGGCAGCAGGTGTTGTGGCCTGCCTGGTCGTCTATCCGCTCTATCTACTGGTGTTCACGCTGTTCAGAATGAGCCGCAGCAAGGTGAAATGATAAACAACACTCCAGTGGTTTCAATCATGCTCCTTCATCATCATCATCATCATCATCGCTTTCTCTTCCAGTGTGTGACTGTGGAGCAGGTGCCGCCGCAGATCGACCAAGAGTCTGTGGAGATCGACGACTTTCTTGATAACTCTATGGCTGGAAGCTCATTTCTCTTTTTCAGTGGCGAGGTATATGCACTTACTTTTTCATTTATTCAATTGAATATACATTTGAGCTTGAAAATGTACGTTTTTGGTCACATTTCACAGATTTGTTTTACTTCTCATTAGTCGTTGTGTGAATCTATTTATTGAAAACTTAAAATAGTGTTCTGATTTGTAATTATAATGACTACAGAACCTACTCATCTGATCCTGATCCCCCAGTTCTCTTTACCATGTATTTCCCCTCTTACATCTATAACAGCTCGGAGTCTTTTGCAGTAGTTGTAGATGAGGTTCTTTACCCTCGCTGATGGTACAGTTCCTGTAAATTCCTGGGCAGCCTTGCATGAACAGCATGTTTGAGATCTCCCTAAAGCAGCTCAATGATGTTTCAATTTTAAAATATTAAAAAAAATTATTTGACAATAAATGGTTTCACGTAACCACCAATTGTAAATGAAGAAATACAGTCATAATCTTTGTGTGTGTGCGTGCGCGTGCATTTGTGTGTGTGTGTGTGTGTTTGTGCTCTCCCAACTGAGAATAACTTTTTTTTTTCCAGACCAACTCTGAAGAAACAAATGTTGATTTACCAACCCCCTCAACCAAAAGGTGAGTTTCCAAAACCGTTTAAATTCATATAATTCATATCTATATTTTCTTGTTTTTGAAACCATTCCTTCATTGTTCTTCAGTGATGAGAGCTGGGACATGGGGGAGGAGGACATGGAGGACTGCGACTGGCCGGAGCTCACAAGTGAAGCGTCAGCTGTGGGCGGGGCGGGCCACGGAGCCGGACTGCCCAGACTGAAGAGAGGTCAGGGCAGCAGACACTTAGGAGTGGACATCGCCTTCAACCCCGACAATGAAGATGGACAGCACAACAAATACTTCACCTCCTCTGGTGAGCAGGCTACAGTTGTTGTGGGACACCGGGTTTGAGCTTGTGCCTGATCTTTGACTCTTCCACTTTACAGACGAGGATTTAATAAAGCACATTTTGGCCGATGGACAAAACTTCTTCCCTGAGGCCGATGAAAGTGAAATGGCAGATCTGTAAGCACACACTACTAATTACAATAAAACAGTGTTTGGATATGATTATACCGTCACTTTTAGCTACAGTTTTTTTTTAAAGGGTTTTCTTTTTTTATATTGTGCTCCTTGGCGGCATGGAGGCGGAGTGTGTAGCGCTCATGCTTCACAGCAAGAAGGTCCTGGTGTGATTCTGTGTCAGGACTTTCTGTGTGGCGTTTGCATGAGTGGGTTTTCTCCTCGTGTTGCTGTTTCCCCACCAACCAACTCATTATACTATAACTTAAACCCTCCAGTTCAGAATCAGAATCAGAATCCTTTGTATTGCCATGTGAATTACAGGAAGTCTCAAACTAGGAAATTGCTTTGGCTCTCGGTGCAAACAAGTTAAATCAGAATAAAAACAAGAAGGCATGCATAAATAAAAATCTACATAAAAGTATAGTTTCCTATGTTCCTGACCAAGTGGAGCATCAACATCCCGGGTGCTGCACTGCTCCTGGCAGAGGCCCTAGTGGAAGTGAAGGATCGGTCAAATGCAGAGGTCACATGTTCCTAGAGGGACTGTTGTATCAGCTTTACCTTAATTATGTTTTTGTGTCTGAAGCTCTTGTATGTATTGTGCTATACAAATATACAAATATTCTATTCAAATTATGTTTGAATATTGAATATTATTTTCCCAGCCCTAGTGTGCTGTGGCATGTTAGTGTGCCTTTGGATATGATCAGAGTGAGGCAGAGTTTAAGTTTGTATCAGTTTCAGCTGGTGGTGTTTGAGGAACACTGATCTTTATCACCTTGTTTTCATTGTGAATAGATCAAGCATCTTTGGAGACAAAACTGAAGTCATCCTTCTCCAGAAATTTCACGAGCCTCTTCCTCTTGAGACAGTGAGAAGAGATCCACCAAAAACGGCGTTTATGTCTAACACAGGTGTGTTTCTTATTGTTTAAGACACACATGGATAATGTTCTCAAATGATCCTTCTTCCTTGTGTGCAGTGGTGACAGATGTGTGTCGTCCGCGACGCTTCCCTCCCTGGTGTGGGCGTGCTGCTCTGTGGGGCAGCTGGGCAGGACTCGCTCTGGCAAACTTCATCTCTATCTGGGCAGGACGCGGCTTTGGGCAGCAAGTGGCCATGATGTGGCTCATCTCGTGCTTTTCCAGCGTCCTGTGCTCCTGCCTGCTGCTGGAACCAATGAAGGTGAACGACATATAGAAGTAAAGCTAGAGTACTTAATTTTTAAAACAATCCAAATGGTTTGTAGCTCTCAAAATAGTCTGGTTCTTTCACTACTTTTATCATGCTTGTTAATCTCTGGGAGATCTTTATTAGAGTCTCAGGTGATGACACTCTCTGCCCTCAGGTGATCTGTGAGGCGCTGTACTTCGCCGTGTGTGTGCGGCGGCTGCGGCCGGAGGACCAGGACGTGTTGGTGGAGTTCCCACGCGTGGAGAGGGTGGTGCAGAGGGTCCACAGAGTGCGGCCCCCCCAGGGCTTCGCTTTGTCCCAGGCCCGACAACAGGCGCGCAAAGTCTACATGCTGCACACCATGCTCAAGGTGAAACTAGACTTCATGTGGGCGAGTCCAGAGTAGGAGGATTCAGAACAAAAATAATTGTCTATTGCAATTAATATTTTTGGTCCTCCACTTCAGGAAATTACAAAGACAAAGGTTAATCTATAGATCACAACTAATCCATTATTGAGGAAATCATTTACGTCTATGTTAGCAATTGAACAATCATTACCTCACCTGCTGTTGTGTCCTTAGGCAAGTGTAGCATATATGGGTTGTATGCTTTATGTTACCCACAGGCACAATACTGATCTTAGGCGTGTACCAGAAGCTAGATGCGTCTCACAAGAGAGAGAGGTGTTTAAAAAGACAGAGACAGTGGTACAGTGCAAAAATGTGAATTATATTGCGGAAAGATATATATACAAAAGACTGGGGATATATACAAACATATATACAATATACACAATATGTACAATGAATGTAGAGTGTAAAGTTGAGTCCATATAACCAGCGTGTTGCTGTAATCAAATGTCTATTAAGTGTCCACTTTGTGAGGAGTGGAGGTGTTGTGTGGGTGAGCAAAAGGCTGCTCGCCTCCTACCGCACTGTGGGACAGTCTGGGTCTAGGCTTTGGGCCTGGGGCAGCTCGCCATCGACAAGGGGACCACTGGACTGGAGGGACCAATGGAAGGAATGGATGGATGGATAGAACCTGGCCTGTTACGAACAGGACCAGCATTAGTCACATCTCATTCAAATAAGCAATAGGTCATTACAAAAACAAAGTCTCATATACATGTATATTAAATAATCAAGAGTACTCATCACAATGCACCATAAACAATAATGCACAGGTCACATTAGCTTATCTTGTGCACACAATCAAATATATCAATGCATTTAACATTTTGCTGAGGTGCACATTAAAATACATCAATACACATTATCACAATCATTCTACTAGGCCTAGGCACCGACACAGAAAAACATACATCAAAGAGAAAAGTCAGTAATGCAGCAGAGACTAGCGCTAGCTACTAGCTCCGTGCAGAATCAAACAATCTGACTCACCAGTTCCTCTGTAGAACAGTGCAAACAGTGTGACAACCGCGTCAAAGATAGTGTAGGAGGCGCCTGTAGTGAAAGCATATCAGTTACAACCCGTAGATTATGAAACGAAGTTAGATCGCGGACAATTACCTGCAGCCTGCTCGGATCCGAACTTTCCCCACAGCAACACACCCGACTGTGGACAGAGCGCGCTTATTTGAGGAAATGTTGCCATGGGGACCGTGGGAACTCTCGCTCGAACTCTCGTTGGAACAACCAACTACCGCGAGATTATTTAAAAGAGACGGCAAAAAAATGACAAATGGAGAGGTGCAGAGAATGATAAAAATTACCCGGGTTACACCAGACACTTCACCCACTTTGCTTAGAATGAGCTTGGCCAGTGTGTGAATGGTTGGTGGTGGTTGGAGGACTGATGACACATGCTGGTTACCTTGCATCTGTCATTGTGCCCCAGGGCAGCTCATGTAGTAGTTTATTGCCACTGTGTCTGGAGAGAAATAATAATTACACATCTTTGAAGAGTCTTTGAGTGTCCAAAAAAGTGCTATATAAAGCATTAATTATTTATTTTTAATATTGTTTTAATATTTATGATTATGATTATACTTTATAACATGCCTTGTGCTGCAAAAATATGAATGTATTGTTCTCAATCAACTTTTGTTGGCGTGTTGGTGAGGTGTGTTTTTTTTTATAATGATGAAAATGACGGATGAAATACTAACCATGAAATAAAGAACTTTTTAACGTAATCATTCCTCTTCATAGTGGACTCTCATGTCCTTGTCTGTTTGCAGTGATTCATAATATGGTCTTTTGTCCATGGACACATTTCCAGTACGATATTGATCAGTCTGTTGGATCTCAAGTTATGAGATATTGACTCCTGCTGTTGTTTTTCTGCAGAACTTCCTGGTTTACATGTTTTTTCTGCTGGTGGTGATTCTTCTGAATTACTCAGACTCGGCCAAAGACACGCACAGCTTGAGACTTCGCACTCAGCTCCAACAAGCGCTGCACACACCGGAATATCACAAAATCACCCGGTAAAAACAAGCTTTATTCAGTAGTACCTAGAACCTTCACACCACAATGTCCTTTTTATTGTGGCTCACATTTAATCTATGTATACTAATGTGTTTCATAGTCCAAAGTTAGATCAGCATAACCACCGTCTGTACTATACTGAAGTCGAAATACTTCTGTTTTCAGTCGTGTTGATGTGGTGAAGTGGCTGAATGGATCTTTGTTGCCACGGCTACTGGATGACTCAAGACTTCTTCAAGATACAGGAAGTGTGTTGCTTGGTACCATAAGATTTCAACAAGTTCGTGATGCACAAGGTGATTGTAAAAGTTGTTCAAACTGTTCAAAGAAATGATTATGTTATGTGACTGAGTAGACCGGTATTCAGATCTATAGTCAATAATAGATTTATTGTTCCTTCCTTGACACGACTAAGACGTTCTATTGATAAAGAAATTCCTCACATTCTGTTCTTGCATTAGACAATCTCAATACTTACTGTTCAGTCTGAAGGAATAGAATAGTTGTTTGATTATTTGTCATGGACAGCACAGTAAAACCAGCAAAAAAATGTTCGGTGAATTTGGTGAAAATACAGGGAAGTCATTGCACAAGATTTGATCACAACATGTCTTACCTAGAATTAGACGGCGTATACATACAGAACAGAATCTATATGGGTTTTGAGCGGTTGTTCTACATTTAAATACATTATTTGTATGTTTTCAGAACAAATGAATGTCCTGGATCATGCTTCAGTGACGTCGCCAACAGTGAAAAGGTAACGGTCTTGACATATTGATCCTTGCCTGTGGAGAACAACATATGTTCTCCTGTTCATCCATTTTATTAGTTATTATAATGTACACACAAAAAAGGATGCACAAACAGTTGACAGTAGCAGACATCAATCAACTTGATGTCTGCTGTCATTGTGTCCTTGGGCAAGACATTTAACCCCACTCTGCCTGAACCCCCTGCTAAAAACCAAGGCTATGACCGAGCAGCTATCCTCCTGTGGACTCCCCGCCTGCAGGACTAAGGGGGCACAATACATTCATGAACATTTTGTATTTTATTTATGTGTTTCTGCTGCTAGACACCTGAATTTCTCCTACGTGGAATCAGTAAAGTATCTATCAATCTATTTAGAATGCACCATATATCTGCATGGTGTGTATTGCACCATAGACTCAGCGTTGTTAATGCACCATTCACCCACAGAAGAGAGTGTATAATGAGTGTGTAATGAGTACATGCAGTGGCTTCCCATGAACAGCTACAATGGTAGCCCAGGCCTCTCTGAAATACCACATACATACAATGATAGATAATAATGCTCTCATAAAATGTATTTTGATGTTTTATCTCAGTTTGTATCAATAATGTTTAAAAAGGAGGTGGTCTGCTTGAACTACAAAAAGGACTTATATGTGTATGGACCTTTTACTTTAATACAAGTATATAAATGTAATCTTCTGTGAAACTTTTCACAGCTGTGAAAGAGCTCACAGTCAGTAAACGCACACCGAAACACACACAGCGGGCTCCAAGCTTATACAGCGACACATACAGACTCTTTGAGGCTTTAAAAAAACATCTTGCAATGTTTTATAAATCATCAACATCCAATTCAAATATTAATGAAGAAATAGCTCTAATCTATAAGACTGGCTCTACCGCTGGTATGAATTCAAATGCTTTACAAGTTATTGCTTTTTGTTATGACAAATGATAAACACAACATCGTTATGTACAGGCTTTGTACCAATTCTATTAATTTCAGGCATCTGCGTTTTGGGAAATCGAGAGCTTTGGAGAGTGGAGTTGTTGTTCATCAGCTCAACCGAAGTCTGGGAGAAGCTGTTTCATCTTTAGAGATTCTACAACGACAACAATGGCTCGACCACAGGTACAAAGTCACTGAGGATCCCACAAGACAACTTAACTAACTGGATTGGATTAAAGAATATCTCTACTGGGTTTGTTTTTAAATTCAGGTCAAGATAAAAAAAACTCCACTGTGTTTTACTTCCACAGTTTATTCAGTGAGGGGCAACTCTTCTTTCATCAATTATTTCCCGCACAGATTAAGAACACTTATTTTAAATGGTCCACTTATGAAATCTGTACCCTCATGAAAACCCTCATGCTTCGTGAGAGGGTGGCAATTAGATAACTAGTTTGTTCTTGACGTCCTTGCTGTGTGGCTGCAGGACCAGGGCAGTTGTGGTGGAGTTTCCTCTGTACAACATCAACACAAACCTCGTGGCTGTTTTCTCCTTCGTCTTCACCTTCCCTGTTTCTGAGCGCGCTCAGTGCAGCCTCCATCTCCTCGTCACAAGTCTCTGGCCAATCACCGGACTGGATCTGCCACTGCTTCTAACGGTAACAACTTCCATCAAACAAACAAAAGTTCTTTGTCAAAGTCAAGAGAATATTTGAGTTGTATGTTTATTTGTCAAGTTTATGTGCCCAAGTTTTTCTGAATTTAATAATAGCATTTTCTCTTGTCAGTCTACATTAAATGTCAATAAGAATAAAAATTCATATTTATAACAATAGATCTATATGGGGAATAAAATTATGTTTATTTCTTCTTCTGATTGCCCAGGCCTACTGCCATGCAAGTCTATAAGTTATAAGACTAATAATTGTGTATCATTTTCAGATGGTCCTCTTTGTCCTGGTCATGTACTTCCTGGTTCGGGGCATCCTGGGATACCTCCATCAGGGCTACACTTATTTGCTTTCGTCCTGGAGGCTAATGGGAATGTGTAAACTGGCTCTGGCGCTGTGTGTGTGCGGGCTTCACCTCAGCCGCTGCGTCGCGGCAAAGCAGCGATGGACCTTCTACCTGCGGCACCCTCGCGACGCATTCATCGACTTCTGCTCCGTGGCCAAACAGAGCCAGCTGTTCGCCGTCACGGCCGCGCTGCTGCTGTTTGTGCTGGTGCTCAAGGTAACGGCTTCAACACTATTCGCTCTGCAAAAACACTGTCCATATTTTCTTTGAGCTTTTAACCATGTTACAACATTGTTCCTTTGTCAAAAACAGACCTAGACTTGTTCTTAGATTCACCCATTTTTGGCACAAACATGAGACTCCGCCCCTTCTGTCTAAAAGCTCCTCAGTCCTATAATAGTATGATGTCATTGTGCCACTATGGTTATCTTAGTGGTTATGGCTAACCACTATCTTCATTAACATTCTAGAACATGAAATGATGATAATTTGTCCCATTATCGTACTTAATTTGTCTAAAATATGTATAACAAATCATTGGGTAATGTTCATAATATATTATCATAATGTTATCAAAACAAAATATAAAATAACTACACCTGCACAACCTGCATTTGACAGCCATATCTTGTCAAGCAGGGTGGGGCCTGGTTAGTACTGTGATGGGAGACCTCTGCCACAGTGGGGCGGCTGTAAAGTGCCAAACTTTTTGTGTCTTTAAGCAAGACACTTCAACTACATTGTGTGTGTGTGAATGGTTGGTGGTGGTCAGAGGGGCTGATGGCACATACTGGTTTCCTCCCTTCTGTCAGTGTGCCCCAGGGCAGCTGTGGCTACAGTAGTAGTTTATCACCACCGTGTTTGGAGTGAAAGAATAATGACATTTGAAGCGTCTTTGAGTGTCCTGAAAAGCACTATACAAAACCAATGCATTATATTAGTTGTAGTTGTTTGAGCGCTGACATAAAATCAATTTTCTAAAGTTCTCGTCTTCTTCATCAACTGAGTTGCCTTGTGTATGAATTGTGCTATACAAATAAACTTGCCTTGCCTACATGTGTATATACTACATTTAGCTACAGCACATTTTTCATCTGTCATTGATTATTATATGCTTATCTTAAATTATCCATTTCACACATTTTTCTTAATCTGGCATGGGGCTTTTTTAGTGAAAGCATGCCTTGAATTAGTATGAATTCTATTGGATCTTGTTTAGATCTTGTCCTCATTTGCCCAAAAGTGATTCCACCTTGATGAAATGAAATGATTTTATATCCTATTTATTTGACAGAAATAGCAGTAGGGCACATTTAGAAGTTTGAATAGTCAGGAGATCAGTGAATGAATATTTGTGCAGATGCTGAAAGTGAATTCAATGTGAAGTCTGTAAAGTTTCCACAAACAATGGTATTGAGTTTGGTGTTGATCCTGTGTTCTTAGGCGTCACATCAGCTGCGGTTCCTGCGGGAGTGGGCCGTGTTTGGTCGGACGCTGAGGCGCTCAGGCTGGGAGCTGCTGAGTCTGGCTCTGGCTCTGCTGGTTCTGCTCTTGACCTACGCTCACACAGGACACCTGGTCAGTGCTCTTCGTCACAACAATTTTATCAGACAAATTATATTCCACATGATTTCTCTCATTCGAAATCTGACTTTTTCCTGTCATTTCCAAACTCTGTGACTGATAAATGTTTCTTTCATTATTTTTGCTGGACTTTTTTAAAATCAATACAGCAGACCTTGATGTGAAATTCAGCAGTTTCTTTGCATTCTCAATACTTGTGATGTATCTTTAAAGATTAAAGCCGGAGTACCTCACTTTAAAACAACCAAAAAATAACAGTTCTTTCTTTCTAGTTCTTCACTCTCTAAAACTGTTCTTTTACTAGTTTTCACGTCACATTTTTGATGAAAAACAGAGGACCAGCCATCAGTATATAAAAGATAATAAGGTGCTAAGATTGAGATCCTTTATTCGTCCCACAGTGGTAAATGTCAGTGTTGCATCACAAGTTTCAGAGCAGTAGGAATGAGGAACACATGGCACAAGATAAATGTACAATAACTATACTAATTAAAATAAATACAATTTCTAACTCTAGCATCAAAGAAACAAGTAAAAAATCTCTAAATTTGGAAAAATAAGAAGCAAGTATAAAGTACTGTGTATTAAACTGTGTACTTGTATAGTGCAGGTAATATGTAGTTGTATAATATGTTGTATTGTTTACATCTGTACATTGTTAGCAGCATTTGCTAACCCCACCCCCGTGTTTTCACAAAGCAAAAGCAAATGGGCATAAAAACATTCCCAAAACTTAAATGACGGCTTTGTTTGACGATGATAAAACACAATACAACACAATGACATAATACAGCCCTTTTACACAGAACAATGTTTACTGCTGCATCTGCGACCTTCACTGTGACTTAAGCTCACAAAAGGCTTTATTCCAATCTTTCTAAAGTAAAGTTGCATCTGAAAATCTCATCTTGTCTTTAGTTTCCTATGAAAGAGAATAAACGACATGATTAGGATTAAGAGGGAGATTGTACAGGTTTTGGACAAAGTGAATCTTGTTGTTACCCAAATCATCCTGATCAGAAATGTGTCTTCCCCTTTGCATTTATTTTGTTGATGAGAAAAGCCTGTTCTTGTGCATTCCTGGGCCGCCTTGGATTACTTTCACGTTTCAGATCTCCTCAAATTGGCTGAATTATTTATTATTATGAAAACAATTGAAGAAAATGATGTGGGGGTCTGGAGTCGTGTCACAGACAGAACAAATGTTTTATTGATGTTAAAACGACAAGAGCAAAGAATCTCCGAATTCATATACTGTAGAAGTAGATGCTCTACTCTGCAGCTGCCACGGGGCCAGTAGCTTCAGCCTTCACACAATCAAAACCTGCATAGTGTTATTAGACAAGCTCAGGTTTCACCAAAATTGCTCAAAAGTTATAAAACATCCACACAACAAACAAGTTTATTTGAGGAATAAATGGATTTTCACATCCACTAATGATTCAAGTTTTCCATGTTAAGAATACGACAAAAACAGAGCACATTGCCCGTTTTAACATCCCTCCACTGGCTCCCCGTGCGTGTTTGAATTGATTTTAAAATTTTACTTTTAAAGCTCGTTTAGGTCTGGCACCCAGCTATATTTATGAACTTTTAACGCCCTACGAGCCCTTCTCCCGCAGCCTTAGGTCCTCGGGCAGGTCCCTGTGGCACCAGACGAAGGGTGACCGTGCCTTCTCTGTCCGGGCTCCTCGGATCTGGAACGACCTGCCCGAGGAGATGAGGCTAGCACCATCAGTAAACTCTGTTAACTGTTCTTTTTAAACCTCACGTTGTATTTTACCGTCTGCTTTGTCTTTTCTGTTCTTTGTCTGCTTTATTCTACTGTTTTTGTTTTTGATCTGACTGTTTCATGCTGACTGTTAAAAGTGCGATACAAAAAAAGATTACTATTATAACTCTAATTCTTCTTCTCCTGTCAGCTGTTCCACTCGGTGTTCGAAGGTTACCGCAGTGTGAGCTCCGCCTGCTTGTCCCTGCTGGGCACTGGGGGCAGAGGGCTGTTGTACTGGAGCCCTGTTTCGGCCATGAACGTCCCTTCTGGAAGCATCTGCACCCTGGTGTTCCACAGCAGCTTCGCTCTGCTGCGCCTCCTGGTGGTGTGGTTTGTGATCGCGGTGTTGTTGAGGAACTACAGGCGTGCGCGGGCAGAGCTGTACCGGCCCGCGGTGGACCTCCAGGACTACGAGATGGTGGAGCTGTTTCTGCGGAGGCTGAAGATGTGGATGGGACTCAGCAGGGCCAAAGAGGTGTGTCTGTGACTGAGACGTGTACCAATGTCAAGGGGTGGAAAGAGGGCAAAATAAGGATTTAATGAAGACGGTGATATTAAAGTCCAGGGAAAAACAAACTAAAAATATAAAACTAAGGAACCAGGACAACAGACGGACAAAGATAATGATCCAGCAACAAATGGGGATTAGCAGTTGTATACAGTTGTAAACATACTGCTGCTAATGTACAGATGTAAACATACTGCTGCTAATGTACAGATGTAAAAATACTACTGCTGATAATGTACAGATGTAAACATACTTCTGCTAATGTACAGATGTAAACATAACTACACTTTACTTGCACTAGATTACACAGTACTTTATACTTACCTCTTATTTTGTCAATTTACATTTTTTACATCTATTTTCTCTTTTACATCTATTATCTAAGATAGGGATTTTATACTTATTATTGATGCTAGAGTTAAATTATTTTTATTTTTGTTTAGTATAGCTATTTTTCACTTAACGTGTGCTGTGTGCTCCTCTTTCCTACTGTCCTATAACCTGTGATGCAACACCGAAATTTCCCCACTGTGGGACAAATAAAGGATCTCTTAATCTTAATCTTAATCCTAGCACAGGTACATTTAGACACAAAGAGACAGAGGGAGACACAGAGAGACACAGGTGAAACACATCAGGGCGGGGCAGACAACAACACAGGGGAACAAGACAGGAAATCAAAGTAAAACAAAAACGGCAGAGAACAGAAAAAAGTATTAAATTACTTAAAATCAAAAATTAGATGAGCGCTGTCATGTGATCTACACGGCATAAAGTTCAAATATCCCCACAAAGATGTCTTTCAAAATGATGCATTAATGTGCATTAACTGATAATGTTCTTAATGCTGTGTAGATCATGTGATAACTGATTACATTTAGAGTAATCAGTTACATTACCCTGATATCTATCACCGAAACGCATTGCAAGTCCCTGTTTGTTAATGAATTTTAATTTAAGAGTTGTGTTTCATTAACCCTTCATTTAAGAACAATGAGTTCTTATTTCTCAAAATGCCTTTTACACCACCTTGCATGTGTTGATAATATGTTTAGCCCGAGCGCAACTTTTCAGCTTGATAAGAGAGACGAGTAGCTGAACTTTTACTTGAGAATCCAGGTCACTTTCTTTACTGTGACCTTCCCTTTTTTAAATTGTCTGTTATTGAGTGCTCTATCTCTTCTAGTCCTCTATCTCAAGGCTTCACAATTGTGTTTGCTTCCCATTTCTGAAAAAGCTTGGGCCTAAAGGCTTCTAAACTTGTTACCATATAAAAGGGAAGTCAGCAGTTTGCCATTTGAAAAAAGCCTTTCTCAAGCTGTGTAATTACCCATAAATGGATGCGAGTAGATATGAGCAGTGTGTAGCTTATCAGAGCTGCGGGTGAGTAATTGTGTTCATTAAAGTTGAAAGTCAGATCCCCAGCTTTAATCTCTTTTCTTGTTTCAATAGTTCCGGCATAAAGTGCGCTTCGAGGGCATGGATCTGCCCCCATCCCGCTCCTCCTCCACCAGCGACTGTCGGTCCCTGTGCCTCCCCCCTCTAGACCGGCCAGACTCCCCCTCCAGTCCGGACAGTGTGGACGGGGGCTCTGAGGCGTCATGGCGGCCGTCCTCCTCCAGCCCCTGCAGCCTGACCGAAGCCCCCGGAGCCACTCTGGGCCTGGGCTTAGGACTGTCCCCCGGGGTGATGGTGGGAGGCATGAGCTGGAAGGAGAAGGCTGAGACGGAAGCAGCTCTGGGGAGGGTCCTGCCCACTCTGGACGCTCTGTTGCAGCAGCTGGACCGCGTCACGATGGCAACGGAGGACTTGTACTACGTGGAGTGTAAGCTGGAGAAAGCTCAGCGGAAACGCAGGAAGCTCAGGGGGGAGACGAGCAGACTTTTAAGGGCGCAGGGAGAGGACTCGGGTAAGGGGAAAGATAAAAAAACTGAAAAAACAAAACAGAAAAGTAAAAAAGGGAAGAAGGGAGATAAAAGTGAGATGAAAGAAGCCAAAAAGACTGTTGTTGCCACGCCCGTGCCTTTTCTCAAATCCAAAACTTTAAACAAACTCACAACCACTCCTTCGCTATCGTCGAGAGCCCACGCTCTCACCCCAGCCCCGAGCACCCCAGGGCCCTCCACCTGCGCCTCCACGCCCACCCAGTCTGGCCCCTCCTGCTCCAGCCTGTTCAACCACCCGGCCCACACCACCACCATGCCCACACGCAAGAGCAAGCGCAAGCCTCCTCCGCTGAAAAACAAGGTGCACCCGAACATGGACAAGACCTGAGGCCAGACAGAACGTGGAGGTGATAGACGCAGTGAGAGAGGAGAGGTCAGACAGCTGGATTGTCCTTGACGTCCTCTCTATTCAAAGGAAAAGAAGAAAGTATGTTGGAAGTTTAAGTATAGTGCAGGTCGCTCTGGTTGTTTAGATAAGAGAATTGCAAATCAGGAAAAGTCGTTTGTAAATGATTTCTGGCCCCGGAGGTCATGTGTGGTCAGTGACAAGAGCGCAACAGCGTGCTCACATTTTGGATTAGATAGAATCGAGGCTCGTATGTAACAAATGAATGAAGGTGCAGACTTGAGTCACTATTTTGACTTGAGACTTGTTAGAGTGGACTGGGACTCGGGACTGGACTTCAGCTTTGAGGCCTGAGACGACTTCTTGTCAAGACTATGCTATTTTCTGTCTCTAGCCAACACTCTTGACTTGATGTAAAGCCATAGGACTGTCATGATTAATCGCAATCATGTTTTTTTTTTTCTTTATAATAATCGTCAACTATTTGAGTAATCGATTCATCTTTAGCTGTTTTATATACAAAACCCGAGACACACTGAGCTTACGTTTTAGACTCAAACAACCGTAATTACATAAAATGAATGTATAATAATAATGAATATATTAGGAGTAGAACGTCCTCAAGCCGCTTCCCTTCAGATTCATCAGTCAAATCAGAATAATCTCATAACTGTGTTTTAAACAAGGCTTTGATTTATTGAAAGAATATTGGGTTATTAAAATACTCCTAATCTACAGCCCACACTCTGAGGACACACGTCTGCATAAAGGTACACATTAAAAAGCACACAATCTTCAGGTTCAAGGACAAAACAGACGAGCGAAGTCCTTCTGCGCGTCCGTACGCTCTCACAGGGATTGTACGTCTCTGCCACGCTAAAGCTATGTCTTATTGTGTTGAAGCACTTTTATTTGTTCAGATTGAGGTAATATTCTACGTCATGGTGATATAATAAGCTTGGTATTGAACCAAAAGAGAAGGTTTTACTCATACATACTGCGGGCGTTGCAGCTTGAGATGTTTTTAATGCCATGTCATTTTAATACAGCTTTTTGTTTGTACTTTGCACTTTATTTTCTAAGGAAACTATTCCAATGGCATATTCAGTTGCGTTTCTATTCAGCGTCACATTATCTAAAAGGGCTTGTTACGACATTGCAGGTTGTTTATTGTTGTCAATGATGCCCATGGGCAAATCTCAGGGAACGATACACCCCCAAAAGAAAGAGTAAATAACGCATGAGTCTGAAATGTAGACATACTGGTACTTTGCAAACTTTATGTAGTCATATATGTACATTTTGGGGCTTTTTACTGTATATAATTTTGCTTTATGCCTTTAAGAGTAAAAAGGATAATATAGTGCTGCGTTAATCGTTCATATGTTTGTTCAAGATAAATGTGTTCTCTAAAGTTTGTTTGTATTAGTTGTAGCACTTACATAAGACAATGTCAAGGTATCTGGCAGCTGCATGTTGTCTGATAAAATGCCGAATAAAGTTTTTTTTTTAAACCGTTAAACTGTTGTAAGTATTTGAGTGAACACGGCCTCAGAAATTATACACTTTGTGATAAAGTGGAAGAATAAGCAGCACATACAACCAGGTTTTCACAAGTTTTATTTCAGCAGCCTAAATCTTCATTTGTCATTCATTTCCCATTGAGAAAGTTCAAACCAAAAATACATCATCCAAACACTAGATTAATACTTTTGTTTAAGTCAAACAAAATCTGTGAAGTCGTCCACGGTTGAAACCAGCCTCTTCCGTTGTCCCGCGGCTTCAGGGTTTTGCTGGACGGACTTCTGCGTGTGGCCTTGGGTGAGCGAGATCCCAGGTGTGGAGCGTGACTGGATGTCCTCCTGCGCCTGCAACAACACACACTATTAGGGGCCGAGATCAAGACTTTATTAATTGAGAAATGCACTGCTATTGTCTTCCATGTGTTTCTATGTAAACTCAAGACAACAGACTGTGACAGGCCATGTTTAGGCACAAGAAAAACATCCCACAATGATAGTTCTACTGTTCAAAACTGCACTCTAACCCTAAACTTCTTGAAGCTAAATAAGTTACTGCCAAGACTGAAGTTCTGCACTGGACGAGAAAAAACCCTCCAAGTCTCATCCTGATGTCATGGAAAAATGCTGCTCCTACAGTCTGTGTGAGATCTCAGAATATTTCAGATTTCAAACAGATATCATGCATTCACTAAAAACAAAAAAGTTCACTGGACCCAGAATCACATGGAACTGCATCATAATGGACTAAGGTAAGCTCATCTTCCAGGTGGTGCACTACAAACCAGGTCAACAAGTTTATTAATTAATCCTCACACTATTGTAACAGTCCTTATGCAAAGTATTGCATAAGAAGTGGAAGAGAGCGAGTAGCGGCAGAGGTGTATGGTCAGAGAGTGTTTGGGCCCGTGTCTAATGTGTGTGTTTTGAGTTGTTTTAAATGAGTGAAATCAAATGTTTATCAGTTTATTTTGTATGTATATTTTTGTTTTCGTTTTCATACTTGTGAGATGTGTGTGTAGTTTTAGAACCTCCTTTACCTGACCTTCATGTAAGCAACAAGCAATAAAACAGTTTTGTTTGATTGCTGTATTTCTGTTCACCCCGAACTCGCCTGATTTGGTTTAAATTCGGTCAGTGCTGTGTGCAGGAAAGAGGTGATTATTGCGTTTTACCCTCGTCCGAATCCGCTTGATGTGTCTGAGCCTGGCCAGCCATTTGGAGGCATACGCATCAGAAGGGTTGGCGCGGTTCTGGTGAACTAAAGAAGCCATCTGAGGAAGAACAAAACAGACACGTAGTTATTTTACAGCAGTTTTACAAATCACAAAAGCAACAGTTAGTAAAGTAATACTTTATTTCAAATGTATAAAAACAGTAACAAAAAAAAGATACAAAATAAACTAATATACATTTGGAGTTGGACCTCTTTAATTCTATTTACATTTTATTGTACAGTATTGTAATATATCTTACATAATATAACCTATATTATAACCTTAACATTGCACACTTCCTGTCTTTTTGCACACCATGAAGTGATTCTATGTATGCCAAATATGACATGTACATTTCTCCATTGTGAGATCCATAAATTTTATCTTAGCTTACTGTATCTTATATTGACTTAAAAACTGGACATTTTTGCATATTTGACTTTGTAGAGACCCACAGCTGTAAGAGTGATCAGCATGGTGCCTTTACTTTCCATCACAGTGGTCTCTAGGACGCTATAGAATCAATCGCTTCCTGGAGCTGTGGACCATGCCGACCACGCATACAGCAGCTGGATCACTGCCAGGTCAAATATGTACAGTACATACAAACATACACATTTGTTCCAGCTCACATAAAACGTTGCATAGTACATCTTTAAATGAACTCACGTTGGCATGTAGGGCCATTTGTCTCACTAAGAGGGGGAGGTTTCGATCAGACACGATTTTTGCAACTGTTGTGTCGACGAGCCCTTCCAAATCTGTAAGAAGAGCATTTTCAAATTTGAGGCTTTTCAATTCGGCGTACGGCGCGGTGAGGACCTTACCTTTACGGCACTGAAGCGTCACCAGATTACATTCATAATCGAGAGGTTTTATTATCACCTCCACAAAATTAAACTGACCCTGAAAAAGCCCAGAGGGAACAATGTGAAGTCATCTCGCCACAAAAAAAAGGTCAAAGTTTGTTTATTTACCTTTATTGTGCCCAGTTTGTATTCTTCCCCGGAGTCATTGTAAACGACCATCACAAAATCATTTCCAATATGTCGCTTTTTGTCGCAGCAGCCTTTATCGCTCTCTCGGTTTGGCATCAGCGTGGCAATGTGGAAGATGGCTGGGAGAGTAAGTCAAAGCACATTCATTAATTCTGTCAGATAAGATTTTTTAGACAGAGAAAGAAAAATAGAGGACCACCTTCACTCATCATCTCTCAGCCCAAAGCGTAAAATAGTGACTCACAGGGCTCTTACTAGTACCGGTATGTAAATTATGTCAATGTTTTCTCATAAGCTGAATGCAGCATGATGTGGTCCGATTTGTTCACAGAATTTTACTTTAACAGGACTCTTTATAAAGACTCTTTCTGCTGAGTCAAACAACTGAGGGATTTCATATTTGTATCTTTTTTTTAAATGTACTGTGATTATTTATGATTTTGATGCCATCTTATTTTGAGTTGCCTTGTGTATGATTTTTGCTATACAAATAAACTTGCCATGCCATGTATTATTTATAAAACCAAAAAGTTAGGTAAAATTATATAGTATTACCTTACTTAGGTTAGGCAAGGCGATCCCAGTTCTCACCCTTGCCCTTAAAAAGCACACTTGTCCTAAATTTTGCGCATGCCCGCTGGGGTTGTAGGGTGTCCCAATACTTAGGGAGCCTTCACACCCTTAAAAACCACTCTTGAGCGCAAGTGAGGTCTGGAGCTCACTTGCGAGCGAGGGTGATCCCATGATGCATTACGATAGTTGTTGGTAAAGCAGCTGTCGGCCAAAGCCACGCCACAATGGGATCCACGGGACTGCGGCTGTACCCGTCTGTCTCTGTCTGGTACGTCTCTGTGCACGTACGTGTATGTCACATACACATACCACACAGACAGAAAAATGCACGAACAGTATGTGCATGTTTCTGTCTGTGTGGTACATGCGTGTGTCTGTCTGTGGTACGTCTCTGTGCGTGTATGTACATGCACATGTCTGTGTGCGTGTGTGTCTGCCTATGTGTGTGTACATGTGTGTCTGTATGCGTGTGCGTCTGTCTCTGAGTGCATCATGTGCAGCAGTTCTGTACCTAATTATAGCAAATCTTCATATGAAATAGAATTAAAAACGTCTCATTTTAATAAATACAGTGTTTCATAAAGTCTTATCTGTGTCAGATCTTATCTGTGGTGAAATCAGACACTTTGATAATGTGTGTGACGTGGAACACGTCTGCTGCGTCATTTGCATATTGTCCCCTAGATCCAGGAGTGTCCCAATTCTTAGGGAGAATGTTGTGAGTGGACTCCCCACTGGGAAGGCACTTTTCTGGTGAGAGCACTCATACCTAAGGGCAAGGGTGAGAATTGGGACGGGGCCCTTAGGCAAGGTATTGCAACAGCCAAAAAGAATCCCCACTAGTTTGTGGTAAACTCTAAATATTTGTCTTAAAAACTAATTGGATAAGCTGTACATATACTTTACTAGTACAGAGATGGAGGGATTTCCAAGTGAGACTTTTGGATATAATATGTAACTTCAATCTAAGTTTTATTTCAACTCATTCTCATGATTGACCAGAGATGGCAGAAGTAATTATGTATTTCCCTGTGTTTATAGGCTTTAGTGCTTCCATTTCTGATGCCACCCATCACCAGTCCCTACCCATAACTGTTAAAACAATAATCTAAGGTTATTTTAATTAATTGTGAACTGAAAATCCCGTAACTACCTTGCATAATGTCGTCATGCCAGCAGTAGGTGAACTCCCCGTCGTCCCCGTACTGATCGAGTCCTCCCAGAAAAATCTGGTCTGGATCGCAGTCTTTCAGGTGTATGAGTTTGCCCAGTCCGGTGAGCAGCGCTGCGTACCGGTTTGAGCCGTACTCGTTGGATAAAATGGCCACCTCGCTGTTCACCTGAACGTAATGCAAAGACTAAATAAGAAAAAGAACATTTGAAAATCTAGTGGCTGCAGAATAACCTTTACCTGCCCAGCCCCAACAAAAACTACCCCGATCTTGTGGGTGTCATACGGAGGCATTTGGTCCAGGACCTTCACTGCGCGATCTATCACCTATAATGGACAATTTCATCATTATTACTATTATTGACGACATTAACAGAGCATTTTAAAACAGCTGTAAGTGGAAAGTTGCCCGACCTGTGTTTTGGGAAGCAGCAGAGGCTTGTTGGCTTCATTACCAAAGAACGGAGAGTGATAAAGCTGTAGAAAAACAAAACTGGAGCAAAAAAAAAAAACATTAGTCTCCTACATAAGAAATTAGTCTGTTTGACTTTAGGGAAAAGCTTGACATGGCTCAAAAAATGTTGTGCTGTAAATGTTGCATATTAAAATGGGGCGCAATAATTACAGAGACAAATATAACATTGAAGTAGTTAATAAGTAGTATTTCTTGGTTGTAAATATCAGAACAAATCTACAGCTCGATATAAAACAGATAATAAGGATGAACATGTAAATGAATATTCACAATCCCAGTCAGATCGAGCTCACTGTGGATGGGTTCATTTACCTGGGGCTGAGTCCGGACAGCTTCTCTGAGGTGCTGGGTCCAGAGCGGCTCTGATAGGTGTCTCGCTCACGCCGCGAGGAGGGCGCAGACACAGAGATGGTGTGGCCCCTCGGCCTGTGGCCCCCTCCAGGGGAGATGGGCCCCTGAGACACTGCTGCTGTGGGGAACTCCAGCCTCATCTTAGACCCCACATTCTGAGACGCCACAACTGTGGGACCCTCGTTCTGTCCGTTCACTACCTCGACTTTGTCCTTGTCCAAGAGTAGCGGGGGTTTACCATCGGAGGGCGCTCTGGGGCGGGACGTGTCTCTTTCAGACTCTAGAGAAGCTTTAGAGAACGCCTCTGGAAGAGTCTGTAGCTCGGGGGAGGAGCTGGACTTGTTCAGGCCGTGTCCCTGCGTCTGACTGTGGCTCTGGAAGGGCAGCTCCGGCCCCTGGCCCGGAGTGGAGGCCCCCGCAGCCGGCTGGTCGATGGGGATGGCTCCTTCACTCACCTCCTCCAGAGTAGACTTCTCATCATCTTGACTAGAGGTAGACGACGACTGAAGCAGAGATTCAACAAATATAGTTTTACATAACAAAATCATTTTAAATCCACTGCCCTGACGAAGACTTTTGTCGAATTTCTTAAATTGGAATAATTTTGAACTACATTTCTTATAGCTTTTCACTACATTTCACAATTAACACCAGTTTTTTAGAAATTCAAAGTGAAACGCACAAAAGGTGAAGCCGTGAAGTGTATAAATACAAGAAAAAGATCTAAGTTTGAGAAGCCAGTCACTGTATAGAAAGTATCCTGGATTTCAGAGGGTGTGAAACAATTCTGCTGTTTTGACGCCTAAGTAAAAGTTAATCAAATAACACAACATTGGATTTTGCATATTTATTAAATGTCAATAATAATTACTGCTTTTGATGTAATTCAATTTCATGCATATTTTGGGAGTCCCTGAGTGAACATTTTGAGAACCTCTGATCAAATTAGTTCAAAAATACATAAAAACAAAAAGAAACACACCCAAGAATGCTGCATTGTGTTCAAATACTAGCTCAAACAACGACAAGTTATCCATGATACACACAAGCGCATTTCTAAGTGGCGCCAAAATAGGTAAATAAGAATAAAGTAAAAAAACAGTATTTCCATGCAGAGAATAGCAGTGAGCGTGTATACTTACCCTGCTGAGGGTCCCATGGCTCTTTGTCGACTTGTCTGCAGACATGAAGATGGGGTCTGAGGGCATGGCCTCAAACCCTTCGGTATCGACCCAATCAGTGTGAGGCGTCAAGACCCCTGGACCCTCCTCCAGCACAACCACTGAATCTGAGCCACAGAAATCTAGTTACCGTTTACAAACATCAAGAACACCCCCCAAGTGTGAATAAATAAATACATGCACTTCAATGATTTTTGTCTCAGCACCTCACTAAATCTATAACACTGTACATGGTCTACTGGTGAAATCATGACAAAAGAAGATGACATGCAGCATTATTGATGTAAACTCAAAAATAGACAGCAGCAGATCTAGCACCTACAGAGACCGGCTTTAAGCGCACATGGGGAAAACAGGCAGATCAATACAATCTGGCTCTGCTAATTGATTTCCATCATGCACAGCTTTAGTTGATTTGTTTACTCAAAACACGCTGCAGCTTCCCCAACAGTTGCCCAGACCCTCATTTCAGAACCTGACTGCAAACAGCCCGAATATTCCTCAAATACTTACCTTTTAACTTTAAATAAGGTTTACATTATTAATAAGGTCTGGGCTTTTCTGTTGACAATATTAGTGCGAGAGGTTAGGCATAAAACACTACAAGAATTTAACTAGGTCCAGTGTTAAAGTTCACAAGACAAAATAGATACAAAAAGCAGATTAGAACAAATCAAAAACAATCCATTAATTGAAGAATTGGTCAAACAAACTGCAAGCCTCATGAGCATCACTTGTTGCAGCACCTTCACACATGATGAGAAATCTAACTAATCTAACACATTAATCTAAATCTAAATCGCACACTTTTATATCTGCATCTAAACATCCAGTGAGCACTCAGGACCCTGCCATTATACATTCACAATTCAGGGAAATCAGTTAAAATGAAACATGATTTTGAGTCATATTAGGTTCTGGACTCAGGATGGAATGAATGTGTTTATCATCAGATACATTTGCAAAATATAGAATCAACATCTAACTATGTAACTCTATACCAATGTATTCTCAGGATGTTTGGGTCCAAGTGATGTTTGCAGTGTGCTGACAGCGCTACAGGAGGACACACTACACAGGAGGGGGGTCGGTGGCACAGGAAGTGCACGGTACCTGCCCAGGAAATGCTCCTGTGCAGCCGGCCCGGGGCCGGGGGCCCTGAGGGGGCCGAGCCCAGACCCAGAGACCAGAGAGAGCCGCCAACTGCAGCCGTTACAGCCAACCACAAACACAGCATGAAACAAGATCAAAAACATCGAAATGAATCAGAATTAATAGCTTTAAAGCAATGAAAACAAAAAACTCAAAAGGAACAATGAAACATTAATAATTCAAAATGGTAACAATGCACATACATCAAACATGAAGCATTTCTGATCTTATTGATGAAGACATGACCCTGAAAACAACAACATTGAGCAAGTTGCTTTATATTTCCACATGTTCCTGTACGACAGTGAAGGGCACTTCAGGCTTGAGTTCAGGCAGCAGATGCTCTCATGCGTGACATGTACAGTGTAATGTAGGACTCTCAGGTCTCACCGGTGTTGGAGCGCTGGATGAGGTTGGCCTTCCCCGAGTGGCTGCTGAGTGCTTGGGCATCAGACACAGGGGCTGGGGCGGTGGTGCTGGCCGGGGCACTAGCTGTTTGAGTGGGGGGCTCCTTTACACCCTCCATGGCCATCAGCACACTGGACAGCTCCTGCAGAGGCATGTTGCCCAGCTCTGACGAGAAAGGACTGGGAGGGTTCTCCAGACACATCAGCCAACTCGTGTTCCCTGGACACAAACCACACTCACTCTTTTGTCATCCCACAGACACTATCTGTGATCAACAACACAGCTTTAATAAACTTGTTTGCAGTACTTTGTGCTCTACATACCGGACGGGCGGCGGATGAAGATCTCTGCCCAGCCTTGGGTGAGCATGGGCACAAACTCTGCCAGACTAGGGTGATCTTTGAGGGGAGGAGGAGCAGTTGATGTGGTGGAAGAGGGGGGCCCCAGGCCCTCCAGAGCTGGTCCCGCAGAGGGAGAGAGAGGAGCAGCTAACTCCCCTTCTGAAGGGGAGACCAGCGGGCTGAGACTCTGAGCTGGACCCGCACGTAGAGCATGGCCACCTGTAGAAGCGCAGGTTTATTTTATATTGTACTTATTTACTTGACCCATGCCAAAATGCTTGTGTTTTTTTCCAAAGTAAAGAATAGAGTAAAAAGTCATACAAATATCTAAACTTGTGAGAGCAAATGTATGAGATGGCAGATGTAAAGAGCTCCTGAAGGAAAAACATGACTTAATTAGATTTTGGCTAAAAGTCAATGAAAAAACAAGGTCAAGAAACTTTCTTGCCAAACTTCAGTAATGCACAAAGTGAAACACTATTTTTCAACCTGGAAAGTAGAAGTTTGTGCCATTATCCAATCCCTGAGACTTAGTACCTGATATTGAGCGGACCCGAATTCGTCTGTTCTGCTGTTGGCTTGACTGAGACTCAAGTTTGGCCGGAGCCTCTTTGGTCATTCTGGTGTGCAATGATGGGTCCGACCTGCGCAAAATATAGGAAATGTAATAATCGCAAAACTATTCAATTGGCCCAACTACAAAAAAAGAGACACCAAATACTACAAGCACCAATGTACTGCTGTCAACATTTGAATATGTCTTTGCATGACTATAAAGCCTGCTGTGGCGCTCACCTGGTCATCTCCCCGCCTCCGCCAAGGTGATCATTCACGTCCAGACCAAGGAGAGCTTGAGTGCGGACCCCTCCGCTGGTTGTTATGGTAACAAGTTTGTTGCCAACAAGCCAGGTCATGCTGCGACCACCCGCAAGAAGAAACTCTGCGATGGGAGATCTAAATATAAGATGTAAATATAATGTGTTTATCTTAGAGATAAAATATCTCTATTTAGGATGGAAATTTGTGGGGAATCCACTTTAACTTCCTCTATATTGATGCCGAACTGACAAACTTTGGACAGCAGATCGGACAGAATACCCCGCCATCACATCCCATTCCCATAAACACACCAAAATAAAGTCAAATCTGTCCAATAGTTTTCAGATACACACAGATGATAACAACCCCCCCTGTTGGTGGGGTAATATTGAATTTTATAAAACCCTGTTGCACACATTTGAAAGTATAGCCCTAACATGTCACCTCTTGGGTAAAGCAGAGAAGTTGGAGAATACGTAGCGTGCCATCATGTCAAGGCAGGTCTCTGTCAGCTCCAGGTGGACGGTCTTCAAGCCCTCATCGGCTTGAGTCACCGAGTTCTCATCAGCGGAGCCCAAACTGCAGGTGGTGGTGGACGTATGCATCCTAAACAAGCACAAAAAGAGGCTCAACACGCTGCAGAACAAATATCAGCACAGAGGAAGCCATGCACTGAAGTGTACTGCAAACGGATTAGTCACCCACAAAACGTGCAAATTGTCAACAAACAGTTCAGATTGAATCACTCAACGAGGCACATGCAACGGCTCAGATGAAGGATAATATGGACAATGTGTACGCCTGCAATATCAACAAACTGGAACTTGATCAAAGTTGCCTCTGGGGCGTAAATAATTACTTTTAATAAAGGTCAATGATATTTGGATGAGCAGTCTTGTGCAAATGGATGCTCTGGAGCCTCTTAAGTGCACTCAACCTCTCTGCAACCACAACAACCTCTAATGGGCTTCTCTGGCAAATCAAATGAAATACACATTTACAACAGATGTTAACGTCCACATTAAGATTAAGGATAAATGTAGATGCCTTTACGTCAGTAGAGATATACATACATAACGCATAACTTACGTCAGTCATAAAATAAATAATTTAAAGACTCAAGTCAAGAGGTTTTCTATGGGGAGGTTATTAGAGACAGCCGTAAAGAACAAACGCAAAACATGAAAGAAAATCTGATCAAAGCGAGCAGTGAAGGCGACGTTTCGTTAATATTTCTACCAACAGATTGTCGCCCCCGTCTCGTAATGTGCTTATACATGTACATATCTTGTGACTGTATTTAAAGCATGTTTCCAAAGTCCTTAGTTACAGCCCTGAGTCTCTCTCTGTTTATTGTTTATGACCCCAGAACTTCAAACTGCATTTCAACAATGAAATCAAACGTGTTTCAGAACATTGAGAAAAGCCAAAAGTTAAGAATAAACAAACTTTTCTACGATATAAACTAAGATCAAGTTCCAGCGTGTGATATGAGAGGTAGGGTATGTTGCCTGAGCAGTGGTCTTTAAAACTCACACACACCGAATCTGTGTTGCCAGAGCTTAAATACAGAATATAGAAATACACTATTTCACTCAAAACCTCCAGAATTCACTCAGAGCTGTAAAAGCTGCACTATTATTAACATATAGTGCAGGTGCAGATGCTGGGGTGCTGTAGCAGGAGCGATAATTGGCTCAAGCCATGTGAACTTCAGTATTGCAACAAGAAACATTAAAGATAGACTTATTCAGACCCATTCTGCTATCAAAATAGGTCATGATGAATGAAATCAAAATCACCATGGTAACCGTTATCATTAAAAGCAAGAGTAACATGTACTTTGGCCATTTCTCCAAGTCTGGAAACACAGATTGATCATGAAATGTGAACATACTATACCTTAAGAGCAACAAGTTTAAACCCATAAAGTACTTACCATTTATTTTGACATTTATTTAGTTTATGATGATGACAATTAATATATATATATATATATATATATATATAAAACGGCTTATTAACCGAGCGCGAGGTCTGTATGGGGAAATATCAGACTGCAGCCTTAATGTAGTCCTCTGAGATGACTTCTGTTGTGACCTAGGGCTATACAAGAATAAATTGTATTGTAAATTGTATGTACAGACCGAGCCGTGGCGAGGTCTGTGCAAAAAGGCCAAGGTCTGATATTTCTCTGTACAGACCGAGCAAGCAAGGTTAATAAATGTTTTATTATATGACTCTCGTCTGTGTCTTTACCAATGCTTTTGAGATATTTGTGAAGTATGTTCATGTCCAACTTGGTTTTGTGTGATACGCGCTGTGGACCGATTGTCATGGTAACGGTCCGTGGAAAGATATCAAATGTGATACGCGCTGTTCGGACCAATTGTCATGGTAACGGTCCGAGATGGGAAAATATCAGACCGCAAATCAACCAATCAAAGCGCGTGTACGGTCAAAGTCATATAATAAATATATATATACAGTACAGACCAAAAGTTTGGACACACTTTCTCATTCAATGAGTTTCCTTTCCTTTTATGACTATTGACTGTAGATTCACACCAAGGCTGTGTAAGGGCTGTTTGACCAAGAAGGAGAGTGATGGGGTGCTGGGCCAGATAACCTGGCCTCTACAGTCACTGGACCTGAACCCAGTCCAAATGGGTTTGGGGTGAGCTGGACCACATAGTGAAGGCGAAGGGGCCAACAAGTGCTAAGCATCTCTGGAAACTCCTTCAAGACTGTTGGAACCTCTTGAAGCTCATCAAGAGAATGCCAAGAGTGTGCGAAGCAGTAATCAGAGCAAAAGGTGCTACTTTGAAGAACCTAGAATATAAAGCATTTCAGTTGTTTTATAGTCTTTTTTTGAGTACATACATTATGAGATAATTCATAGTTTTGATGCCTTCAGTGTGAACCTACAATTTTCATAATCATGAAAATTAGAAAAAAAACTATTTAAATGAGAAGGTGTGTCCAAACTTTTGGTCTGTACTGTATATACACACATAAGGTTTTGCGTCAACTAAATACCAGTAAATTTAGGTTAACATTTTATTGGTATTTGGTTGTCCACACCTGACCATGGTCATGTGATGGACTGGTAATGGATTTACATGTTACAAATAGTTCAACCACAACACTGCAGCTGTTTAATCTCATCCGTTTCAAATCCGTTTTGATAAGGACATCAATGGTGTCCCCTAGTGGACAATGTTGACAACTGCAGTATTACAGAAAAACTAACAAGTCAAGAAGAGAAAAGCAATAGGATATGAGGAAAAGTTTTGTTTGTGCAGTTTGTAGGGATTCAACAATGTTAAGAAAACTAAATTCAAATTGCCCACATGCTCTTTGAAAATAATTCCAATGCAGTGAGATTGCCATGGTCATAGCAGGTGAAATGGAGCAACACAAAGCTAGTTGCGGCATAACTGTACACAGGTTTGGATGAAAAATATTACAAAGAAGAGCAGTAGTGAGATTTTGAACTTAATGGTTTCCATGAGCCCCAATAAACATTAGTGAAACCGTAAAATAGTTTACTTATATCTGAAACAACACATTAAACAAATTGAAAGGCAAAAATATGCCTCACAGTTATTATAGCCACATGCAAAGCAAAATAAAAAAATGCGGGTTTTTTTGTTTTTTTTTGGCGGCAGCCCAAAACACAAACTCAAAAATAGTTCAAAGATAGCACAACTCTTCCTCCAGCATGCACCACCCATCCAAAAGAGCCCCTAGGCAACAACAAATCACCAAAACTCCCCCACGGTAAGACCCTGACCCACAGCCCGTGGAGGAAGAAAGAAGATTGATTGCATTGGTTCTCTCAGTTTTAGTTTGTTTTTGTTACCCGTTTAGCCTTGGTCTAACCTGCGAACCGCGTGATCGGAGACGCTGATGCTGCGGGACCGGAAAGCATCCATGGCGGACAGGTCCCTCAGTTCTTTAACCGGAGACTGGCTATTGGCAACTGCCACTGCTGCTGCCCTTGCCACTTTAGCTGCCCGCAGACTGGAGGGTGTGGTCATGGAGTAAGGGGTAGGTGGTGGTGAGCATCGTGTGTGGTGTTTTCAGGATTTGGGCATTTGAAGGCATTGAGTATGGAGCAGGGATGGCCAGGAAGAACCCATTAGCATGAGCAAGGGTAATATACAGGGGTGATGTAGGGGTCAGGCAGGTTCGGACATAGGAGGCAATGTGGGGGAAGCAATGACAGGATTTCAGGATGACACAACGACCACCCCGCCCCAAAACCACAAGGCAGCACCCAATTGCAGGAGGCAGGGCAGGGGTTCAAATGAGTAGTTGAAAGGAAAAAAAAAACAAGGTGAAAATTAACAGCAGTGAACACAATGAGTCAAATCACAAGAGTGGAATAAGAGTAACTCAAGAACAAGCTACAGCAGAGGGTACAACTATCCAGAAAAGAAAATACAGAGGATTTCAGGAGAGCAACAAAATATTAATATCATTTGACACAGCAGGTACATAGAGAAGCTGAGGAATCATACAGGAAATGTCTAGAGTCGAAGTGTCACTTAGCATTGTCTGGGTGATGTTAAAACACAAGGATGAACCACAAACTGAAAATAAAATGGTTAAACTTTTGGGTTGAAAAGCAGGCTTAAAATACAAAGATGAAGTAGAAAATTGCTTCTTGCTCTCCAACCCAAAATATAGCAAAAATATAGCAAAAATGCACAAAACAATGAGGATAAAACACAAAACTGAGGGACAATGAAGCAAAAGCTGACAAAAAACACAAAAGGAGGGGTTTGGCTTATGGGCTGAAATAAATCTGAGATTGTATGCGTTTTTGAATGGGGCAGATGAATATGGTGCAGGGCGTTCCCACTCTGGTTCACTTTAACTGCCCCATTTCTGATTCAGAAAAAGGCTTTATTTGTGAAAATAAAATCACATCTGTGAAGCCTCTGGCCCCAAGTGACCCAGACTTGGTTCAGTTAAAGTGTGAACACACCTTTAGTAAAACCAACAAGTTTTACAGTTAGATGTGAGCAGACTATCAACAGTATCAATAGTAGAGTATTATCTGAAATAACTACAATATATAAGGCTGTAGAAGATATGTGTTATATTTCTAAACAAACCCTATAGACGTGGGTCTTCTTTGTTTTCCAAAATACCCATATAATGCAACTTTTTACATTGAATTATATGACTTTTAATCTGCATGCAATCAATGTTACAATAATAAATGACAAAAAATACAGGAATGAAAAAAATGATCACCATGGCAACCTATGAAGTCGCTTAATCGCGGTTCTAATTTTAACCACAAGGTCACAGCGGTGCATCTAAGGGAGGGGTTACTTTACCTCTTGGGTCGCTCATTGAGGCTTGTACTCCGAGCGCGAAATGAGCTCTGCTCGTGACTATCATCAAACGGCAACAATGCATTGGATCGCAGCCCCTAAAAACGTAGAACATGACTTAGCTCATCGGATACACAAATATTAACTATTTAGGCGGATACAGTACTATCAGGAAAAGGGATATCTCTCATATAATCTGACAAAAGACGCAAGCTTTAAATCTGGGGTACCTCACTTTCATGTCTGATGAAGGGTAGTTTTTGCCCTTAACGTCACATCTTTTGTTGCTAAATAAAATAATCCCTTAGCAGCGTCATCTAAATTTTTTCATCTTACTATTTTTGACTTTTTGCACGCTACTCAGATTTGGATGTGCACGTCAACCTCACTCTTCTGCCTCGTTTTCAAACCACAAAATAATAAAATTGTAAGAAAAAACCATCTAGCTCGTCAAAAGAATGCATAAAATGTTGGTCTAATCAGATACAGACAGTATGCTGTGGTCAGTTGGAACAAGGTGAATGCATTAAATATATAGGGGGAAAAACTTTATGTACCTTGTTTATATATCTTGGATCTTGTATTTATACAAATTAGCAACAGACTTGTGTGACAGCTCATACCATTTGGAATAAAATAGTTTTGCAGTTTAATACATTACGATGTACCTTTGTGATGTACTGCACAAAGTCCTTGCGGAAGGGAAGTCTGCAGCGAATGAACCACATGGCGATGACGTGGTGCGCAAGAGACACTATATACTGATTAAACCTAAAAAAAACACAATGATAAAAGTGTGTGATGTCTGTGGCTGGGACAGAGGCTTTATGGGTGAACACACTCACTTGGATGGGTTTGTGTAAGGCAATGATATGGCAAACACGCTGACATACTGCTCGGCTACAAAGTTGGCATAAAGATGGGGAAGGCGAACCAAAGCTGAAACACAAATAAGATCTTATAAAAGCTGATCATAAAATCATGTAGCTTTTAACATATCACATCTGTACACAGATCTTAGGGAGAGATGTACATACAGTATTTGATATAATATCATATACAACTCCTAAATTAAATTAACTGTAGTTAACGGTAGTGAATGGGACTAACTGGAGAGGAACTCGAGCATGGGTGAAGCCATGGCAACAGTGGCCGAGATGTGGGTGAGTTTGACGATCAGAGCCGGGAGCAGCTTTATCATGATGTCCGGCATCTCCACAGTGCACATGGTCAGAGCCACCACACACTGTTTGGCACAGCGGTAAATGAGGCCAGTCTCCAGGCACTGGACCAGCTCCCTCTGACAACAAAAAACACAAAGACAATAAAATATTAAACATATAACTTTAATGATGATGATAATACCACACGCACCAAACTACAGATTATTTTGACTGGTTTTATTGGAACCCTTAAAAATGTGAACTAACTACATAGTAGTATATACAAGGATGGAAAAGACATCACTATAAACATGTACAATTGTCCCCCATAATACCCTCCCAGACAAATCAGAAAGGACCGGCCCGGGCCAGGACTCCCCTGAAAAGAGATGCTGAAATCTCCATGAGACTTTCCTGGTAAAAGTAATGATAAAATAATAATAATAATAATAATAATAATAGTGACAATAAATGATGGACGAGAACAAATTCCATTGCTTAAATAATTTGTAAAATTGATATTGACACTGGTCAAGTACCTGTCTGGACTGTTCCAGATAGTTGTGATAGGAGGTAATGGCAGTGAGGACAGGCACGACTGCCAGCTGGACATCAGTTCGAGAAAAACCTTCTGGCGTTTTCTTCAAGCGCTCCGAGATTAAGCGATCTGTCACCTTCAAGACAATGTGTAAACACCGCAGTGACAATGTGTTGGAGATTACATGATTTGAATAGTATGAGACAAGAGTATATACCATGGTGCAGAGATGAGAGCAGAGTTGGTCTAAGCTGCATGGGGAGGTGAGCAGCAACACTTTGTACTGCAGAGTCCACGGCAACTTATCAAGCACCAGCTTCAACACCTTCCAATCGGTCTCCTACAAAACATATCAACAAAAACATAGTAAATGTTTCAAAGAGGGTGTGGTACAGTCTTTAAACATACCATCTTGAGGCACTGTAGCAGCACGGTGAAGGCGAGGGCATAGGGCAGGTACGCTGTGCGGATATAAGTTGCTACAGGAGCCGCTGCGGTGGAGGGTGCAGGGCTGCCAGCAGGGGGCGATGTTGATCCTGTTGGCTTCTTTTCACTTACTCGTTTTTCTGATTCCCTGAAGAAGAAAAAAAGATGGTCACTGAACTAATTTCCTTTCAACTCCTTTTTTTTTTATTCACAGTTGGAAATTGCATAAATAAAAAAATCATACCCTGTATCACAATAGCAGTAGGGGCTAAATCTAATGGCCCCCTCTTTATTTGGCACCCCAATTCGATGAAGAGAGTCAGCACGCATCATCAGGAAGAAATCAAAAACCTGAGAAGAAGAGAAGTAGTGAGTAGTTGTCAGTCTATAGTTGTTAGTGGCTGTCAGAGCTACAAGGAGAGTGTGGAAGTTGGATGGAGGATGCTGTGAGCTACTGGTACAACGCTCCAGAGGTTACCCCTGACACTCCTGGTGGTCGGTCACTGTAAATACTTTTTTTGTCATTATTTTTCCCGCGAGCGTAGTGGTTGAGAAAAATCAAGCGCAATACTGATATATAAACAGTCAGTAAAATAAAGATGCACCTGTAGTCGAATACTGGAGGCAATGGAGGAGCAGTACTTGTTCTTATAGTGAAGCTGCAGATGACTGATGAGCAGCTCATACACACGACTGGCATGGCTAGCCGGCAAACTGTAGAGCTTACTCTGCAGGAACAAAAGCAATGTCCATCACCAACACAATGACACAGCACTGGATTGTGCATCTGTGATCACATTTACATACCTGTAGGATTTCCAAGAGGCCAAGAATAGCAGTTCTGACATCCTCCATGGGTGACTCTGCAGATGGAGACTCTAAAACTTCCAGGGGTCCGGAACACACCAGAGAGCGACTGGCCACCTAATAAAAAGGTTGTTTACTTTACAAATACTAGGAATAAACATATTTTTTATCATTATTGACCAGGGAAAGTATGGAGTAGAGTTTCTTATATCCTCCTGCTTAACACAAAACATAACTTTTTAACAATTCCCTTGTGCTTCATATGCTCTCTTCAGCTGTTCAGAAATACATTTTATAGGGAAACAAGTACTGGATTAGACAAGCTGACCTTTCACTTTGATATTTTGACATTTATGAACTTCTGCGCATTCCACAACAGTGTAATGAAGAAGAACGGCTGGTACACCATCACTGTGTTTATATCTCTACTTTTCAGCGTCACAATTAATAGTATATCGTAATCATGACATTTAAATAACCTTAAAATTAAACTTCAAAGTATATCAATGTAAAATTTATGGACATTGGTCATCTGCTCCTTATGGACCAATGGCTCTCTGTGTTTTTAATGTTGTATTTCTTGTGTTGAACTGTTGATTCTCTGATCTATATTGGCAAATTCTACGTTTAGTTTTTGTTGTCCTGCGAGATAGCTACAGTTGTGATTTAGGGCTATACAAGAATAAATTGAATTGAAATCGAATTGAATAACACCTAGCTGCTCATAATGTTAAAGCTTTTTTCCAGTCAGTGTTCATTATGTCAGGTTCCGTAGTGTTTTCTCCATACCCGCTCTATGATATCAAGCAGACTGGTGAAGTGATGTGTGTTGCAGCCCTCTGCCAAATCCACCAGCAGCTGAGTGGCCTGTTTCCTCACAGCCAAGTCCCGGTCCTCCGCTATTCCACTGAGCTGAGGAATCACTACCATTTCAATCAACTCATCCTGGAACAGAATGAGAAATCCCATTATTTAAGAAGGTAAATGTCAGTGCCCTTTAATGGACTATTGAAATTTGCAGACCTCATAAAGCTGTCTGTTGGTACTCAAAACAAAGGAGAGGATGTGAAGAACTTTGATCCTTATTACACTCCGCGTTTCGTTCCTAGGAGTGAGAAAGCAGACCCAATAATGTATATTTTAAAGGAATAGGCCACTGTTTTTACATACTGACATATGTTCTTACCTTACCTTAGACTAGTTGATATGTACCTGTCTGATCTTTGTCCGTGCGCTCTGTCATGCAAACGGAGCACAAACGCAGCCTCTACCACATACTGTATAGTTGCAAATCAGCTCCCGTTAGAAGCTACCAAACTCTTCCACGTGTTCCCTATTTAAATACAGTTACGTGACGTGTTACACTACAAAGTGTAGTAACACAGAAATGAAACATGTCTATTTTCTCAGCGGATAAAAAGGGGTACTATATTGTGAGGCGTAATAATACGAGGAGCACTACGTCCGCGCACTAACTCCTATAGACTTCTCTCCCGCTCACGCTGCTTCTATTGACGAACTGAGTTAGTGCGACATGTTTCGTTTCTGTGTTACCATACTTTGTAGTGTAACACTTCACGTAACTGTATTTAAATAGGGAAAACGTGGAAGAGTTTGGTAGCTTCTAACGGGAGCTGATTTGGAACTATTCAGTATGTGGAAGAGGCTGCGTTTGTGCTCCGTTTGCATGACAGAGCGAGCGGACAAAGACCAGACAGGGACATATCAACTAGTCTAAGGTAAGGTAAGAACATATGTCAGTATGTAAAAACGGTGGCCTATTCCTTTAAATAAGGGATCAAGACAAAACTAAAACAAAAAGGAAAGCAAATGATGTCATGGGTGAAAAGCAATACTATGCACATTCTGTATCTGAAAACTAATAATAATAATGCATCGGTGTTAAATGTAGCGCTTTTTTTTGGACACTCAAAGTTGCTTCACATGTCATTAATCATTCACTTCATACACGGTGGTGATAAACTACTGCCCAGTCAGCGCTGACAGAAGCGAGGCAACAAGTGTGTTCCCCCGGCCCCTGGGACCACTAATCATTCACACACCAGACTCATTCTATGTGGGTGAAGGCTAAGGACACAACAACAATTTGGCACAATTTTGTGTTTTGAGAGATCTCCCAGTACAAACCAGGCCCTGCCCTTCGCTTCAAAAGGTCTGACGGGATCTGACTTTCACATGCAGGTTTGGCAAAAAAACAGAATCCTAGAAAGTCCTACCGGAAAAATTTCTCCATAAGGCGGTGCAGACTCTGGATCCACCCATCCTTGGCTGGCTGGATAGATTGAGCTCTGTACGATATGAGTGTCAGCACTGATGCATCCTGTCAAATTAAAGTATATAGAATTAGTTAAGGAGTCTTTGCCACCACAGAATAAGGTTAAGTGAAATGGAACTGACAGATCGTTTGTCAGCGCATTTCTCCACCAAACTGAAAAACTTCTCCGTGGAGCCATGGTACCCGTTCTGCTCATACAGTTCCTCCACTGTGGTCAACAGCTCATAGACAATCGCCTTCAGCTCCACACTTCCGATCGTCTAGTGAATGAGACAAGTTCAATATTCCATTTGCAAAGGAGTGAAGCAGCACCGCACACACACACACACACACCTGGATCTGCTGCAGTAGTCGCTCAATGATACCGAGTAAGATGTCCCATGTGACCACCTGCAGCTCTTTGCCATATTTTTTAATGAGTCTCGTTATGGACAGGACGATTTCATAGGAAACCACTTCATTGGCACATGACATGGCCTAAAGTGTAGTAAACAAAGGATTAACATGGTAAACAAAGTCGTTTGTGATGTCTATCAGGTGTAGTAGATTATCTTACCCCATTGCACACCAAATTATTAGAATTATATGAACTCCTCAATCTAGGGCACTTTCTATACAGCAATTTGGCTTCCCACAAACATTTCCCCATTTTTTTTCTTTTCACTCTACATATTATTGTCATATTTTCTCTTGTATTGACTTTACTAGACTTCTTAAAGCGTGTCGGAGCTCCACTTGTGTCTATGTAACATAACTTTTCTGAAAAACTCTGCACTGCAAAAAAAAAACAGTTCTGTTTAGCTGTGCATACAACTGAGGGATTTTTCTTTTTAATGTTCTGTGATTATTTATGATTTTAATTCTTTCTTAATTTTGTTCAGCACTTTGAATTGCCTTGTGTATGAATTGTGCTATACAAATAAACTTGCCTTGCCTTGCCTTACACATGGTAGTTCTGTTCTTACCTTATAGAAAGATGGCAGGACGAGCGTGGGTGTATTTTTGAGAGCAGGGAGTCTATGTGCACCCCACAGTGCCATTCCAACAAAAAATACAGCTCCCCTTAACAATGGGGCATCTTCCTGGTAAGTCCTGTGACATTTGCAACAATAACATGACATGATTAATAAAAGTGTACCATAATAAATGCTCGAGCTCTATAACTCACCTTTCTTCCATTATTCTACACATAGTGTAAATAGCACTGTGGCCAAGATGAGTACCTAATACCTTCCTCATTAACTGGGAATAAATAAACAGAGTGAAACAAAGTTGATTTCTTTAATCCATTAACATTTACAAAAATAGATGTACCTTCCAGCAGGATTCACAAAACTCTTTGACATTAACTGTGCGACAAAGTGTAATGATGAAAATGGTGAGTGAGTCAGAAGGAAGACAGTTGTAGCAAACCACTGCATCCAACACTTGCAAAGCCACCTGTAAAATGACAACATAAATAATCAGTATAGCATGGTTTATGCAAAGACAATCATAGGAGCAAAACAATACGAACCTCTATGTCGGTAGAGGAAGTTGTTCGATTGCACAAAAGACAGATTTTCCTGGTCAACAAAGAAAATGGTTAAATTAAATATACAAAATACATTATAAGATTCCACAATTATTTAGAACTTACTGGACCATAATTGATACATTCTGATCCAAATAGCAGCTGTTGAATTTTACAATATTGACAAGTACATGGAGAAAGTCAGAGGTGAGACCAATGTCCATCCACAGGAGGACAAACCGAGCTGAAGACATTATAACACAAATTAATAACTTATATACAAACAAAATACACACGTTTCCTCTATAACTGTACCTATGTCTTCTTCTAGGTATGTGATGTCTTTGCCATTTTCCGTTAAAGCCTTAAACACTTCGAGGCGCTCTGAGAGGTCCTCGTTGCATGGCTGGTAGTCTCGGATTACTTTGAAGAAGAAAGCTCTGAGAGGTCCAAGTCGCTCCCCCTATAAACCAGCAACAAAAAGGAATCTATAATACATTTTATATTATTTTACACTAGTATTTTCTAGTTAATAATTATTCTAAGACAAGTAACAAGTAGGAGCAAGTGTAATAAAATTTAGTATACAAATCAAGTTACGACATTTATCGAGTACTCATGTTGTTTATAGACCATGAGGCCAAGATTTGGTCATTGTTTAAACCTTACCTGCCCCTGAATAATGGCTCGGAGAAGATGCAGCACTGCATGTCTGGCCTCAGGTGGTTGTTCTGGAGCCAACATGTCCTCCACAGCTTTCCACACAGCCTCAACAGCATGCTATAACATAATTGAATAAAACCAACAAAAAAGTCAATATACAATTTACATCTCTATACAATAATTGATTTGTTTTAGGCTTAGATGTATTTAATGTTACGGGAAATGAATTAGACATGGTAAGCACTGTTGAACATTAAAATAATCTTTGCATTAAACAGCTAAAAAGGGAGAAAATGAAACAAAATATGAATAAATTATTATTATAATTACCTCCTCAAACTTTTTCGTCTTGGCCAAATCACAGACTTGGTGCATAATTTTAACGCGATTGCTGAGCCCACAATCAGGCTGAAGCTCCTGCAGACAAAAACATGATACTTTTTATTATACTTTGTGGTGAAGTGCGTAAGTGCACAGTGTCTGACCTTGATTATGTCTGAAGTGATGATGAACTCAGACGGTTTGGATTCACTCTGTTTACTCGGCTGCCGTGTTTGTCCAAGACCCAGGATTCCTTTCACCTTTTCTTTCAGGCTTTCTTTACTTGGCTGTTTATTCATGGCTCAATCTGTGTATGACTGCACTGGGAAGGGCAGGTGGCTGATTAAAAAAAGAGAGAAAGAATAATCTACATTCAATTGTTTGTGCATCTTACTTTTAAAAACAACCCCAATTCAGAAATTGCTTTACAAAAAATAGGTCCTTGGCAAATCCACATAGGCTACACTGAGTTATGGCTGGTTCTTATAAATGGCAACCTATTTATGCATTTGTTATATTTCTTTAACACTGTTGAAATAGCATTAGTATCTGGTTTAACACGACTGGTCTAAGTGCCAGGCTGTAAATGTGTAAACCTGCAGGGGCATGATAGAAAAATGTGCTGTCATGTGGACTTGACAAAGACAGAGGGAGGGAGGTGAAAAGAGAAGACAACGACAGCTCTGTTTCAGTAAATCAACAACAGCAACACTCCCCTGCATTAGGCAACCAAAATACCGGATCTGCAAATAATAGCACCAGCAAATGGCGCACAAAGCAATGCATGACACTAATGTACCGTTAGCTGTGTTTTACTGTCACGGGCTAGCATTTGGAATTCAAGCCCTGGTTAAAAACAACCTATCCATCGCCCCGTCCTTCCTCTTACCTTTGTATGCTTGTGTCTGCCCCGGGCGCATTCAGGTTGCATTGGATGTACGAGTGTTCTTCAAAGCACATGAGAGTCAAAAACTGAAATGTTAGTGTTTAATTGCAGCAAGGAGGCTTCTCTCGTCCAAGCTCAGACCCACTTCTGCTCAACCGGATGGCACCAATGCACTGACAGGGGCACTTCCTACAAAAACACGTTTGTCACCGGGAACTGTGGGAAATGTAGTTCACGCGAGTCTTGAGGTTGTTTCTCCTTATGTCTTGACCATAGACTGTAAATATTGTTGTCTTGAATGTATCCTTTCAGATTAAGCAACGTGAACTCATGCGCGAACTCATTATGAAGGAGAACCGTTTGGTAGTTAAGCTAACGGAAACACACGCGTGCTAATTTATCATCGTGCCACAATTAACAATATGTACTCACCGTTTTGGTTTTTTTCAATTTTAATTATTAATTGTACTTTAACATATTTTTCCAACAATGGTGTACTACAGTCCAACTTTTAACCGCGGTAAAGAGGTCCGGCTTTTCGGAGTCAACAGTAAAGAGGCCCGCACATTTCTAGCGGGTTGCCGCTTTATGCTGTTACTTACGGTAACACAGAAAAGAGAAGCCGCGAGGATCAGCCGCCACAATGCATTTTTTAACATGTTTATATTTTTTTTAAATAAAAAACCTTAGAAAAAGCTTTCACTGCACACTTGTTCACTGTGATGCCCTCTATTATTGTGCAAAGTCACATTCACTTTTACTGTAGAAATTCCAAGAAAATGGGGGTCAAAGTGTGCAATAATGATCCAAAATGCACTTTTTAACCTGGATTTTAAAAAAAAGTAAAAAACCTTAGAAAAAGCTTTCACTGCACACTTGTTCACTGTGATGCCCTCTACTATTGTGCAAAGTCACATTCACTTTTACTGTGGAAATTCCTAGAAAATAGGGGTCAAAGTGTGCAAAAATGATCCAAAATGCACTTTTTAACCTGGATTTTGAAAAAAAGTAAAAAACCTTAGAAAAAGCTTTCACTGCACACTTGTTCACTGTGATGCCCTCTTTTATTGTGCAAAGTCACATTCACTTTTACTGTAGAAATTCCAAGAAAGTAGGGGTCAAAGTGTTTAAAAATGATCCAAAATGCACTTTTTAACCTGGATTTTTAAAAAAAGTAAAAAACCTTAGAAAAAGCTTTCACTGCACACTTGTTCACTGTGATGCCCTCTACTATTGTGCAAAGTCACATTCACTTTTACTGTAGAAATTCCTAGAAAATAGGGGTCAAAGTGTGCAATAATGATCCAAAATGCACTTTTTAACCTGGATTTTAAAAAAAAGTAAAAAACCTTAGAAAAAGCTTTCACTACACACTTGTTCACTGTGATGCCCTCTACTATTGTGCAAAGTCACATTCACTTTTACTGTAGAAATTCCAAGAAAAGGGGGGTCAAAGTGTGCAATAATGATCCAAAATGCACTTTTTAACCTGGATTTTAAAAAAAAGTAAAAAACCTTAGAAAAAGCTTTCACTGCACACTTGTTCACTGTGATGCCCTCTACTATTGTGCAAAGTCACATTCACTTTTACTGTGGAAATTCCAAGAAAATAGGGGTCAAAGTGTTTAAAAATGATCCAAAATCCACTTTTTAACCTGGATTTTGAAAAAAAAGTAAAAAACCTTAGAAAAAGCTTTCACTGCACACTTGTTCACTGTGATGCCCTCTATTATTGTGCAAAGTCACATTCACTTTTACAGTAGAAATTCCAAGAAAAAAGGGGTCAAAGTGTGCAATAATGATCCAAAATGCACTTTTTAACCTGGATTTTAAAAAAAAGTAAAAAACCTTAGAAAAAGCTTTCACTACACACTTGTTCACTGTGATGCCCTCTACTATTGTGCAAAGTCACATTCACTTTTACTGTAGAAATTCCAAGAAAAGGGGGGTCAAAGTGTGCAATAATGATCCAAAATGCACTTTTTAACCTGGATTTAAAAAAAAAAGTAAAAAACCTTAGAAAAAGCTTTCACTGCACACTTGTTCACTGTGATGCCCTCTACTATTGTGCAAAGTCACATTCACTTTTACATTGGAAATTCCAAGAAAATAGGGGTCAAAGTGTGCAAAAATGATCCAAAATGCACTTTTTAACCTGGATTCTTAAAAAAAGTAAAAAACCTTAGAAAAAGCTTTCACTGCACACTTGTTCACTGTGATGTCCTCTACTACTCTGAAAATAAATATTCTAAACTTTCACTGTACACTCTCAGAAAAAAAAAAAAAACACCAATATTTGTGTCCAATCTTTTTTTATGAACGGATTTGAGAAACCAGTAACCGTGACAGTAAGAAAATAAAAAACAAAAGGTTGAGATGCCAGGTTATCTCAATGATTTTTTTGGACACAGGCAGCAATGCCATAACGTTTCTGGCTGTTTTGCTTTTTTCCGCTCACATGGGTTTAAGGCCAAGCACTCCTCATGGTACCATTTTTGGCACATGCTGCATTGTATCTGGAAAAAAGGAAAAATGAATACAAAATACATGAGTATTTTGAAAAATGATGAATAAGGCATTTCTTAGTTTTCTATGAATAGTCCAGAATTGATGACCCTTCAACTGTGCCAAAAGATCTGAAAGAATCCTGCACACATTTATTTGGGTGAATTTGATATTACGATGGACTTCCAAGTCGCTCCTTTCATTTTATTTCAATTGACGACTGGGACTTAAAGTGATAGTATGCAACTCTAAATGAATTACACATTTTAGGAAAATGTGTAAAAAATGTGTAGGTGTTAAATTGACCTCCTGGCCTTAAATGTTGATATGAAATAAGTCATTTTATTATTTCTAATTTTACGGGCAAGTCCCACCTTCCCTTCTCTAAGCTATAGCTCAGAATCCACGATGCCATCGAGGTTAACCAATCGAGTCATGCCAAGAGCTGTCAATCATCTGCGCTGATGCTCGTAGCTGCTCATGCTCAGTTGTTTGTTTTCGCGGAGCCTCCGAATCAAGAAAACTGAAAAAAGAATTCTGAACATCCGCGCTGAGGTACCCATATATATACTGAACCTATATCCATAATCATATATATACTGAACCTATATCCATAGTCATATATATACTGAACCTATATCCATAATCAGATATATACTGAACCTATATCCATAATCAGGTCCTCTGCAGATGTGTCCTATAATGTTCAATTCATGATAATAGCTTGTCCCGGTTTGCCGCGACCTCTTCTTTTGTACATAATTTATTTATTTTTTTCATTAAAACGCTAACAAATCATTCTGAAATCCTCCGTGCATGTGTATTAATGATGTATATGTATAATGTGTTCTCTAATTAACATTTATAAGTGTTAAGGAAACGCGAGCGTAGACCAATCAGAAAGGAAGGGGGAGGGAGCTTGCGTCGTTTCTTTCAAATCAAGTACCTCTCTCTCTCTTTTTCTGACAAACTGCGGACGATCACTTTAATACTTTATGTTCCTATAGTACAGACAGACTATATAGGCATTGGGCAAATCTTTTTGCATTTTTAGTTTTAGTTTATATGGAAAAAATGACATAAATAAACATAGAACATTCATAAGTTATAAGCTATTACCACCCTAACATTCTCATTTTACTTATCAACTAATGTTTACATTGCACAATAGTAGAGGGCATCACAGTGAACAAGTGTGCAGTGAAAGCTTTTTCTAAGGTTTTTTTACTTTTTTTAAAAATCCAGGTTAAAAAGTGCATTTTGGATCATTATTGCACACTTTGACCCCTATTTTCTTGGAATTTCCACAGTAAAAGTGAATGTGACTTTGCACAATAATAGAGGGCATCACAGTGAACAAGTGTGCAGTGAAAGCTTTTTCTAAAGTTTTTTACTTTTTTTTAAATCCAGGTTAAAAAGTGCATTTTGGATCATTTTTGCACACTTTGACCCCTATTTTCTTGGAATTTCCACAGTAAAAGTGAATGTGACTTTGCACAATAATAGAGGGCATCACAGTGAACAAGTGTGCAGTGAAAGCTTTTTCTAAGGTTTTTTACTTTTTTTTAAAATCCAGGTTAAAAAGTGCATTTTGGATCATTATTGCACACTTTGACCCCTATTTTCTAGGAATTTCCACAGTAAAAGTGAATGTGACTTTGCACAATAATAAAGGGCTTCACAGTGAACAAGTGTGCAGTGAAAGCTTTTTCTAAGGTTTTTTACTTTTTTTTAAATCCAGGTTAAAAAGTGCATTTTGGATCATTTTTGCACACTTTGACCCCTATTTTCTTGGAATTTCCACAGTAAAAGTGAATGTGACTTTGCACAATAATAGAGGGCATCACAGTGAACAAGTGTGCAGTGAAAGCTTTTTCTAAGGTTTTTTACTTTTTTTTTAAATCCAGGTTAAAAAGTGCATTTTGGATCATTTTTGCATACTTTGACCCCTATTTTCTTGGAATTTCCACAGTAAAAGTGAATGTGACTTTGCACAATAAAAGAGGGCATCACAGTGAACAAGTGTGCAGTGAAAGCTTTTTCTAAGGTTTTTTACTTTTTTTTAAAATCCAGGTTAAAAAGTGCATTTTGGATCATTATTGCACACTTTGACCCCTATTTTCTAGGAATTTCCACAGTAAAAGTGAATGTGACTTTGCACAATAATAGAGGGCATCACAGTGAACAAGTGTGCGGTGAAAGCTTTTTCTAAGGTTTTTTACTTTTTTTTAAATCCAGGTTAAAAAGTGCATTTTGGATCATTTTTGCACACTTTGACCCCTAATTTTTTGAATTTCCACAGTAAAAGTGAATGTGACTTTGCACAATAATAGAGGGCATCACAGTGAACAAGTGTGCAGTGAAAGCTTTTTCTAAGGTTTTTTACTTTTTTTTAAAATCCAGGTTAAAAAGTGCATTTTGGATCATTATTGCACACTTTGACCCCTATTTTCTAGGAATTTCCACAGTAAAAGTGAATGTGACTTTGCACAATAATAGAGGGCATCACAGTGAACAAGTGTGCAGTGAAAGCTTTTTCTAAGGTTTTTTACTTTTTTTTAAAATCCAGGTTAAAAAGTGCATTTTGGATCATTATTGCACACTTTGACCCCTATTTTCTAGGAATTTCCACAGTAAAAGTGAATGTGACTTTGCACAATAATAGAGGGCATCACAGTGAACAAGTGTGCGTGAAAGCTTTTTCTAAGGTTTTTTACTTTTTTAAAATCCAGGTTAAAAAGTGCATTTTGGATCATTATTGACATTTGACCTAAATTTCTTATTTTCTAGGAATTTCCACAGTAAAAGTGAATGTGACTTTGCACAATAATAAAGGGCTTCACAGTGAACAAGTGTGCAGTGAAAGCTTTTTCTAAGGTTTTTTACTTTTTTTTAAAATCCAGGTTAAAAAGTGCATTTTGGATCATTATTGCACACTTTGACCCCTATTTTCTTGGAATTTCCACAGTAAAAGTGAATGTGACTTTGCACAATAATAGAGGGCTTCACAGTGAACAAGTGTGCAGTGAAAGCTTTTTCTAAGGTTTTTTATGTATAAAAAAAGAATCATGTTAAAAAATGCATTGTGGCGGCCCATCCCCGCGGCTTCGCTTTCCTGTGTTACCGTAAGTAACAGCATAATGTGACACCCCTCTTTTTACGTGCGGACCTCTTTACCGCTGGTTCTGGAAAGCCGGACCTCTTTACCGCGGTAACTTTTAAAGGAGCACACTGCCATCTAGCGATAGTTTTAACCAGGCTGATCAATGTTATAAAATCAGACACAAATTCAATAACTCCCATTACGTGGGTGTCTTTGCACTTTAAAACCCGTACAATATGTCAAAAATATATATTTAATTGATTGAACATGTTGCGTGTTGTGACTTCTCCCACGTGACTATACGGTCCAATGAAAGGACATGTTTATGTGGTCTGCCTCCTGCCTTCCTACATGTGCACGTCTCTATTAGTACGTTGTTATTTTACTATGGCTTCTCGGTATTTTAAGAGAAAAACTGTTTCGTGCAATGGAACACGAAACCCGGATACTGGTTTGTCTATGCTCCGCGGACGGATGAAAACTGAAGAGTCTGCAAATGTGAAGCTCGAGCGTCAAGAAGCTAACATATCAGAGAACACAGTCTCTTCTGCAACATCTGCAGGTAATAACATTTGATTAACGTTGTGTCAGAAAGAAACCATGTCAGCAACATCCTGGTTACTATTCTGATTTAGATATGTCAATCATTGAAATTTGGTCTCTTACCAGGCATACATATTTAATAGCTGTAAAAAAATGTCATTCCTGTGAAAGTGATAACATTTAACAAGCAATTTGCATTGTCGTTCCTATGCTTTGCATGTAGTGATTTCGCCTGTAAAATCTTGCATGCAAGGACTGCCAACTTCTTCCCCAGATAGCAAAAGGACATCGTTTCAACATTGATTTAGGGTCAGATGGTTGACTTTTGGTTGAGGTTGAAAAAAAAATGTTGATTCAATGTTTTATTACAGATAATAAATCAATAATTAAAAAAAGAATGTTGAATCAACACTATTTTATGGACATAAGTTCAACTATTGAAAGTGTAACATTGAATCAACCTTATTTAACAGATGGAAATTTAACCATTGAAAGTGTAACATTGAATCAACCTTATTTTACAGATGGAAATTTAACCATTAAAAGTGTAACATTGAATCAACCTTATTTAACAGATGGAAATTTAACCATTAAAAGTGTAACATTGAATCAACCTTATTTTACAGATGGAAATTTAACCATTAAAAGTGTAACATTGAATCAACCTTATTTTACAGATGGAAATTTAACCATTAAAAGTGTAACATTGAATCAACCTTATTTTACAGATGGAAATTTAACCATTAAAAGTGTAACATTGAATCAACCTTATTTTACAGATGGAAATTTAACCATTAAAAGTGTAACATTGAATCAACCTTATTTTACAGATGGAAATTTAACCATTAAAAGTGTAACATTGAATCAACCTTATTTTACAGATGGAAATTTAACCATTGAAAGTGTAACGTTGAATCACTGTTGAAAATCGGTTGTATATTTTTTTTGGTTGAAAAATTCCCAATAAATCAATGTTGTTTCGATATAAGGACTACAAGCCCGGGAGATTTTAGTTAAATGTACAGCGCCCCTGCATCTCGGAGACGGAGACGGAGAAAGTCAGAACTGGTAAGTGCTCATCGCTTCTAAACTTAAATCATCGTCTTGGGTGTGATCAGTGAGCTAATAAATAGAATGTAAGGTGTTGCTTTAGGCTATGTTATGCTATTTTCTTAGTAGTTTGTCAGAAGCTGATGTGTAACCAACATTATGCCAAGCTAACGTTAAACTTTGCCACCAAAAAAGCTCGGAGAAAAGCTCAGTTTAAGGGGCTGTTTTTTAGCTGCTTACAATTCCTCAGCACCCGGTTGATAAGGGAACAAGGATGGTATTAAGGTTGTGTTATGCAAATGGATTTTTTTTACTTTTCAGGTAGTTAATAATTCGCTGCTTAGTTTAACAATAACTTTCCCCACCCAATAGAGGGGGTTAAAGCACTTCGGTAAAGCCACGATCTATGATTAGCACACTGCGATTTATAAGGTTAAAGTTGAATAGCCTATAATGTAAAATAAAAAATGTCATGGTAAGACACAAGGTTTAATGCCAATTAAATATTTATTTGTGAGTAAATACAGCATTTCACATACACTTCATTTGTACTAGTCATTCACTTTCAGACAGAAAAATCAAAAAGCATTAAAACCAAATCTAAAAGCTTTAATAATGATTTCCATTTCTCTTTTACAGAAGTCCCAAGTTGATATCACGAACAACAAAGCAATCAAGTAATGCAATTTTTACAGCACCATCTCAAATGCAATTAGGATGTCTTCATATTGTGTGTTCTAAAATGGTCTGTTCTGTTCTTTCTTTCTTTTTTTTAAAGAAATGCACTACTGTGTGGCAATATATAAATTTGTTAGGGTCATTTATTTATTATTGAATGAATTGTGAAATAAAGGCCTTAAATGTAATTAAAACACATTAAAATGTATTCCAACAGGCATTAATTGTACATATCTTTGAAAATAGTGATGTTATATAACTGTGTTACTGCAAATATTCATTGAAAATACAAAAAAATAAGCTCCAAAACACACTGAACTCCAGTTTTGAATGAAATTGAACAGATTTTTTGGCACAAATTGCTCCTTGTGTATAATTCCGTTAAATATTGAAAATGATGCTGTGTACTCGTGTTCCTCGTGACACTAACCAAATCTGCACCACTTCTACAAACGTTTTATTGCTACACTACAATTACCTGGATAGCCTTAATTATGATGGCCCTGTAAATAAGTACTTTTATGAAACAAAGTATTATACAGTGGTTACATTGTGTTGGCAACAAATTGAGGGAATATATATTCGCATTGAGTAACCTTGTGTATGAAATGCGGTATAAATTAACATTGACTTGCCTATAATTCATACATTCTTGACTGGATCCTGGGGAGATATGTATTTATTTATTTTACTTTTATAGTTTTACACTTAAAACCTACCCCAATATATCACCATAAGCAATGGGTTTTCTATTTATTTTTGTGGTATTCGGTCAAAACTCAATCTCCTGTCTCTTCTCCATGTCTCATGTGCTTCTGCTCCAAATGCTTTTTGTTTGTTTGTTAATTTACTGTACATTCTTCATGGAGGCAGGTTATTGTTTTTTTTACTATATTTATTCATGGAAGCAAAAGTGCTGAAGTGCTGGGCTGTACGTGTTTCGTAATGCAAAAAAACAAAAAAGATGTAACTTATGCTGTAATATCTGTCTTGGGACTGCAGGAGGCACTGTCACGCTATAGGCACCAAATATCGATTTAAATGGGGCATGCGCAGTAAAATTTTGTAATGTAAATACCTTGGTAAACTTGTCATTCTGAGTGCTATATGGATGCGTAATGTAAAAAAACAACAGGAGGAGATGGATTATGCCTCAGATCGGACTGGTTATGCCTGTGTAAATGACTCAACATGATGACCGCGGTGAATGTTTAGTGGCTGATTTAGGTGGTGACGCGGTAAGTAAATCCAATAATCAAAATATAGTTTAAAAAAGGTTGAATATAGGCATATTTCAATCGTTTAATCAATGTTGAATCTATGTTTAAAAAACGTTTGAATTTCGACATCTATTCAACTCCTAATCAATGTTATTTGCATGACATTGATTCCATGTCAGAAAAGATCAAAAATCAACGTTGTGTTCGACATCTATCATATCGAGCGCTTTCAATCGCAGTTCAACGTCATTTTTCAACATCTATTCAATCACAGGCCATAACACTATTTAAATGTTGAAACGATGTCCTTTTGCTATCTGGGTCGTCTGTATTTTGCTTTGACATTTTATCACTACCTATTTGTTTCATCGGCTCTTTATACGTTATTGTATTTGGTTTTATTATAGATTTATGATTCAACTTAATGCAATAGATAGCTCAAATCTTATCTATGCTTCTTTGCAGAGTGGTGCCCAGAACATCCACCAGAGGATACTGTTCAACTTAAAACAGACACCAAAACGTTGTCTTCACAAACCCGCAGAAGAAGACAGCTTAAGGTGGAATATGTTAAAGATGAAGTAAGACCGATAAAAACAGAGCACTGGGAGCCTGCAGAATGGAAAAAACAACTTGAACACATAAGAGAGATGAGGAGGGATCGAGACGCACCTGTTGATAACATGGGAGCTGAGAAATGCTATGACCATGATGCCAATCCACAGGTATGAACAGTTTTATCTTTTCTTTCTTAGTGTGCAGCAACTAAACTCTGTTTATCTATAGGTTAAGCGCTTTCAGGTGTTGGTGTCCCTAATGCTTTCCAGTCAAACCAAAGACCAGGTGACAGCAGCAGCAATGGAGCGACTACGAGCACACGGATGCACAGTGGAAAATATTCTTGACACTGATGACGAAACACTCGGAAAATTAATTTATCCTGTTGGCTTTTGGAGGGTAAAATAAAAATAAAATAAAAAATTCAATGATTGCACTTATACTCACTACTAAGTACTACTATAGTTATACTTTTTAATATATGTTGAAGCCATTTGTTTATCATTGTACTGCAGAGAAAATTGAAGTATCTGAAGCTGGCATCAGCATTGCTGCTGAAGGAGTTTGATGGGGACGTTCCAAACACTGTCGAAGGCTTAGTCCGTTTGCCAGGAGTTGGACCAAAGATGGCCCACCTCGCTATGGACATCGCATGGGATCAGGTTTCAGGCATTGGTAGGAACACACTATCAGGGGTGACCAAACTATTCTCACTGAGGGCTTCAATCAATCTATATACGTGGGACAGAGGGCCAAACCAAGCAACTACAGGGATTGAAAGAGCATAGTTGTGTGAACAGAGCAGACCTGACCATGTTATATGACTAGAACATTGAAAGGAAGAGGAGATTGTGACTTTGATCCTTTTATTCACATAACTTTTCTGGGAACTAGAGTATTTGTGAATGTAGATCATGTACATTCACCACATTAAAGACTATTTCGCCATTATTTTACATCTTTCTGGGGTTGATTTCATTTCAGGGGTCGACACACATGTGCATCGTATCTCAAATAGATTGGGTTGGCTTAGAAATACTACCAAGAACCCGGAGGAGACGCGCAAGGCCCTGGAGGAGTGGTTGCCCAGGTAACAGGATGACCACCACTCAAACACTGAAGTCTGAGGTCACAGTTGTCAAGATCGACCCAAATACACTGCGACCGTAAACAACCATAGTCGTGTTTGTCTCTGCTAAGCTCTGGTCATGTGTCTTTTTTTAAGCAATAATGGACAACACATTGAAGTTGGAGCTAGAAATTGCCTCCTAATTGAATCGCCTCTAACTCAAAAGACAAATGAAACTGGTAAAAATACATTCCTATGCATGGTAGTTACCCAAATTAATACTAGTAAAAGGCAAAAGGCATGTTCTGTTAACCGGCTTGTGGTGCTGGCAAAAGCTTTTATCTGACCTAAACTGGACTTTGTTTTGAAAAGAAAAAGTGGGAGAATAATCTGTTTTTTTTTTTTTTTACTCTCAATTTCTTTGACTTCCTATCCTAGGAATACCCATGCTGCTATGTGTGCTCGGATCATTTTGACCTGCACAACAGGTGATATTTAGTCTGACTATTGAAATGCCAGTAAAAAAAGTAAGATTCAATGAAATAGATATTCACTCAGAATGACTAATCAACAAAATTATTCTCCTCAGCACAAAGTGTATTGTTGTCTGTAAAATTATTACTTTTATTAATTTTTTTCTCATAGCCAAATGCTTCAAATTCTCTTAGACATATTGCTTGTGACTTGTCTTTGTTGTAGGGAGTTGTGGAGTGAGATCAACTGGTTGCTGGTTGGTTTTGGTCAGCAGGTCTGTTTACCAGTCAACCCACTCTGTTCCATGTGTCTGAACCAGCACAACTGCCCCTCTGCTCACAAAGCATCCCCAGTGAAGAGGCCCAAGTCCGGATCTCCCAGCCCAATCACCCGGAAAACAAAAACTGAACCTGGTAAAGTCGAGCCTTCATCCCCTGTTGCCCTGTCTTTGAAGAAGAAGCCCCAAAATAAGAAAAATCGAAATGATCCTTAAAATGTTGCTGATGGATTAAAATAAATGGGCAACTATTTTTGTATTGTAACCATTTTATATATTATTTTACTTATTAAAACTAAAAGGATAAAACCTGATGCTTCTTTATTTTTATTGTTTAACCACAACATGAAATGTAATTATAGCATATATGAAGTTTGTTAAAGGTTTGTTAGAAGTTTATAACTAGTAAGAAAGCCTTTGCTTACATTTATAGCACACAAAATACGTATGGTAGTTTTTACCTAAACTTTGAAAACTTGCACTGCTTTGTAAAAGAAATTGAATAGAAAGCCAAAGGTGTCTATACAGCAGCACTCATATTTAGTTGCAGTTCTGTTCCCACCGACTGTTTTGTCCTCTCCCCTTGGTTTAAATATCAAACGCACACACCCAGAGTTACTTGTCCTAAATTCCTTGAACAGCTCCCATGGGCAGTAGCCCGTCACCACACTCGGGGAACTCTGCAATGGAGCCTCGGGCAAATCCTTGATTTTTCTTATTGGTCGGGAGTGAGGGAAGGGGAAAGAGAGAGAGGACAGGGAGGGCTTCCGCCCAGGTCACCGTCACCTCCACCTCATGGGACTCACTGAGGTCTGTTTTGAGTCTCGTAACAAAGGGTAGAATTTTTTCCTACTCTTCAATGAAATTTGCTAATTATTCTGGAGTTTGACGGGCTCTGCATACTACTCCTCAACGCATTGTGGCGAAGTATGAGAAAAGATGCGCGTCTGTTGTTGACGTCTCGCCCTTCTTCAGGATTTGAAGGCTTCAGACAGACACCTGACATTAACGATTAAGTGTTACACGCCAGAAACGGCGTCTTAATCTCTGATCTCTTGGATTATTCGGTCAATGCGATGTAGCCTTGTCTGTGATTTTTGGCAACAGGTTTACGCGCACTTGGCACTATATGGGCGCGCGTCATATCTAACGCCTTTCTAGATTCTACGATGGATTGAAGTTTAATTTTTCACGCAGCACTTTGATAATTGTCTGATAGACATTTTTGGATTAACTGATTGCTGCCATGCACTTGCATCACTCTAAATAATGATGATTGGGTTTCAGCAGCGTGCCGCAGTATGTTGGATTAACAGACTTTTTGCTGCTTTGCGTTGAAACACCTGCTTATTCCTCTGAGACTCTTCTGACCTGATTTATCAATTCACGGACGATGGAGAGCGAGTTGAGACCGAGGCTCTGTTACCTCACTAAAGGAGACCGTGGGTATGGCTTTCACTTGCACGGGGAGAGGAATAGAGGTGGACAATTCATCCGAAAAGTGGAACCAGGGTCCTGCGCGGAATGGGCCGGACTCCGAGCGGGCGACAGAGTTGTCGAAGTCAATGGGGAGAATGTGGAAAACGCAACCCACCATGAAGTGAGTGAAAAGTATTTGGTTGAAGTCAGGAAACAACTAAAACGCGATAGATATACATAAACAATTACTCCATACCAGTTCAACCACTTTTCTTTCGCCTAAGGATAAGGAGGGGGCACCAAAATGGGTCACTGTTACTTACCAGCCCTGTGCAATGAGAATCACTAAGTCTTTATCACTGTTAAACTCTGCAATTTATAGTGAGCATGTTCAAATTGACATTTGATAATTGACATTACATTTAAACTGGACCATGGGATTGGGAATAATAGTGTCCATTGATCCATCCATGCATTAAATTCTGTAGACAAAAAATATTGCATATATAAACCATCCTGTAAGATTGCTACAGTTTAAATCATTTCTAGTAGGTCTGGTTGTTGCTATGGAGATGTTATTTCATTGCTCGGAATGTACCTCAGTATAGTTTAAATGTTTTACTGCTCCAAACAGAATCTCTCACTTTTGATTGGCTCCTCTTGACTTGTAATTTAGTGAAGTACAAAGCACACTCTTCACCAGGAAAGTTGGTGTAGTGGATCTTGAAGAACAACTTATCTATTTAGGTATTTAATGTGGTTTAACACAACTCCAACTGTAAATGTGTGTGTTTTATTGTAAAGACCACTCTTAAATTCCTTTACAAAGGTGGTGACCCGAATCCGGGAGGTGGATTTCCGCACACGGCTGCTCGTAGTGGACAGAGAAACTGATGAATACCTCCACAGACGCGGCTTGGCCTGCGCTGATGCTCTAGCCATGGAGATGGGCACCCTCTCACCACGTCCCTCCCCAGCACCCACTCCTAGCTCCTCACCCATCCCACCCATTCTGCTGAGAGAGCTTGGAGCACTGTCCCCCAAAACAAATCGCTATGCCTTGTCCACAGTGCACCCCCTCACTATCTCCCACTCCCCCACTCCCACGGTGACTGATGGAAAGTCTTCCAGAAACTCCACAGCCTCAAGTATCACTACAGACACAGAGGTGAGGTACACTGACAGTGGTTGGAAGAAGTTCAAAAGGTCAGGGTTAATCTGGACTTTGTCCAGTCAGTTTGCCTTCACCAATGCAAAGGTTGAATTTAATTCCCCAGTAAAACCCTTTCCACAACCAAGGTAAAAGGTAGACGCCATTTGCTCAACAAATTTTCCTGTCTGTAAAGTAAACAAAATCACAACACTTAGTGTGTCAGAGACTTTCTCAGAGGCTTAAGTTTCTCTTCAATCTTTTGCACAAGACCTGGGCTCATTCTCTGTGTAGTGCTTAAGTCACACAGTGGCGTGTGAGCCTCATAAATGTGCATGGTTTCTCAGGTGCTTGTTTGTAGTAACACCTGACAAACTCAGGTAGGTCTCGGCAGCTGCAGTGCGCTGATCATGTTTCTTGCCATGTTAGGAACACACAAAGCATTGTTTTGTCCAATTCTATGACCATTTCAGATCTCTGCTGAGATAGGATCTTATTATTTTCTATGCCATTATGGGAGCAAGCGGTGGAAATTTCAGTTCGGCATTTTTTCTGTCTCATGTGTATTACATAGAATATCTCAAGCAAAATTATCACTTCAACACACTTTTCAGATTTGAGGAGTTGTAAAAGGGTAAACAAATAAACAAAGATTGACATTTGGCAACTATTGTCAAAGTCACAAACAAGTAAAATGATAAACAGTATCACTCTTGGCTTTTCTTGTGCGGTCCCCTAACCTCAAATGTAGCATTGGATAAAGTCAGCACCAAAGAGAAGATGAAGCAAAACAAACTTTACGACCAGGCCATGTGAAATGCATTGCGTCAGCAGTCACTGGGAAAAAAATCAGCATTTTTGTGGTTCTGGTCATTGTGTTTAAGCTAAAAACAAAAGTCTCCAGAATCTTGTGACGCAGCGGCTCATGTCAGCGTCTCGCCTGTTTGTACCAGGACACAGTAAATACAGGCTGTAAATACAAAACTTCAGTCATACTAAAATGTAAAACCTTTTGAATTAGCCAATACCATTAACAAATGTTTTGACATTTTCTGCTTAAGTTAAAAGCTGTTGACATTTCAGTGATAACTTTTTCAGTTATTATGTCATAATAATCCTAGTGCACTCTCTGTAATTGCTCTATTGTACTCAGTGACAGCAGCACAAATCTCTGGCGTCTTTCCACTTGTACTTTCAATGACTTGTGATAGAATGTAAATACAGACATTCTGTCCATTACTAAATGTTGTTATTATGGCATCAGATGCCCATATATACTTACATAACCCAAAATGGTCAATCATGTGAGAGTCCTCTTGGACAAAGAACAGTAAAAGGTGATATTGTGTCTATGAAACCCCCAAATCAGCATGTCAAACATTAGTTCATTTCATGAATTTAATTTAATCAGTTCAACAGCTGTTCATTTGGCTTTTATTTCATGTAGTACATGTAGTTATAGTTTAATTTAAAATATACATTTGACCTCTGCAATACTCAGCCTTTACTATGTGTTCAGTTTTTATTCGGTCCAAACATAACTGAACTCATTTTGTTCAGAAATATTTACTGGAAAATCATACTAATTTGGACAATATTCCCCCATACATAAAAAATAAGTATAAAACACAAACATATGATGATATTATTAATTCGGCCCCTGACTATGACACCCCTGCCCCAAATTGTCAACGGTGACTGAATAATCGAATATGTACTACTCCCTTTTAACACTTTACACACGCAGGTGTCTGTAAGGATTTTTATCATAAATATGGCAAACACATGTTTTCTGTTTAGGCATGTTTAACCTGCAGACAGAGAGACAGGTCGCTGGTGATCAGGTGCAGGACAGATCCACTTAGTCATACAGACCCCTGGCTAATCTGTACACCCCCCTCCTATCCCTCCCCCAACCCAGAAATGGATTAAGGGGAAGAAAATGGATGGATGTATGCAGTGTAAGGAGGGCATTCAGAATAACTGCCAGGGCTCAAACTAACTAGCAAAATTGTATAATCAATAAGAATTTTGATTTTTGCTGCTACTGGACACCGGAATTTCTCCTACGGGGATCAATAAAGTATCTATCTATCTATCTATCTAAAAACAATACTTAGATTTTTCTCAGTCACTGTTTCATCTCATCATTTACCATTCAAACATTTTTACCCAGCATTGTCTGATGCAAAGTTCTTGGATTAGTTGGGCTCAATTAGAGATATTTTGTTTTCTACAGCAATGGCTTACCTTTTATGTATCTTCCTAAACTCAATCAGTTATCAAATCCTTTTTCATTATATTTATTGTATTTTTCCCCGTTGATCCCCTCGGATCCATTAAATTTTCCAGTTGATCTTATACACATTGCTTATTTTGTTCAGATTCGAGTGGAGCCTTCACCAGAGCCCACCACAAACCTCCTGCCCCGTCTGTGTCACCTGCTGAAGGCCGACAGCGGCTATGGCTTCAACCTCCACAGCAACAAGAAGAAGGCGGGACAGTTTGTGCGATCAGTGGACCCTGGTTCTCCGGCCGAACAAGCAGACATCCGCCCTGGGGACAGGATTGTGGAGGTACATTCAAACTTAAGAAACATTCCACTCTTACCTTCGTTTTAGTCACCTCTTACAACATTGGTCATGTTTTTTTATGTATTTTTCATTAACAATTTTTTTTTTAAATTCTAAATAACATAAAATATCATTTCAAAAGTATAAGTGAATACTCAAAATATCGTAGGGACAAAATGAACATAGATTATGCATAATATTTGTTCTTTAAAGATTGGGGCCAAATGTTTTGGACGTGAGTGTCTTTGTATTATTTACCTCTGCCCAAGAGGTAAAGGGATCATCAGCATTTTTCTGTGAGTAAAATAATTTCAAAAGGAATGGGAGGATTTTTAATAATATTGTATGAAAGGTGCAATGGCCTAATGAACCAGGTGATCTGGATGACCAAATAGCTGTTCCTGAATACAGTTACTCAAAAATAGTTTTAAATGTTTTCCGAGTACATTACTTCCCACCAACGAATCACAGTAGCACTGAGAGCTGCTTCCTCTTCAGGTGAATGGCTTGAACGTTGACGGGCTCAAACACTCGGAGGTGGTGGCTTTTATCCGTGCTGGAGGAGACGAAGTGCAGCTACTGGTGGTGGATCCTGAGACTGATGAGTTCTTCCTGGGACTGGGAATAACACCCACAACCAGCCACCTCAAAGGTCAGTCACCAACAGACATGCGAGTATTAGCTAGAACTGCTTCAAGCTAGGAAGTAAAATACTGTGGGTTTTTTAAATATAATATCAATCTCTATTTAAAGCTGGGATAACTAACTTTCAAAATCACACAAAAAGTGTAATGTTTATTCAAATCCAGTTGACTGGTTTTCATCTCTCAATACAGTTTTATTCTCAGACAGATGAGTGATTAAGAGAAGACCACCCTCAGTCATACCATTTAAAAACTGTCCATCCATCAGAGTGGATCAGTCTCTCAATATGGTACTCCCCATTCAGGAAGGTGATGATCTTGGACATTGGTCATCCCCTTCCTATGGACCAATAGAATACAGTAGCAGCAACACATATAGACCAAAACATCAACAGTACAAATGTGCTTCGCTCTGACTCTAATTGTTTTGTCTTTTGTGATAAATGTATTTGTTACTCCCATATATTACAGAGGTCTACGTGGACGAAGTTTCCACCACCGAAAGTATCCCTCCGACCCCGTCTCCGACCATCAGCCTCACCTCGTCACACAACCCCATTATAAATGTCACGCTCACAGACGGCTCCCTCAGTCCCAAATCCTCTCCCAAGTCTCGAGCCAACGGGAGCACAGCGTCGCAGTCGTCCCGCAGCTCCACCACACATTCTGAGATCAGCAGCTCCGATATGAGCATTCAGGTACGTCCCCACAAGGCCAAAGTTGCAACAAAGGCACAAGACGACCAATGCTTCTGTTTTGTTGCAGGTCCCAGATGAGGACGACCGGTGCGTGCCTGACCCTTTTTCAGAGAATGGCCTGCGGTTGAGTCCAACCGCAGCAGAGGCCAAGAGGAAAGCCCTGGCCACCAGTCGCAACAAGAAGAGAGCTCCTCCAATGGACTGGAGCAAGAAGAAAGAGATCTTCAGCAACTACTGAATCCACAAAGCTCAATGGTACGGACACGCAAAGGACCTGTTGTAGAGTATGATGGCGGAATAATCAACGCATTTTTTTGGCGAATGGTAACATTGTTATTAATACGGTTGGCATTTCGGCTGAAACAGGTCCAAAACAAGCTTTTGTGGAATCAGTGTTACTTGTTGTCTAGTGAGTGACTCTTAGGAACTATGCACTTTCCCTATGTTGTGTGTCTGCTACAGAATCTGCAACAATACAAGCATGTATCAGATTTGTGTCCAAGTTTGTGTGTCTGTAAAAAATGTCAGTGCTGCTGTGTTTGTGTACATTATATTCAAAGCTAAATTTGTAGTTTTTAGAATTTATAACATTTATATTGGCCAATGCACCTATGCAATATAGATGAAAATCACTGCCTAACTTTAAGATCATTCATAAACAAATTATGAATAATAATATTGGTAATGATTGTTTGTTTTGCGCCAAAATTGTGAAAAATAAACTATGTACATGATGCCATACAAGGTGTTTAATATCATATTGGGCTCCTCCCTCCAAATGAGGACAACAACAAATCTGTTGGGACGTGGATGAACAAAGAGCTGAATAAGGACAAGTACCGGAGACAAACAGGAAAAGCCAGCTCATGTCCTTCAGATGAAGATGCTCAACTCCAGTGTCCTAAATTTGTACAGTCCAAACAATAAGGACCTTCTCTGTATCTATATCAGATGCACAGATATGATTAAGGCTGGGCTCAATTCCTTCATCAATCTGTGGTTGATACAGGAATTGTAAAAAAAACAAAACAAAAACAAAAACAAACTCTACTCTTCGTTACAACTCCAGCACCATTTCTGTACTTAATTGTGTTGTCCAAAATGTGCAAAGAAAAAGCTTGTGTTTAATATGTTGTATCCAGTTTCACCAGTCGATGCCCTCCCATAGCAGACATTGTGATGGAACAGAAGAGACGTGTACCATGTAAGTAATTCTGGTAATAATAGTCTGATTGTGACCAGCTAAGGAACCTCAATGTCTTCTGCAGGTCCCAAAGCAGCAAAAGATGCCAAAGGGATGGTTAAAAGCTTCGATGTGAGAAAATTGAATTTTTCAGAGTGCCTCAGCAGCACAATGTTGAGAAACGTCAGTTTTTTATAGTCCACATTGGAACTCAACGCTAACAACTCAATACAATTTGTCAAAACTTTCATAATAAGTTACTTTCAAACCACAGAAAACTTTACATCCAACTAACTAGTTCCTCACTCTCAAAGTGACTCACGTGGCTCTTTCTTTAAATACAGTGGTCTGATTTGTTTATGGCTTTTTAATTTTACTTTTTTTTAGATTGGAACAAACAACATTATTTATAAGTAAGGTGGGTACCCCAGCTTTAACTGGAAAGATCTTTTATTCTTTCTACGCAGTTAAAAGTCCTCCAGGTTTAGTTGAGCTTATGTATAATGTAATTTGAGCCTTGAGTCACAGTAAACGAGGACACACATAGATAATGGTGTGATGTCATCAGTCACGCTAAAGAACTCACACGTCAAAGAGTTTTGTAAATCACACATAAATGAAGATCTGCCAAACTACAACAAAATCATGCTCTTTATTGGGTATTAAAAACGATTTTAATCCATCTCTGTTATGATCCCATCTTTTTTTCCTTTTTTTTCTTTTTATGCAAGTTTTAAAAAAACAAAAATCTCACATTTGAACTTACTTTCATCACAAACCGTTAGTTCCAATACATAAACAATGCTCAAAAGACTAAAAGGAACAAGTGTAAAAGCTCTGAAGATTGTCTCATATAGGAATTTATTAATGATCTGTGTTTGAATGATCACAGTCGTGGTCAAATTCTGTCTCAATAGTAATTCATTGAAAATCATAGCGAAATAAATTCTCATGTTTGAGTCTGTAGGAAGACTCACGCTCTAATATTTCATCAAACCCACTCTTGACAAACCAAGCAAAACTTTATGACCACTGAAGTTTGTGATAGAATAGTCTTTGGCTTGTATCAGTTGATTTACATGGTTTAAGATGCATATCTTTCTCTTATATTATTTTAAAATCCCATGCATTCTGACCCAGATAGGTGATTAATGCAAGCTGATTTTGTTGGCAGCAGTGCATGAACTAAAATCATACTTTTTTTTCAGAATCTGAATTATTTCTGTTGCCATCGTAAGTAACAGGAAGCCTCTAGGAATTTTCTTTGGCTCAAGGTGCAATCAAGTTGGAGACCTGGAGTTGTTTTTAAATCCATCCACACAAAAATTCTGGCACAAACTAACTCCAGCTCCGAACTCTGTTCTATTACAGTATGATGTTATTGTACCACTACGACAACTGTTCTTCTGATTTGTTGCCAGTGAAACAACTGTTGACAACTTTGTGAAGTCCTTCAAGACAACTACTGTTGTGATTTAGGACTATACAATACATTTAAATTACACCATGCTCAGAGTGGTTGTCTGCTTAGTTGACTTTGAGTCTATGGTTTGGAGCTGATATTTTTTTATTTTGGAATCTCCCTTTGCTGGTTGTATATGATGTGACAAGGCAAAAATATTTTTTTCCTATTAAACTTATTTCACATTATAATGTGCATGTAATTTCTACTTAATACATTATTTCACATTCTGAATAATATGTCTGTATCTAAAAGGACTTTCCTCTACAATATGTCAGGTTTAAGCCAAAAGAGGCCAAAAATTTGGTTCAAGCTATTCAATTACTGAGGAATCCTGTACCACTAAATGAGTGTGTAGGTGGTACACACAAGGCTGGCATGAGACAGAAACTAAATTTAATTCAGAGTCTAAAATCTTGTGTAAAAGTATATAGCTAAAATAAACGTGTAATAAACTTCTCTTTTGAATACAATCATAAGTGTGGAACAAGCCACAGCTCCCATAGAAGTGGTTAGTATTGGTACATCGTGCAAATTTAATCATGACATCACCCTTTGAATTAATTATCAGAGACAAAAGTTATTATCCAGCTTTGTGTGTAAAAAAAAAGGTGTAAAAAAGAAGCTGCATGTGGTCATAAAGATTTGGCTGATTGGGGCTTGTGTAGAATTCTGAGATGGTAGCATGTTTTCCCTTACATTTGGGTGGCTATATTGCTCTTTGGCAGTGTCCTAGCTTGTACTTATTTGACTGTGCTCTAGTCTGGCTTTGAGGTGCTGTGTTGGTGTGTAAAGGGTGGTCTATTACTTCATTATGCTAAAATAAAAGGCATACAAATGACACACACATCCATGAATACGTGATAAAACACACACACAAGTGCATGCATACGTAGTTAAAGTAAATTCAACAAAATTATTATTGGAACACCTGCTATGAACTACCCAAAACATGCTTGCAGGGGGAAAGAACTCATGCATACACACACACACACACATACACACACCTCAATATGGCAATTGGTTAGTGGTTGTAAAAGTGCGGATTAGTCGCAGATTCACAAGTTGATTTTATTTGCCATTTAGTATTGGGATACTTCTGCCAGTCAAAGACACTTAAATTTCACAGTGCAACACAGTATGACAAACACTGACATTAGGGTCAAGACATATTTATATGGGTGAGGTTTAAAAAAAAAAAAAAACGAAAATGTATACACAAAAAATAAAAAATTTAAAAGTGCAAAAAAAAAAAAAAACAGTTTAACAGTCACTGAAAGTAGCATTAATAAAATAAAAAAAAGTTTGCGTTACTTGTGCGAATTTGTCCACTATTGAAAACATCAGTAGCAGCAAAATAAAATAAAACAAAACAGAATATGGACCAGTTTAAAATGTTAAAGATCACAACGACATTGAGGATCACGGCTTCACTTAAGATATCAATATGGCATCAGTACGGATGTGGACACGGACAGACGCTCACTCACTCGACAAGCTCAATAGACAAGACCAATGGAATTAAAGTTTAAGTACCATATCAAATAAAACTATGCATTTTCACGTTCTTTTTCTTACATAAGATGCCAAAATAGGTTTTACAGACTGCACATGCACACAGACACATACGCACGAATCTTAAGGACTTCTACAACTAAACGTATGGGTGTCTTTGAATCTTCCCGAGTGGTGAGGAAAAATAAATGTTAGCCCTAATCCTCCCGTTTCAAGAGGAATGATTTCTGTGTATCACCAAGAAGGAAAAAAACCCTTTCTTTTAAACCGACTAAAGATAAAAGATAAAAAATGCATTAGAATAATAAACACTGTGACGTCCAAAAGAACAAACATAGATTAGATTATCTAACAGCCGTAAAATGTGGATGAAGTTATTTCTATTGAGATCCCCATAAAATAAGATATTTTCACCCAAAAAATAGACAGTTTAGACACCTGCTTGTCCGCCCCCAACTACATGTTAGGTCACAAAAGTCTAAATTATAGTGCCACCCACAGTCAATTCTAGGTACTGCATGTACAGCTTGTGCAAGTATTCGAGTCTCTGTTAAAGTCTGTCGGTCAAGCTACACTCAACATTAAGAATCCCATAGAAATCTCAACTGTCCCTGTTGTCCCAGCTAAGTAACAGAACTCTCTAAGGCTCTTTATCCCTGCTTTGTAAACATCTGTCTATCCCTGAACTTTCTCTGATCTCTCTTGCCATTTCCTCCTCAGATAAAACTTTCTTCTGGTCTTTTCTCAGTTCTCTTTCGCGTCCCTCTATCTGTCCCTACAGTTTTTTCTGTGTCGGGTCCCTGCCTAGTTAATCTAGAGGTGTCCCATCTGTCCCTCCCTCCCTCCCGCCCACCCTCCCTCTATGGACAAACACATAGGGCGTGGGGGCCATCCTTCAGGGGCCGTTTACATCCCTTTCCCTCCCCCCAGATCAGGGCAGTGCAATACACAGATGGATGAGTTTCCCATTCACCCTCCTCCTGTTGACGCACCTGCAACAACAGCATTGTTTTGAGTCAAACTTGAATGTTGTGGTTGTGTCACTGTATTCAAACAAGGCGCAATTACCTCCTCGGGTGGGTGTAGAAGCTCTAGACACCATAGCATGCTGCCAGTCTTTCTTTCAGGAGAGGGGGGAACTGCTCTGAGAACTGCTGCCAGTTTTCCTCCCCGACTTGTTCCTTGAAACCGTGCAAGATCTAAAACATAAAGGCATCTGACCATGAGCATCCTCAACATCAAATTAGAGAGCAAATATTCTTCTTCTCAGCATTTACTGTTTTAGAAAGTTACATTTTAATTTAAATGTCTGAAAAGGTTAGTTATATTGTGTAATCTGACCAGCATATTTTGTACTGTGGACCCCAGTTATATCTGTATTACTGCTTAACATTATAATCTGAAGAACTGAACACATTTGTTACTACAGTATCTCTATCTTAAGCATGAGTCATTAATATCTCAAGTGAGGAAATCTTCTGTTCGTATGTACATTGTTACAAATCCTATAAAAATCTTTGTCTCATGTTTGATCTGAAGGGACTCAAAAAGAAACCATGTTCAGGTGCAATCGCAGCTGCCTTGTCTTCATTTCTCGACAATGTGTGTGTTTTTTTTTTTTTTTTTTTTAACGATCTAGAAGTTATGGTTAAGGTATTGGTCCTTAGGGAAATTTGTGCTCTGCATTTGACGCATCCTTCACTGCCACAAGTGTAAAATAAGAGAAACCTCGACACCCCAAGACCAGGTGTCAAGGTTTCTGGAGGATTGTATTTTTGATGCTTGTTTTGGGTGTTGGGGGAAAGTGGAGCCCCCTGAGGAAACCCACCAAGACACAGAGAAAAACATGCAAACATTACATAGAAAGGCCCAGGCCCACACAAGATTAGCAGTGATAACTAGCCTCCTGTTTTTATAGCGAACATTTTATCATTAATGGTATAAATTAAGACACATAGTATGGCAAGGAGTATTTAAACGAAAATGTATACGAGCAGAACTTTGAGGACCCCCTCAAAAACGAGATGTTTCATCTCTAGGGGCTTATCCTCCAAACAAATAAATAAAAACTGTGCAAGTTTCTAATATCCACATAGTCTGTGCCTCTCACTGTCAGATCGACCAAAGATTTTGCATACAGCTTGCTTATGTCGCAATAGTGCACAATAATTACCTTATAAAACATGTCTCTCAGGTCGTCTTTAGGGTTCACCCAGGACGCGACAGCATCACAGAAGAAGATGAAGTCCTACTCAAACAAAAAGAGGATGTTAGAAAAATAAATGCGTTAAATGTTAAGTTAGAAGAGAAGTGACTGTTTCAAACCTGCACTACACCTCCAGGGTTCACACCGATCATCATGCAGATGCCACGGAAAGCAGAGTCTTTCTCTTCATTGTCTCTAATGTTTCGTAGAGACGTACACCTGTGAAAAGTAGAAAAAAAACATTTAATTAATAATATTACAATTAATATTAATATTACAAAATGGAAAACAAAAAGATCTGTTTTACTTACCATGGACGGATGAACTGAGGCAGCATGGGGGCAACTTCTTGCGGACACACATAACCCAGTCGACCAATTGTGATTGCTTAAAGAAATGTCATTGTTAATGTAATATAAAACAACTTTTTTTGTCATGCAAGACCAGACAGAAGCAGTACCGGTGTTCTCCAGCAGGGTCTTGGGAGTGTTGGGGCGATTGATAATCTCAACCAGCTGATTGAGCACCATGGGGATATAGGGCTGCATCTCCACTCCTGATGTGGAAAAACAGACACATGCTGCAAATCAAAGTTGTTTGTGCTCTAGCGTTCCTGAATTCTGAATATTAAATTACCCATTTGCATGCAGATCTCTCCAATGGCCCAAGTAGCGTTGTTGCAAACCGAAATAAATTCTGGATTTAAATTTTTACCAAGAATTGGCATAAATTCAGCTGAAATGTAATACAATGTTAGTAAGACAAAAATAAAAACAGAAATATTTTGGTCAAATTAAGTTTGAAAATATCATTCACTACTAACTTAATGGAAACTATTCGAAATATCTAAGACAGAATTACCAATGCAAGGCTTCACATGAGGAAAACAAGCCTTTGTTAAATCTCCCAGGAGTGCAAATGAACTCTGCCTTACTTCTGGCATTGTATCCTGGCAAAAAAAATAAAACGATTCTGAAAAAGAAAGTCTTCCCGATACATGGTTGTTTTGTTGGGTAACTGACCTGCATGCACTGGAAAAGTAGAGTCATGATGTTGCTGCGAGACACCAGAGTGTCCACGTGTCCCCCAAGTCCCTCAGCCAACCCACTCAGAAGATCCAGAGCTACAATCATGAAGTCCTTGTCTGGTGCCTCATATTGATCTGGCTGCTGACTGTACATCTGCAGGTGTTTACATATCAAGCAAGGCAACAGTACGATTTTAGCACAGCAAACATGACTGCAACTTGACTGCACTTAACAGTGTAACAAAGCAAATTACAAAAGGACAATTGATAATGACACTGCCTAAGGATAAAAAGTCTGAGTGTAATCAATACTCACCATGGCCTGTGCAAGAGTCTTCTGGACCAGCGTGACACAGCGCTGGTAGACAGGCTCACAATATGGCAAGAAACCACTCTGAAGCGCCGTGGCAACAGATGATAGACACTCGAGCAGTGGAAACAGATCCTTGTCTTCATCCTTCAACTCATTCCATTTGGCAATAAGTGGTGGCATGAGCTTCTGAATGTACTCCTATAAAACAATACTGGTCAGATAATATAATAATAATTAAAGCAAAGCAAAGCAAATAAATGGACTCACAGGCTGGTTAAGGTGATGTCCAACAGAGTCTGCAAGTGTGCCAATGGCGTCATAAAGGATGAGCAGGTTTTTGTGCTGATATTTTCCAAAAGCAAAAACCAAAGTGTCCAGAATGAAGCTCAGGTAAGGCACCAGCTCTGTACATGCCTCCTCTTCCAGAGTTGCAAATGCACTAAAAAGAAAAAGTGATGATAAATACATGAATATAATTGAATAACTTGCTATATAAAAATAGGGTGATTAACAGACAGCACCTGCATGCGGCCTCTTGAACCCGTTTATTGCCATCCAGAATGCGTTTGAGCAGTTCAGTCATCAGAGGCTTCAGATGAGCGTCAGGAGGCTGACTGACAACCCAGTGAGCGTAGCGACTGAGGGTCCAGCAGGCAATGGAGCGCACCAAAGCCTTCTTGTCACACAAACACTGGATTAGGTGAGGAATGAGCTCTGGCAGATAGGGAACCATCCCCTGCATACAGCCTTAAAACATACACACATGTATGAAAGGCGACCCTGTAAAAACAGACATGTATCCAAGAAAAACCAATAAACCTTCAGCAATGGCTCCGAGAACAAGGATACCAGACTCCTTGATGACCCAGTCAGGATGGAACAGCAGGCCTTTGAGCAGGGGCAAGAGATGAGGCAGCAACTCCTCACGAAACACATTGGCAAGAACATCTAAAGCAGCCGCTGAACATTTCCCTGTTGATAACAAAATAATTAGTGAAGTTGTCACTGTTGAAATACTAGTGTTAATCCCCGTTCCCAGCAGACCAAGCAGTGTGGCAGGTTTACATCCAGTCAATGGTGCTGTGTGTCTGTGCGTTAAGTATGTCGACTCATCGTCCCAGCAACAATGCATGAGATGGACATTGCTCAACTATTTTGGCATTGAATCTTCAGTAATCTCAACTAAACTATATTGTTTAAATTGTTGGAATCCAATGAAAATATGTTTTCATTTGAGTGTAGGTTGGCCAACCGCAAGAAGGTCTTAACCCATAACAATATACTACTCATGTGCGGTGTGACTTACGAAGATTCCAGTCAGATAGTGTATCATCATCATCATCCTCATCATCGTCAAAGTCTTCTCCCTCCTCTCCATCACCGCCTTCATGCTGCAGAGTAACGGTCCTGGACTTATGGAAGCGTGGTTTGATGTCCTGTTCACTGTCTGGAACGGTTTCATCCTCTTCAACATCTCCCTACACAGAAATCAGCCAGGTAAGTTAAAACTATGTTGATTTTAAGATAGTAAATCAAGAAACCCATGTGTACCTTGAGAAGAATGATGTCGATTTCAGAGTACTTCATTCCATTCACCAAAATAGGAATCAACCTAAAAGTAAAGATTTTTTAATTTCCAAACGTTTAGCAATGATTAAAACCCTGATGCTAAGGGTAAGAACTTACTGAACCAAGTGTCCAGAGAGAGCCTCTTTGCAGATGGGCTGTTCCGCCAGAGTCAGCCAGAATTCACAAGCCTCCAAAGCCACATTCTCATCTGGGTCTTGGGTCCTCTGAAGCATGTACTATAGTGACAAAAACAGCACTGGTTCAATATACAAATTCGCAGCATATTTTCTATAATCTAATGTACTTCTCACCTGAATAATGCTGTGCATGTGAGGAATGAGCCGGTCAATGCGGACCTCCAACAGCATCACTAATGCTCTGCACACATTCTTCCTCACCTCACAGTCCTCATCCCCAGCCAAGGCAAACAGGCTCTGCAGATCAAAAAACAACAATCAAAACCAAATCCTATCTGGAGTGAAACATGTTCTGAAATGTTTGGCACTCACCTCAATGAAGGTGTCGATATTATCCATGAGCGCTTGAGCCCGGCCAATGATGAATTGGTTTACACAGGCTATAGCGTGGGATCTGAGGAGCACAGCCGATGAGCATTCAAAACTACAAACAATTTTTGTATACACAATTTGACTTATAAATGATAATTATATAACTTTTGACTAATAAATTATTATTTTTTTAGACTATTTTAGAGATAGCATGTAGTTTAATAACCTTATCTTGGGGCTGCAATGTTTAAAAAACTGGAGGAACTTTGGAATCATAATGTTGAGAGGTCGGTTCAGGGCATCACTATCCAACAGCTCAGAGGAATCTTCACAAATCTTCTGCAGCGCTCCAAATGACCCCTAAAAATTAATCAATGGTGAGGTTATATAAGCCATAGTTTTGGAAAAGTTGAAGAATAAAAATCACTTGGGTTGTCTGACCTCACAGGTGTTGTAGTCATCTGAATTCAGCAGATTACAGAGTTGAGGCAACAGCTCAGGCCAGGTTCGAAGCTCTCCTTTGGATGCTATCGTTGTTATCAGGATTCCTTCACAATAAAAAAGCATAATAAATTAAACTACTAAGAAATACTCCATCTAGAAAAAAGTATGCCCCCTACTCCCACACAGTCTCTTCACTGCTAATATCCCACCTCCTACATTCAAACAGTGGACTGAGTCATAGTGTGAAGAAATGGCCAAACTCTCACCAATTGTTGCCCTGATGAGCGGTGAGGGGTCTCCAATGTTATTGAGGCATTCACGCTTGATGAAATCTGCCACATTTGGGGGAAAGTTCTGGTAGTGAGCCTTTACATTATTCTTCAATATGAGACCACTGAGTGAACGTGTTGGTTCATCTTCACAAGAGAAAGAATATGATCAGTTGATTGCAAAAGCATGAATATGAAATATGCTTTCCTTATTATACAAACCTTCTGATTTTAGACTTGTGAGGACAAATATGAGATAGTTATTAAAATCTGGAAATTGGTTGAGTTGTTCCAATTTCTATAGTTTCTGTTAAGGATACACTCACAAATAACACAAGCCAATGCAACATGCAGCTGAAAGGTGGATAGTCTGGCTTCAAACGTAATAATCATAATAAATAATGCATTCTCTCAACGTGCTACAATCAAAACATACATATTGCAAACAAGTATAAAAATACATAAAAATGTGGCCAGTGCACATCAACAGTTACATGCTCTAATCATCACACCTCATGTCACACTCAATGATTAGGATACTTCTTGTACAGCTCTCTGCGTTGCTGTATCCGGAGACTGTGAGTCCTTGAGTAGCTGGAGAACCTGCTGCAGACTCTGTTCATCTGGTTGCCACTCCATACTACTGGAAACAAATATACAAGCAGTCAATCTGTGATTTCTGAGCCATATAGTTAGCAATAGAGAGAACGGATCGCGTTATAAGCGTGCCGATATACTGGTTACCTGTAACGTTGTTATATAGGTGTAACATGACGTTGTGAAAGAATGTGAAACTATTTAGTGACACAATACTGCGTAGCGTTCATTAGTTAAACATACATGTGATATGTACATGTTTACTAGTGTTCAGTCAAGCGTCAGCTGATAAATTATCAAACGTACAAAATAAAACAATCAAGGAATACAGCATCAACATCACCACACTGCTCTGTTAATGGAAGACGTGCATGAACAATCACGTATAATACCCCTGACCTGTTACTTTACGCGGCCCGGATACATCAGGCGCAAATTGTTTGGCTCAGCAGGCTAACAAACTAGCGCTGCTACATCGGTGTAAATAACACATAAAGAACACATCTGGTGCATTAAAGTCCTTACGGCAACCCTCAGGTAATTACGGTAACATGACGTTAAGTTCAAAATGCGGTAATAAACACGGCATAGGGAGGCAGTCCGACCAAATCCCAGCAGCTAAAGGTAGCTAACAGCTAGCTTCAACTTGAAAGTACCGCGGAAGATTTTACCTGGTCACTCTGATGTAGTAGATGGATAATCTTGAGTCACAGTTGTGTGTTTACAGTTAACTAAATACCATTAAACTACATATGGCTATGATATGGCTAATAATAAACTTGTGTTTCTGTCGCCCAATGCAGTCACTTTGCTAGCTGCTATGAGACAGAGATTGCATGCCTTGTAATCAAGCCGGTGATTGGTATGATCACGTTCGGCTTCCGTACAGAAACAATTTAGGATTCCTCAGATATTTTTGATGTCTTCGCCTTAGTTTAGTCATTTATTTGTATACTTGGAATTTATCATTTTCATGATTGCCAATCACTTATTAAATCGGCTTGTTTTGTATTTTGGTGGAACCGTGTCATGGATTAGCCTGTTATATGAATGTTCCTTTTTTGTCCACCAGATGTCAGCATAAAATACCTTGTTGGAAACTTTGATAAGCTGTAATCGGGCGTGGGCAACTCTGACTTCAGCAACTGCTTTTGCACATTTAGTTATTAATTTAGTTTGAATTCAACCAGCTATTCTCTATGTACAGTTGGAAATTACTTTGGGGACTGGTTTTTTCCTGCTATGATTTATTTGTATTTTCGTCAAAAACTGCATCACAGCATGAATAAAGCTGCGTTAAAGCTGGGATACCTAACTGTTAAACCACACAAAAGGTATGTAAAAGAAAACATCTAACTAGTTCTAAAACAATTTGGTCCAAAACTACTTTTTACATCCATATAATTTTGTGTTACTTCTTTAAATTAGCGTTTTCATAAAGAAGTGGGCCGGGGACGCTCACTCATCTGTCAGCCCAAAGTGTCAAATAGTGACTTACAAGTATAAGGATAAAACGTTTTCCAGTAGGATGAAGACGACATGTTGTGGTCTGATGTGTTCACAAATTTGTACGAGACTTTCTGTTGTGACAAACAAAATGTTTTATTTTATATCAACTTTAACTGATCTCTAAAAAAAAATACAGCAACAAAAACACAAACGGTAGACGTTATTTTAAGTCCTTTACAATCACAGTGACCACAAAACAATCACTTCTTTCATTATTGGTCAAAAATCACAATATGTACATTTTGAGAACCAGATTTCAATAATGAGCAAGATGGCATGAAAAGATTTTTAGCCTCAACATAAAGAGCTTATTTCACTCTTGCTGCAGCCCCACTTGCAACATGCATTGGACAGTCCAACCACAACATCCCTGCCTTTTCGGTCTGCACTTCTGAGAGCCTCCAAAACCTCTTCCAACATAGGAGAACGTGCGGAACGACTGAATTCTGCAGCTACTGATGTGTCCTCCGATGATTGGGCTTTCCACAAGTCTGGTTGAGTTGCATCTTGGCTTCTGGGGACTTGAAGCATTGGATTTGAGCTCCATGGATCCAAATTGTCCTCTCCGTTTAAAGCTGTTACATTCAGAGACATTTGTTGGTTGGTTGTCATTCATTTGAAGCTTATTGTGTATTAATAAAACTCACCTGAATCTCCCACACTCCTCCTCCAGCGAGATCCTCCACACGTGAATATGACAGCTCGAATAAATTCTCTGCCACATAATTTCACCCCATAGAAGGAGGGATGGCCTTCATTGCACCGCACCCTGTCAACAAGCGCCACCAAAAGGCCTAAAGTCAAAAGTGCTGCCTTCCACATTTTCTGGGGGTAAAAGGATTGAAAACAACCTGATTACAGCAGCAAAAGTGTCTGTTTGTTGTCTCCTGGTAAACCTTATGGGTCTTATATATGTTCCCAAAGCCAGGAGAAAATGCCTAATTTTGCCTGCACATTTATCACACAGAAGATAAGACCAGAGACCTTTAGGGGCAACAATGCTCATCGAGAAAGAGCAAAATGATTAAGTACCGCAAGGTGTCAGGGGTGATGTGAGCAGGGTCTGTTGTTATCTCATCACCATAACCTTTTATGAAGGCCTTTTTGTTTCATACACTGGCTGAGGTAAGTTGTGGGTCAACATACTGATAATTGTTATCAGTCTGAATTGAAAAATTCTCAACAAATACACATACACGTATAACTAAGTTATGATCTGTTTGTGTAGTTTTTTACTCAAATAACATTTAAACATAGGTCTAAGTTTGACTGGAGATACTTTGGGTAAAATACGTTGGACTTGCATGCATATGTACTGTATTCCCTTTCAGAGTGTTATTCTGTCTAACCCTAACCCTTTGGAAATGTCTTGTTTACAAAAAGTAATATTTTCTTAGCATCATATTTTCGAGTCTAATATAAAAATCCATTACACTATTGCCAAAGCACATGCATTTTCAGATATTGTCCAATCATGAATTATTTTTATGTTTGAAACGTTAATGTTATAGTCAAAGAATGTATTTTCGCTGTGAATTTCATTCATGGACAATTATTGTGTAAGCAATTAAACAAACTATAATGTTCATGAAAGGAACAAATAAATACAGTAGAATCTGTATTTTTCAAAGCACAACACACTTGAAAATGCAATGAAAAAATACATCTAAATATTGTTTGGTTCTATCACCTAATGTGAAAAAGAGAGAACCACTCTCAGGCCAAAGAGTCAAATAGTGGCCCCCATGGTTTTTTTAAGAAAGCAAATCATTAAGATGAAGACAGCACGATGTCGTCTAATTTGACTTTCTGTTGGGACAAACACACAAAGTATATGTATTCTAATTCCCCTAACATTGATTTATACATGTATGTCCAGTAAAAGATTAGATTAGACATATGCCAAACTAAGTGCCCTATCACCAATAATATTCTTATTTTTTGTCTGTGAACACATTAGAAAATATACCTTGATTGACAGAGTAAATTGACCAATGAGCAAACTGATCATGCTATGACGTTATGACCCACTCCTTAACTATCCAATCAGCACGTGGCATAGGGCGGGGCGGTGACCGGAGGGTAGCAACAGTTGCCCCGGTGAAGGCTAGGCGCCATAGCCACGGTAGTCCTGGCGACAAGAACCAAGCAACGGGAGTCAACAACAACAACAACCTAAATCAAAGAGGTAAAAACTTGAATGTATAAAAAATAAACATTGTTTGGACTGTGCATGTGGATTCACAAGTTAAACCTGTGAATGTGTTTTTCCGTTTGGTCTGGATACGCGTTCTTCGCCAAAGTCACGCGTAAAGGCAGAGCTGGTGGAGTACGTCGGTGCGGATGAAAGTGGTTGCTAGCTTCTTTCCGAACCCAGAACGCGGTTGTTATGGCGATGTCAGATTTTTTGATAAGAGGACAAGATGGCGGGCGTGCTGTGATGTCAGTCTTACTTTTGATCATTACACATGTGTTTCATTTCTATTTGCGAATATATTCTGGTCGTTCTGCGAGATTGTCCTTCGTTATTGGTGCGGGGTGGTGTAGCGCGCCTCGAAAAGACACGTAGTAACTTGTCCTAAGTTACCACGAGTTACTTGCTTGGGGGAGGAAGCTGCCACTCACTCACTTCTCTCAACTCTTGCATTTATAACCAGCGTCTTCCTACGTAAGCTTCTACCAGGGGAAGTTTTTACGTTTGTTTACGACGTGTTTTGGTTAAGTATATATGCACATTCGTACATTTGGGAAACTTTTGACCTGCCGTGGACTTCAGCGACTTCCTGCGTAAGCACAATGTGGCGGATGATCATCTGATTATGTCGTTGCAGTGTTAAAAGCAGGAGTGGCTTAAACAGTAGGAAGGACTATGTTGACTGACATGACAAAGTCGACATGATTCAGTTCTAAATGGCACAATGGGTTACTGAATCTGTCTACTTGAACCACGAATCTATTCTAGGATTTTCAAAAGTTATGAGAATACGATTAATTATTTTATACTAAAAGTAGTATAAAACTAGATACTCGTTTGAAAAAGTACCAATGCTGAAAATAATACATAAACAGGACAAAAAGTGAGATCCTGAGCAGTTTTGATATAGTATAGTATAAAATATATTTAGCATCAAGTATATTTATTACTCTTGAGTTTTGAATGTTAGTATTATGACATCATAATGTATTCTACTGTGTCTCATCTATTATATCTAGTCTCATTGACAGATGATTGTTGTCAGATCTTAGTGATGGTTAACATAAATAATTGTTTTAAAGTCTAAACACTAAACCCTTTGAATAAGTGCATTTTCTTCAAACCCACAGAAGGTGCCTCAAATCAGTGGTTGCTATGGCAACTCCTGGGTTCTCTGAGGACCTTCAGCCTCAGCAGGCTAACATCGTAACCATAACAACAGCAGCAGCAGCCACACCTTCCTCCACAAAGGGTGCTCACTTCCTGTCCGACATCCCCCCGGCTTCCAGAACCACCCAGTCCTCCCTGGCCTCCAACAGCACGCAGGCTGCCCCCTCACAGAGCCAGAAGACAGTGGTCCTGGCCAATCCCACCCAGCACTATGTGACCAGTGAGGTTCTTCACTCTGCAACTCAAAAGAGCAACGGTGAGAGCAGCTCCCCACAGTACACCGCAGTGACAGGTGAGACATGAGTCACAAAAAGTTTGGATTGGAATTAATAAATGACATCACCCACCAGAGAGATCTGATTGGTTGAAACCTATGTCAAACACTAATAGTTAAAGTCTATTTTTTTTTTTAAACAAACAATATAATGGGTTAGGGTTAGAATGTTCATTCACAAGGCAACTTAAAGGGCTTTGCAAAACAAGAAAAGACACATTAAAATCATACACAGATAAAACATAACTAATCACAGTGCATTGGATTTGGTTTGTCATAAATATGAATTATTGAATAGCATAATTGAGGGACTATAAGATACTACTTTTTCATAAGTTCTTTAAATGCCGCAGCCTATATATGCATGCTGCCCATGTATGTATTTTTATTTGTAGGTATTATTCCTAGGTAACAGGAGAATTTGGACACTGCACTTTCAGCTGTAGTTTTATACGAACCGCAAACGGCCTACACAAGAAAATGCAGGGAAATTCATGGGTCTAAGACTGATTAGGGCTGTTGTTAGAACAGACTTATTATTTTTATTCCATCAAGCTTTAGTTGCTATAGGTTGTTTTTTTTTTTTTTTAAAGAAATGTCCAATGTTCAATATAACGTCTGGTAATGCTATAGCTAATCTTAATGTCCAGTTGTACAAAGTAAACATGCATTATTTTTTATTTTTTTTTATTTTTTTAATTTAACTTTGAAAGGACATTATACTTTAGTAAGGTCTCACTCTAAATTCTGTGCCTTTATGCAATTAGTGGCCATATTCATACATTATTATCTTTTATATTTTTTACCTTTTCTTCAGGCCAAAGTCTCACTGATTTAAAAAAAGGTGAAATAAAGATAACATTCTTCACTTTTCAAATTCACATTTCTTCAAATTGAGTAAGTCCTTTTTCCCTGATTGGAAATACAATATGATGATAATGATAATAATAATAATAATAATACACAATAATAATAACATTTAAAAATAGAAATATATGTAGGATAAAAAAAAATATATACATTGTGCATCTCTAAACTAAAATTCACTAAATTTAAAACACAACTTTCTGTATTTTACAGTTAATTGACATTTAAATCTGAAATCTAAATGAACTATTGGAATTAAAAGTAAACTTGTGTTAGTTTATTTTAGGGATTTCTATTTACAGATCATTTTGTCGCTGTCCTGTATCAAATGTCAGTGTGCGCATTCCCCTGCGTCACAGCTGTGGGGGGAGTATGGCCCAGAAAGAGCGGAGATGATTAAAACCTTCATGCAGTATCTAGGACGTGGTTAAAAAAAATCTGGATTGATGGCATGTATTAATCCTCTTGTGTGTGTCGTTTGTCCAGGTTCATGTTAATAAATCAAAGAGTTAAACCGTCATATCTCAGGAGAGGATAATGCGGTGCAGAAATAATGTTTTTGTATTTGAGTTGTTTTTAATTAAAGTTGGAAAAACAAATAAATTACAAAACCTAATTTTAAGATAAGAGGAAAAACATAGGAATTAAAAATAATAGGATCAACTTAAAACATTTACAAACCTTTCATCAGCTCATTTGCATAATCATTTGATAGTGACAACATACTTCGCAGGAAATGTATATAATATATTTAATATTCTTATTAAAATACCTTTCAAAACCCCCAAGGACACGGTACACAACAAGGTTAAAACATTAAAACCAGAATGATACAAAATGGGAAGATGATGTGATGAATGATTGTCTGAACAGGTGAGTTTTGAGTTTATAGTTCAATTACAAATAACGTGAAAAATCCTATCTCTTCCAACCCATTAAACCCTACATCATAATTGCATTTAAGTTTGGACTGTAATCATGACCTTGTTTTGTCGTTTAATGTTTTCGTCAATTTTGGAATAGATATGTAAAGACAAATCAGAAGGAACCAAGGACCCTAATTTCAACCTGGAAAGGAACAACAGATCTAAAAATACCCAAGGACCTGCATGTGACATTATTCAATCGGTCTGTACACAATGCTGGTTAACTGCTGTGGCCACATCTGCTGATTGACAAACGGGTGGCTACTAATTTGGCTCCTCCGATCACCTCCAATCATACAAACACACACACCACACTATGAGGCAATGTGGGTGACGTGTCCTTAGGCAAGACACAATAACAGTTTGGTACTTTAAAGCCACAGCTCCACTGTTGCATATAGTGATAGAGGTCTCTCATCCCAGTATGTGTCAGTCCCAGTTCTGCTTAGCCTCTGATTCTGAGATTTATAGGGACCGGGCTTAGACTCTTTGTCTGAAAACAGTTATATGTCCACCTTAGTGTGATTGTCCAGTATGACTGTATAACTTTAAAAATGTGGCACACACACACAATTAATACTACTGTGAACCCTTAGTCACTGTTCGTTTTTACAATAATTGAATCTGAAATAAGAGTTGCTTTGTTCTGTAGTGTTTGCATAAGTTCATGTTTAGTCCACCTGAATGACGACAACCTGCAGTGGCCACACAGTCTCTATCTTCTGATTCCCCTTTTTCATCCGATCTGCATGTTTACAAGATAGAGGGATTTCTTTCTCCATCTGGGAGATTAGCTGTCCAAGGCTGTTCTCCTCCATGCTACATATAAAGGCAGATGTTTGCAGGTGGTCAGAGTTTCTCCTGTCACTAAACCAGTCGAACATTAGCCATAAATATGTTCTGTGGCGGCGGGTGTTATTACGAGTTTGAGAGCGTGTGTCGTGAGTACTAGGCTTTGTGTTCACGTTTCTTTACATGGATCTCTTCTCCTCTTCCTCTCTTGTTCTTAGAGGGCTCGGTTCACTCCACTGACAGTCTCTCTGACACCAGCCCACCTGCTCAAAGTGGAGTCCCCACTCAGGTGGTGCACGCGGCGCAGACCACAGCACACCAGGTAAGAACCACACAGACACATCTCCCACTGAAAGAGACTTGGAAAATACTGATCACACCACAATGTCAATGTCCCAGCAGAGGTCAGTGTTGCAGGCCGTCTTACAAGCAGCAAAGAGAGCTCAGTCAGGCCACTTAAACCAGGAGGTAAAATACAGACGGCTGGAATGCTTGTAACCCTCTTGACTTTCTTCAATTGCTGCAAAATGAGAACATGTAAAATTGTTTTTGAATTCTCACAAAGCAGACCTTTGATTTGAAAATTAACTTTCAAAATTCCTAAAAAAAAGAACATACTAACTCAAAAAACATGTCTTGCTGCTTTCTAACTGGCATATTTTGCACCTTTTCTTTCTCCCAGTTCAAACTTTAAATGTTGGTAGAATAGGGCTGCACAATCAGAATACATTTTTAAAGTAATTTATTTTTACTTTTGTTCTGTGTCATGCACAACAAAAGTATTCACTTCTGAGCAGTGGTGAGCCGTGCATTTCAAACTTTCACCTACCTGACTTGTATCCATGGCTCTACACATTATGCATTTCAAGTACAACCGGACATTGCGCACCTTAACATATAGTCAAGTACAACTTATTAGTCTACTGAGCTTTATTCACTTCACCAACACTATGAGCTTTAATAAGTTTGCTCACAAAACCGCACAGAGCGCACTGTCAATATAAATCAAATTAATAATCAATCCATTGCACCCAAAGAAGCGTCACAGAAACATGGTAATACTGATAAACTACAAGTATTCCCTGGGAAATCGTTGCAATGCTTCTCAGAGCCTGCCTCCCAAAGGTGACCGTTCGTAGCCATATAAAAGTGGCGGATAAATCCTTTCCCCTGCTGAGTCAAGTTGGCTAGCATCCGGGTTTGCTGGTCTTTCTTCACAACGTCTAGCTTTTCATGAAACGTTTTTCATTACATGACATGGCTCTCTGGCTCTCTCTGTCACATATCCAATCAAAAGACATGTATGCACTGACTATAGGGGAATGACACAATATACACATTTATGGAAAAAATATGATTCCTGAAGGTTTAGGCCAGCAGAGAAGGGCTCGCTGGTCTTGAGGGTCCTCCACTGCTTCTGAGTGATGAAAACATGAACCAAAACTTTTTCAGAACACATGGAAAATGGACGTTCTTGATTGAGACTCATATTCTGTGCAGCCCTGTTTTGGAAGAACCTCTTGATGAATGCGACCACAAACTAAACAGCATGTTCAGAGTTCTTATCTGTCTCTTGCCTCAGGTGGAGCATGTGTTCTCTGGTCAGGTGCAGTATGTTGATGGAGCTGGTGACGCCCCGTTCTCTGCGTCTGCAATGTGAGTGTTTCGCTGTATGAACAAGTTGACTCACTGGACAAAAATGTTTTATGAAACCACATCTTTTAATTTCAGCCGTTCAAGCAACTATTCTTTCTCCAACTCGCCGCTCTATTCTCAAACTCCTCCGACTTCGTCCTCCAACTTCTATGAAGCCACATCAAGCTCGGAGTCGGACATACCTGGAGCTGTGGCCTCTCAGGCTCTGTCGGTGGCGACAACTGCAGCCAACGCAGTCACAGGCAGCGCGGGCTACATGCTCCCAGGAGGCTATCTGCTGGGAGCAGCTCAAAGTTTCTCTGGATCTAACTCTCGTGCTCCACCTGCCACTGTAAGCGCTCGTGAAGCCTCGACACACATTGTAGCTAAGATTCACCACTGAACTTGCTGTAATAAGATAAGATAAACTTTATTGATCCCGAAGAAAATTACAGTGGTGTCGGCTGCTCTCATTCACACATTCACTGGTACATAATAAATAAGTTGCTAGAATATAATAAAAAAGTACAAAAGAAGTTAAAACTTTGATATACAGTCATGCTTAAAATCTTGCACTGCTTAAAAAAAGCCTCAGACTTTGAGTTTGATTTTGCATTTATGACATTTCAGGTACAATGGCTGGTTGACAACTATGAGGGCGCAGAAGGCGTGAGCTTACCCCGCTGCACTCTTTACTATCACTATCTGCTGCACTGTCAGGAGCAGAAACTGGAGCCTGTCAATGCGGCTTCTTTTGGAAAACTTATTAGGTCTGTGTTTTTGGGTTTGCGCACAAGGAGATTAGGGACAAGGTAAACCACAGTGCTTGCAAAAACAACTCAAATACAATAAAAGAAAGTGAAATGATGACATTTGTGTGTTTTTTAGAGGGAACTCCAAGTACCACTACTACGGCCTGAGGATAAAGTCGGGTTCCTCTCTGCTCAGACTGATGGATGAGCATCAGCACATGGCCATGAGGCAGCAGCCATTCTCACAGAAAACACGGTAAAAGCAATAGTGCAACATTCACATAACTTAACATTGAGCGGCAATTATACACTACTGACATGCTTCTTTTCTTTTCTAAAAGAGTAAAGCAGGTTCAGAAGGCACAGGGGGTTGCTAATGGGACGTCAGGTGGAGCAGGTCAGCAGCAGGCAACAGGACTGTGTGACATCTCTGCTCAGGTTCAACAGTACCAGCAGTTTCTGGGTGAGGAGAATAGTGGATTTGCTTGACATTGGAATAGCCAACTGACTAGATGTTTTTTTTCCTTTTTTTTTTCAAAGGAACATCATCTCTGCCAAAGTTTGGAGACATTGATTTACAAGATCAAGTGCTCCCTGAAGGAGTCCTTTTGGAGCATCTCAGGGCCTTTCAAAGTCTCTACAGAGAACATTGTGAGGCGAGTACTTCAGGGATGTTTGTGGAGACTGACGATATGTCCAGAGATTTTTGTGCATCATCTTTTAGACAAAAATTCCCAAATAGTCATGTTGAGTGGTCACACCTTTCATATAAGAAGCTGTTTAAGTCTCTTACTGCACTTTCATAGGTTTGTAGTGTAGTTTTCCCGAGTGTCATAGGTTTAACTGGAACTCTAGATAATATATACAGTCTATGCTTTAGACAAGTGTTTCCCAACTGAGGGGTCATGGTCTGCTATGGGTATGTGAGAGTATTACTGGGGGTACATACAATTATTATTACCTTGCAAAAATGCATTGAGTGGATCAGTTTTACATCATTGTATGAAAACAACCATTGCATGGATTTGATAATAATCTGATAATACTATGTCTATCAGTCTGCAATAACAAGCCGTTGTTACTTTTAGTTCAGTCCTAGAATGTACTCATTTTGCTCTGACCAAAATTAGATCCCTGTTAACACTGACTATAGGGTGCGCAGGGCAGGTTGGGAGTTTCTTTTTGTATTTTTACAACATTTTTGATACTTCAAATTATGAAAATTAGTGGGGGTCAAAAGTCCAATTTATGCCTTTTTCGGGGGTCCTGGCCAGAAGTTTGGGAACCCCAGGTCCAGTCAATCGGTTTAAGCTTATGTTACAGAAATCACACATTTTGCTCAATGTCTATAAATCAGGTTTTGTTGTGTCACAGGCGGTTATGGACGTCATTATTAATCTGCAGTTCACTCTTGTGGAAACACTGTGGAAGTCCTTCTGGAGGTTTAGTCAAAATGACACAGAATCCCTTAATCTGTAAGTACAAGTCCAACACTAACAATGTTTTGTAGTTTGCAAACAATTCTTTTATCTACATTCTCTGTCAGACACAACGAGTCGGAGAAGCGCCTGCCTAAATCCTGTCTTGTGATGCTGTGTAAGTTTGAGCCTATTCTCCACTGGACCAAAGAATGTGACAACCTGCTCTACCAGGCTCTTGTGGAGATCCTCATTCCCGATGTGTTGAGACCTATTCCCAGTAAGCGCCCAAGGAACAAATGTTTCTACAGAGTTGTATAATGGAGTAATCATTTCATCTCATCCTGCAATAGGTGCCTTAACTCAGGCCATTCGCAATTTTGCTAAAAGTTTGGAGATTTGGCTCACTGGTGCCTTGATGAACATCCCTGAGGAGATGGTTCGCATTAAGGTACAAAAACCTTCCCCATTTTCCTTGTCTTCTCTGTTTCGGGGCTTCATGTTACATTACTCTTTCTGACTGTAGGTAGTTTGTGTGAACTCTTATGCCCAAACTCTGCGCCGCTACACCAGCCTCAACCACTTGGCCCAAGCAGCACGAGCGGTCCTCCAGAACTCTGCTCAGATCACACAAATGCTCTCAGACTTAAACAGAGTGGATTTCACCAACGTTCAGGTTTGACAGTTCAGCTCAGTTTGACTTGTGCTGTTTTGCAACTTCTCTCATTGGTTTGTGTCTGTGCCCGTCACAGGAGCAGGCGGCCTGGGTATGTCAGTGTGAAGATGCCATGGTTCAGCGTTTGGAGCAAGATTTCAAAATGACCCTTCAGCAGCAGAACTCCCTGGAACAGTGGGCATTGTGGCTGGACAGTGTTGTCACTCAGGTGCTTAAACCCTTTGAAAACAACCCAGTCACTTTACCGAAGGCAGCTAAAGCCTTTCTGCTCAACTGGTCGTTTTACAGGTAACTTAAAATACAAGCTACGTATGGATAACTTTGACATCATAGACTAATCTTTTGATGCACTACTAGTTCAATGGTGATCCGGGACCTGACTCTACGCAGCGCTGCAAGCTTTGGCTCTTTCCACCTGATCCGCCTGTTGTATGACGAGTACATGTACTACCTGATAGAGCACAGGGTGGCCCAGGCCAAAGGAGAGACTCCCATTGCAGTGATGGGAGAGGTAAATGTTCTGTTAAAAAAGACTACAATTAATTGTTCTTTTATGACACAAATGTTTTTTTTTTAGTTTGCCAGCACAGTAAAGAGACAGAGCTCAGGAGATATGGAGAAAGGTAAGCTGATTTGTTTAGGGCACATGTGTCCACTGTCACTTTACTGAGCCACTTTGTCCCATACCCTCACGCTGCTAACATATTTATTGCACTAGAATAAACAGTATTTCATACTCACTCTATTATGCTAAAGTTAGAGATTTTATTTTAGTATAAAGTTGTTGTACACTTATCTCATTCCTGCTGCCCTGTAACTGGTGATGCAACACTGAAATGTTCCCACTGTGACAAATAAAGGATCTCTTAATTGTTGAATAAGTATTAATTAGTATAAGTAGTAATAAGTAAGTTGAGATACCTAACTGTCAAACCACAAGAAATGGAACTATGTAATGACGTTTTCACATACATATAATATTTGTCCTCAGTATTATGCCAGTCAATTATGTATTATATAAGAATAAGAAGGCATGTTGTGGTCTGATATGTTCACAGTTAACTTTGTTGGCTTTAACTGTGGCTATGATTTTGATTAGTCCCTAAGAGAATTAATGGAAGTCAATCAAGACTCAAAGTTTTGTGACTGTTCGGTTTGTTAAGTTGTTTAAGACACATCTTTATCGTTTTGTTCAGACGAGGAAGAGGAGGAGGAAGACGATGACAGTGATGAAGAGAGTGGGGACATAGTGCTTCAGTCCAGACCTCTTAACGTCATCTCAGCAGAGAAAGAGTCTCTGGAGCCTCCACTCAAACAGCCCAGGACAAGCCTCAATCTGCTGCCGGAGACACACGGGTCATCTTAGACTCCCATCCAGTCCAGCTTGGTGTTGTGAGATGAGAACGCATGCTGTGAACAGGAAGTTAATCAGCCTAGCCAAATTTTTTTGTACTCTTTAATTTAAAATGCCTTCATATAATCTAATCCTTCAAACTCCTTGTGCCTTTCCTAACTTTCCAGTGGCTGTCATGATAATAAGCCATGTCTGTTTAGCCTTTATGAAATACGTGTTTCTCTATCTGAAAGTATATTACTGTCCCTTTTTTCTTGCCTTAGCCACTGACATGATGCTGTGGTAACATGGGTGAAAACTATGCAGAAGAGCGCTGCTCCATAGACTGTGTTTTGTGACTTATGTGTATTTAGCCATATTTTTACATGTATATTCACGTGGCAAAACCAATGAGTAAACTTACTGTGCCTTTGCGAGGTGTGACTGGAAATGTCTGTATTTAATATATATTCTGTAACAGTGGGTTAATAAACAAGCATCAAGAAGATTGTTTTTCTTCTCAGAACTCCTCAGCAGTGTAACCTAAACCATAATTACAGGTTGAGGTGATTGTAGTAAATAACTAGTAAAATCTTCTCACACCCTTCTTGAGCTATGTACATTTCTGCGCTGTGTTTTTTGTCATGCTTGAAAGATTACATCATTAATCATTAAAAGGAAGTATGACCATATTAGTCCGGTCCTCAGGTCTTTGCACTGGCTTCCTGTGGCTCAAAGAATAGATTTTAAAACGGCTCTGCTTGTGTACAAGTCTCTCCATGGCCTTGCACCAGAATACATTAGTGACATGTTGGTGTCATATGAACCAGCCCGGACTCTGAGGAGCACAGGGACTGGCCTCCTGCTGGTGCCCAGAGTGAGAACCAAACATGGGGAGGCTGCGTTTCAGATCCATGCAGCTAAGATCTGGAACAATCTCCCTGAAAATGTGAGGGAGGCGTCTACTCTGTCAATGTTCAAATCCAGGTTAAAGACTGTTCTGTTTGCCTGTGCATACAACTGAAGGATTTTATCTCCATTTTTAATGCACTGCTGTCATTTATTTATTTTTTTAAATTTCTTGTGTAATTTTGAAAGTTTTAATGGTTTTATTCTTTTGTGTGATTTTAATGTTTTAATTGTGTTTTAATCTTTTGTGTGATTTTAATGTTTTAATTGTGATTCTGGTGTTTGTTTTATGTGATGATTTGTGATGTGGACTGTGAAGCGCTTTGTGTTGCCATGTGTATGAAAGGCGCTCTACAAATAAACTTTGATTGATTGATTGATAATCCATACTGTGGAGAGGTCTGAAAGACGATAAAGAACCTCAAACACAAAAGAACCACAAAAGACTCCCAAGATGTCAAAGTTATCAATCTGCAAGGGCGCGTAAACTTTCAAGCACGTTTGAATCTGCTTTTTCATATGGATCCTTGTTTATGTAAATGCATATAACAATGCTTGTAAGGTTTTATACATTATGATTTATACATTTTAGTGATGTATTATTAGCTTTGCATAATTACATCCTTAAATGTATAATAGACAAAAGTATTATATTTAAAATAAGGAATTTGAGCATGAAAAAAGTTAGTTCCAGTGTGTGTGAAACAAGTACCAACTGAGCAAGCACCAATATATACAGTGTATATATATATATATGACTTCACAATGTTTACATTATACATTTAACACAAAGGATAACAAAGGGAAGATTATGAATGGATTACTTTTGAGGCTATACACTACAAAGATATTAAATTTGCTTGTTAGTGTTTTAAATCTCTTCATATGTTCTCTAAACCCCTGTCCTAAGGGGTCTGCAGGTCCCTTTGGCCTACATACTGACTTATTCATTTCAAATCTGCGCAAAACAATGACAAGTTAGACACGTTTCATCCAAACATTTAGCAAAACAAATTTGAGGTTTTATTTTGCATTTTGATCTTAGCTGTGAGATTTGAAGAGAACCTGGATTAGACACCTGTGGTTTGTATCAAATTTAGTACAAGGGACAATTCTTCTGCCAAAGTAGTTCTAAATATATGATTAAGCTGGGATAATAGATCACCAAAAATAGAGTACTTGCTGGAGTTTTTGAACCCTGCGGCTTTCATGGGGATGAGGCCAATATATGGATTTTCTTTTCTTTTGGACACAGCTCCATCAGCTGATGATCTCCAGTTGGTGACATAACACATTTTCCTTCCCAGCGTTTATGTGAATAGCAAAGAAATGCAGGGGAATACACGTGGAAATACCAGTGCTTTGTCCATTTAGTGATCAGTGTTTTAAAACATCTCATTAAATACTGTGTCCAGTTTGTCGTTTATCACCTTGGCTTTACTCCATCAGCTTTCACATTATAACATGGCTTATATTAAAAATGTGGTTTTTCAAACTAGGTGTGGTTTATTTACAGGTGGTCTTAATAGTTCAGCAAGTGCTGTAGTTTACAATGTGAAAAAAGACAAATGCTTGTTTGCATTCATTGGTATTTTTTGTAAATGTCTAAAAGAACACCGCATTTCCACATGAAACCAAATAACATGATCTGCTTCATAAAAAGACTGAAACTTGTCTGTGGCAGTCAGTGCCCCAGGAATACACGCTGTGACAATACAGCAGCAGTTTTTTTAATAAACATTGCACCACATTCAGTCACACAATGAGTAAAACCTTTAATCCTGATCTTAGTTACAATAAAACAAAAAGAATGACAAGTACAATTATAAAACATTATTTACAGGTTGACAAGATCAAGATTGCTCATTACATTGTCCAGTTTTATAGTACAATCCAGGTGCATCTGTCACTATCGGCCAGCACTTGAAGAGAAGAGCCTAAAGAGACATGAAAATGTGTATTTTTAATGTTAGCAAAACAATCAAACTTTGGCTGGTTAAATACAGCTGAGAAAATCACTTTTAAATGTTCTTATGGAAGGATAACATCACAGGAGCAGATTGTAGGAAAGCGCTAAAAGGCAAATAGTTCATACAATGTGATTATTTTTTTTTTACCAGAGACAAAATGCAGGATTTTCCGATCTCAGTCTTTAACCAATAACATATAATTCAGAACGAGCTGTTAAGGTTTAATAAAATGAGTCATTAAACTGAATATGTTTTTAAACCATGGGAGGATGAGCTGGAGAAGACCCAGGACACGTTGGAGGGGCCGTCTCTCTGGCCTGGGATCACCTCAGGATTCCCCCAGATGAGCTGGAGGAAGTGTGTGTGATTGGGAAGTCTGGCAGTCTCTGCTCAGACTGCAAGCCACGCAATGGATGGATTGTGATTTGCAGCCGCCAAATTTTAAGAGTAAATTATTCTATGGACTGATGAGACCACAAAATGCATGATGAGTGTTAGACCTTTGAAAACCTGGCTCACCTTTATGCAGAGCCTCGTTGGTCATTCGGTTAATGTAGCGAGAGCCAGTTTCGGGAATAAGCCACTTCATAACTGTGTTGACACAGGTTTTCCTATAGGAGCTCCACACACTGCCGCTGAGAAAACAAATCAGCGTGTTCAAACTGTAAAACCAAGTGTTTGCACCTATAACAAGAACGTGGATCACCTCGTCTGCCCTTTGACTTCGGTCAGGTCTCCCACGCCGACAGTGCAGCAGACACCTGTGTGGAGGTCCCAGCTGACGCGCAGGTTTGAGTGGTACGTGTTTGGCCTGTGGAGTACAGGACATGCAAGACTTACAAAGAAACTCATTTGAATAAGTATACATTAAGCAAGAGAAGAGCGAGTAAAAAAATAAAATAAAAGTATGTATATATAAATATATCCATGAAAAAAAATCAATAACACTGAAAATATTTTGGTAATCCTTCAGAAACATTTCACAATGAGGACTTAAAAGGTTTTGGTCATAGACTGTATATAGTAGGCCTATTCAACTTCAATAAATGCCAAACCAGTACAAAACTAGGAATAGACTACAACCAGTCATAAACCAGGACATAGCAAATAATACAATTACCATAACAAGATGTGCCAATGGAAATCGGCAAACTATTTTTTTCTTTTTTCTCTATTTCTTCTGCGCTTGAAATAATATTTTACTTTGTTCCATTGTCAAATCTTGTTGTCAAACTGGTTTTATGGAAATTGCAAAATCTTGCTCCTACTTGCTTCGTCTCCTATTCACTTTCATTACAGAAAAAAAACCCACTCAATTTGGACCTTAAAGTCTGGTTTTGGAGGGGCCATTTTTTTATGTATAGTTTTTAATTAATACACATATTGTGTATATTAATATCAATTTAACACGTTTGACACAAACCTGGTGTATATATTTGGCCTTGTGTTAAGTTTAGTTTATCAATATGAACTAATCTTAACCGATTTCTTCAAAATAACAGAGTGTGTGTTGATAACGTCACATTGATGCTTTAGCTTTTGTGTCACCATTAGCAACAGCGCTAAATGTCTGACCTGCAGTGCTCCTCGTCCGAGTTGGAGAAGGCCAGTAACAACAGCCCGATGTTGATCATAACTATGTTCGTCTCTGGGCACACCTGATGAACGCAAGATAGCACTTTAAAGACTACACATTTACATTCTGTGTGTCCTCGGGTTCACAAGTAAACCAAAGGTGCAATGATTCTTACATAAACAACAGGACCATGCAGTTTATCAACTTGGTTTTACATTATTTCTCCATCTAATTAAATATTAAATAATGTTTAATGATAACTGTTGCTTTGAGCCGTTTATTTTCACACAGTTTAAAATATAAATATCATGCATCGTTTGTTATTGAGAACATTTAATTTGGAATTTCACATTTTTGCTTTATAATTATTTGATATGCCAGCTAATTTAAGTGGAATGTTACATTTTATGGTCTTTCTTTGGGCGTTGGAAAGTAGCTAGCATGTAGTTATCCTTTAGAAACTCCTAGAATGGGGGAATTTTACTTCCACCCAAAGTTCCACCCACGTCACAGGTCCATTCATCTTGTATTCTCAACAAGCAATAATTAAATTTAACTCACTTCCAAAATCACTACATCATAGTCACTGAAGGAGCAGAATTGCGGGGCCCAGGATGCATCATTTCTGATCACCTCGTTGATAAGATATTCAAAGTCCAGAGTCAACTGCTCCACCGAGACGCACTGCAACAGCACAACGAGCATTAGCATCACAGTTTAGCGCGTTCACCCAGGGTTCTGAACCCTGGGCACTTGTGAGGTCTAAAAATGGCACAAAAGAAAATCAAGTATCTGACAGTTAAAACATTTAATCCACAAGATAGTATATACATGACATTATGGCATTAATTGGGACACATGTTCCAATAGTGTGCATTCAGCTGCCACTTGAAACCAATAACATCACAAATCTTCAATGCTGACCCATTCAACTTTTAGCTCAGTGTATTTAGTCTCACAATCTTTTATCCAGCCATCTTTATGTGTTTTAACTGTTGATTCTCTGATCTGTGTTGGTGATTTCAATGGTTTTGTCAAGTCCTCTGAGATGACTTCTGTTGTGATTTAGGGCAATACAAGAATAAATTGTATTGTAAATTGTATAATTGTACATCTTTCAACCCCAAATATCTGTGGTAATGATGACTGAGGATCCAGAATAAAGAGTAAATCTCTAAGTTTCTCATAAATCTTCCACAGAAGTAGATTTGTAGTATGAACCCTGCTCACTTGTCCATCATACGTCCCATTAACAAGTTCAAGATTTCTGCCTTTGAGGTCAGTGACTGTGAAGGGCAGCTGAACCTTATCATCTTCATAACCTGCAAAGAAAAGTGTTCTGAATCAGTAAATCGATCAACAATATAGCACTCAGTTAAGAATGATATTATCCTGTTCTGAATCAGAAGTTTACAAAAGTGTGGGATTTTTAACTCTAACTCCATGAATATCACCTGATTGTGTCATATCCTGATTTTCATAAAGTGAATTTCAAGTTACTTTTCACAATGCAGAGAATGTGATTGCAAAATGTATCAAATGTATTAAAAATACTTGATTAACACACATACTCTCTTCCCATTGGTTTAACTTTTCTCCTTCAGAAGAACTTATTTGCTGTTGTTACGTATTTATCAAATTACCCTCTTTGCATTTTAGGACAGAGCATGTCAGACATCACCCTTCATCAAGATGAATTGTTGAGAGTGCAACCAACACACCTCTTTAATTCAAATATAGTTACCTCCTCTAGTCTGTCCTGTGCCCTGCTCGGATGTCCCTGGCTGTGGGAGGCGGTACTGCAGGTGAGAGTAGTTGACATATCCTGGTTCAACAGATGCGGCCTCATTTGTAGCAGGTGTTGCCGGTGACAAAGGGGAGGAGGGTTCAGGCAACATTCTTGTAGGTAAATTATTACCAGAGGTTGAGGCTTGTGGCAAATGTGTCTGTGTCTCTGGCACCGGACTCCGAGTCTCTAAATGTTTCTTATCTTTTGCACATTTTTCGTCAGAAACTTCCAGCTTTTCCTCTCCAGCTGGAGCACTGGCTTGTGCTCGTCTAAATAGGTCTGCTGCAAACTCTCGGGCGCGAGCAGCAGCCTGAGACTGTGTGTGAGGACTGGCCTGAGGACAGGGGCTGTGGGAGGGTCTTCTGTCTGGAGTTCTCTGGAGCACTGATGGCACAGACGCAGCGGCTGGAGTGGTGTTGGAGGACGAAAGCTTTTTTGTGTAGAGGATTTGAGGCGATGGATCTTGATTTCCTGTCAAATGATTTGAGATTTAGATTCAGTTAAATACTATACAGTTTATTTTTCAAATGTATGTTCATATAATTTACTTAAATAACACCCAAAGCACTTAATTAACAGTGCTTTAGCTAATATTTTCAATTTGGGTTGGATTGATAAACTGACTGACAGAACATTTTACCAAAGGGGTATATTGTAAAAGTAGATAATGATCCATTGATGCAAAACTAAGCAAAATGTCTTTTGGTATGTTTAACTCTTGTAAAGTCTGCCAAATCTTCACTGAAAAAATAAATTAATGTGTGAGGATAACATGTGTTGAAGAATCTGTGAAAGTTAAGACAGGGTAAAACACTTCTGAAAATCTGTTACCCCAACTCTAACATATTTGCACTGTGTAATTGTGGCACATAAAATACATTTTGCAAAAAAGTGGAAGTTTTGCACCTGAACAGAGCGAGATTCCACAAGCAACAAGAGAGTAACTCGTGTTGAGGAATATAACCTGGTCTTTCTTCAACTGGAAAGCTGGTTGGAAAGTGGGAAAAGGGTAAACCACCTGATAGCGACTGTTGAGCACATAGCCATGCTCTAGACAGTCTCCTGCCCCTGTAGAAAATAGAAATCGCATAAATGAATGAGTGACTGCTATATATGGTATATATTCTGTATACATTGTAGACAGACCTGTGCGTATAGTTGTAGCCGAAGGAACAGGGCAGCACTGAGAGCACGGTTTATGTGGTGGCATCGATGCAATTGTTATATAAATGTCCCTGTTATTCTCGTCACCCATCATCAGATTCATCAAAACAGAACTTGAACTGCGTGTACTAAAAAAGAAAGCGTAAAACAATAATTGTGGCCAGACGTTACTTGAGGCATGTGTGGAATCCATACTTGAATCCAAAGATGACAATTTTTGAGGTGTCATTCGGCCATTCACAGACAGTGAGGTAAAGGTCGCTATAAATTTCTTCTCCTGCAAAGAGCCGGACATGGTGGACCTATAAAAAGCAATGTATTATTTGACATCAAAGTGCATTCAGATTATAAACATAATCCAAGAATGAGAAGATGAAGCTAATTGTGGATCTTTTACCTGCTTGAGTCTACTGTGCAAGTTAAACTCCCACCAAAAGAGATGATAGGTGTAGAAAGAAAAATCATCTTCTCCACAGTCACTGGTGTATGACAGAACATATCTACCACATTTGGTAAAACCAAGAAATATGTGTCTGTCAGATAAACGAGAGTTTTATATGTCAGTATCACAGGAGGGACATCCATGATGAACAGAGAACAGACATACCCTGCTCTGAGGAACTCCTCACTCACAATATTCTTCAGCGGGACACAAACTCGTGGAGGAAGTTTCCTGAAACGTCGCTGGGGAAACTGTCCACACAGCTACAAAAAACATCATGTGAATAAAACGTAGCATTACAATTTGTGAAAGAGGACTCAGGCGAAAGGCAAATACTGTGCATACACAAAGTATCCAACCCTCTTCACTTTTTCTACATTTCGTAATGTTACAGCCAGTCATCCATCCATCCGATTTCATCCCCTTAACCCAATACCTGTCGTGGAGTGGCAATCAGAGCTGCCGCCTAATTCACAGACCAGCCATTCCAAATTATAATATCCCTGTACTCTTGCAATAATCCAAGATGACAAAGTGAAGAAACATTTTTAGGATATTTTACCGTTTGGTTAAAAATAGCATTATATATTGAGCATTAACTCTTTGTTAAGGCAGATTCTGAGTCTGCAGTGTTGAATAGTGTGCAAAAAAACGTTGAAATTCTGTAATTTACATGAAAAGGTAGAAAAACCATACCAAATCCTGTTGTGAGATTGACAAGAAAAATAAGAATTTAATCCATTTCGGAAAAATGCTGGAACATAAAAATGTAGAAAAGGTGCACTGCACAAGGGGAGGTTTTTCATAATATTCATAAAGAATATTTAGAAATATTAAATGTGATAATAGGTAGAAACTATAAATACTTCGCCATTCGTTACTAACTGTAAAATCGCAACTAAATATGTGAAACGCTACACACACCTAACTTTGATCTATAGCATGTCTATGGGACAAACTACATTTATTCTAGGCTGAGCTGGAAGCAATTAGCGCATAGCAGCAGTAGCCCTTTGCTAGCCTCCCAGGACTAAAGTAACCGTGGAATCAACTGTAGCATGTTTCGTTTATTGTGAGACTCGTTCAGCACAGGCCTCATGTCACTGCCTACCTGTCCGCGCACTAGGAGCTTCACCAGGTGGTCCTTATTCTTTCTTTGAGCCTTTGTTTTTGCCTCGTCCTTTTCTGATTTCGAGCTGGGCGCCATCTCTAAACTCCACCGTTGAGCTGAAACCTGTGCGGATTGGTCAATCCCGACACGTGACTGCGTCAGACTTCACTACACAAACCTCCATGGTCCAAAACATAAATGCAAAATCTATTGCTCAAGCTCAACCCAAAGACAACAGTCGATGGATTAAACAACCTTCAATTGGACAAGCAGAAGATTTGAGTTTCCATAAAACGATGAAGGTGTAATTTCTAAAGGCCTTGAATTGGCTAAATGTTATGTACATTTATCAAAGATTGTGAACCACTTTAAAATATTTTAAAAGTGTTTTTATTTTATGTTTTTAAAAACAAGCAGTAAAAAAAACCAAAAAACAAAAATCGGCATAAAGAACTTTAGAAAAACTAAGTTGGACAGAGGGATCAACTCACACACGCTTACAAAGTGCAAGTTTGTTATTGCCTCTTGTAGCCAAAATGTCATCTGTTCTTGTTCTGCAGCTTTTCTGACACATGCATACAAATACTCAAAATTGAGAAAATTAAATACAACTGCAGGAATAACACCTGCAACTTATTGGGAATGTTGTAAAAAAGAAAATAAAAATAATCTTACAATCATAATTGTGTGATAATTCAAAATACTGCTAATCCTCCACAACTTAAAACATACTTTAAAACGACTACATTGAATATTTGCCGTGCTAGCCGCCAAGCGGAAATGCCTTGTTCACATTTTAAAAATGGAGATATCACAATGTGAAAATGAGGTAAAGGTGAGTTCATTAGTGCTTTGTTCAATGCATAAGCAAAACATGTTCCCGTATTTCATTTTTTAGTGAGTAAAGATCGAGGAGTATAGAAAAGGAATGAATGCAGGGTAACCAGTGTCTTTTAGTCCAAAAATAAATGTCCTGAATGAAATTCCAAGTCCAATGGGCCATGGTGCATCATTTGGAAACATCAATGTTACTGAGCCTGGCAGGAAAAAAAAAAAAAAACACAACACAATTATTCTATCAATAGTGGTGTTAGTTATGACAGTGGTTGTGATAATTAGAGACATTTCAGGGACGTTATACCTGCCCTGGCTGTGAGGAGGGTGCCTGACCAGGCGCTTGTCCTGTTTGTCCATAATATGCTGCCTGTTGCCTGTAGTATTCAGCCCATGCTGCGCTGTAGTCTTGCTGTCCACCAGGTGGCGCTGCTCCTCCAGCTCCACCAGGTGACCCTTGTGGTGCCCCTCCAGCTGGTTGACCTAGTAAAGAAATTAAATTACTCATAGTGCAAACAATGAAGTGTCACGCACTGTACTGTACATCTATAGGCCATTACAAAAAACATTATATGGGGGACAAACTTACTCATGCCCATTTTCTTATAGTATTCCTCCCATGCCTTGGTGTAGTCTGGCTGCCCCCCTGCACTCTGAGCTGGTTGGGGCCCATCTCCTGGTGCTCCAGGGGACGGTCCCGTTTGACCAGGCCCAGCGCCCCCTGGCTGCTGGCCATAATACTGTGAATAGTACGCTGCCCATGCTGCAGTTTGATCTGTGGGGGCTTTACCTTGGGAACATTAAACATTTTAGTACATCATTTTAGCACCAGGAAGTCCAAGCGCATCTAATTAGTAGCACTTACTGGGGTCATGAGGAGCCTGTCCTTGCCACTGTTGGTAAGTATTTCCCCAACCTTGAGGACAAAACTGACCTCCGGGTTGGGGTCCACTGTGGAAAAGTCCACACAAGTTGAAAGTGTAATCTCATTGTACAGTAAATACATGACAATAGGCTACTTACTGGGGAGCTCCACCAGGAGGACCTGCATTGTAAGGGTTTGGATTATAAGGACCCATCGCCCCCCCAGGACCAGGACCAGGACCACCAACAGGACACAGTGGACCCTGGGTACAAAATAAAGATTTATAGAAAGCATGTGGCAACATTAAAACTGTATGTGGTGTACCTCAATCTTATCTTCTATAAGTTGTTTTGCATGGTCGATCTGCTCCGGGGAGCCTCGGATTGTGAACAATTTAAAATTTGGATCACCATTTGGAGGGGGCTGACGAGACATTTCCACAAATGCACCAGTTTGCTGATTAATTGACTTCACCGTCTCCCCACCTCTTCCAATTACAAGGCCGCATTTGTGAGCAGGAATAGTGAAGGTCGCCCCACCTCCCTGAGGACCCCAGTTTCCCTGACCTCTGCCCCGTCCACCAGGCGGCATCCCAGGAGGGCCCTGAAGAGGACACAAAGTTGAAATAGGACAGGATACAATATGATAAACTTTTCAGAGAGATATTTTCTATGAATTTATTTCTATCGGCTCAATATTGAGCAAGATAATTTCATGACTTTAAAGAAAGTAATATGAATATGTATTATTCTATTGTCAAATTATGTTAATGATGGATTTTGGAATAAACAGATAAATGAAATGAAATGAATGAATCCAGATAATGTTTAACACTAGACAGTGAGGAATAAAACTGTATGTAAACTTCCACTACTGTATATACTTTACATAAACACTTACCCCATGCCCACCCTCGTCTCGGGCGCGGATACTTTGTATCAGATCAGTTATTATTGAGGCGGCGTGTTGACACTGGTCAGGGGGTCCCATTATGTGCGCTATTTTGTCCGGGCCTGAACCATCATCTGTGAGAATATTGTATTTTATTACAATTCTAAATGTACAATGCAGTGTATTCATATTGTGGTCAACAACAATCACCTGGTTTGAACTGAATCTTTACTCCTGCATCACTCTGAATCTTTTTGATCATCTCTCCACTCCTGCCAATAACAACTCCAACCGAGTGACGAGGAACAGCCATCTATTCAATTAAAACATTAGCATTGAAAATAATTGTGTGTGATGTAAAAGTAAAATATTATGCAAACTTACTTCCATTCCTCCACCTCCACCACCACCTCCTCCTCCTCCTCCTCCTCCTCCTCCCATTCGTGATCCAAATTCATTTCTGTCAGCAAACCCCTCTCGCAGAATGTCATTAACCATCTCTTTTGCTTGCTACAAAATACCACGATAGTTAATATAAGTTGAATGTTTGAAAGTATGAAACCATATTATGGTTCCCATTACCTGAACTTTGTAGCTATCGCCAATGATGCGCAAAACTTTATCAACATTAGGAGACTGCGAACTATCCTGAACGACATACATCTTAACTCCAGCTCGAGCCTGAAACACAAGAACTTTGCATTTAACATATTAACTATACATTTAACCCACAGCATTTTTGTACCTGCAGCTGTTTGATGGTTTCTCCTCCTTTGCCAATGATAATGCCCCCCTTTCCAGCAGGGATCATCATTTCAAGCACATTGCTATTACCGTTGTCATTGCTCTTAGACACAATTTGGTCAATGAGGGCTCTGGCTCGTCTGAAAGTTGAAACAAAACTCATAATGAAGGCATGAACAAATACATTGTTATTATGTATTATTGCAATAAAAGACTAATATAACAATGACAAAAATACAGTCTTACTGTATAGACTCAGGTGATCCAGTCAAAGAAACATTTCTTTCAGGAAGTCCAGCACTATCTGTAAAAAAATAAAATAAAAAATGTACCAAAAAGGGCGAAATAAAGTACAAAGAAAACACTTACCATGTGCAATCTGAACTTTGCAGCCAGACTCCATTTGAATTTTGTTAATTTGTTCTCCTCCTCGTCCAATGACTGAAAAAACAGAACAAGTAGTAGGTGAAGTAAGCTATATTAAAACTTAATTTAAAAAGGGTGTAGTTTAATTTTATATAGGTTTTAAAATCTAAAATACAGGTTGGTGTAGAACTATACTTTGTGAAATGCGAGAATTACTGAATTATAAGAACAAGCACAGAGCAGATACTTACTAAGACCAACCATAGAATCTGGCACCTTTAGATCTTCAGTCATAGTTGAAGGTCTAAGACTGAAAATAACAAAACAAATTAAAACCATAAGCACCATAAGCACATTAGTCAGGCTGCAAGGTTAATAGCAATAGAATTTGAAATCTCAGTTTATGTTAAAATTTATATTAACCCATGTTGCAGTCTTTACCAAAATGTAAATTGATTTTAAGAGTTTGGCATATGAATGAGACGGTATTTGAAAACAAACGAGAAAAGATACCTTTGTTGAGAAAGAGCAGCCAGCTGTGCACCAATAGCTGGAAATAGACATATGCGGAATAAGTCACATTCTAGTTGTTTATCTTATACAGATCATCATGAAAAGGAAGGAAAAAAAGCATACACATTGCATCTCTGTCTCCTTGAGATGCAATCTTCTTGGCGCTTGGTTCATCTGGAGGTAAAAAAATAAATGAAAATACAGCAGTATTAGCTTCCAACTTTCTATAATTAAGACAAGCATGTGTAGATGGACGTTGTCTAACCTCCATCCTCCAGTGACCGCTTCTGTGTAAAGGGATAGCCCTCCGCACCGCCATTGTTACTCACTGGAGCTTCCCCACCAATTTTAGCTGCAATCTAGAAAGAGTCCGTTATTATTTAAAACTGTGGCAACAGTTAAGAATACAATAAAGCTTTAATCCACCCTGATAACAAACATGAAATAAATACAATAATTTATCTGAAATATGGTAAAGATAATACAGTACGTTATATTTTATATATAACGTACTGATATATTATCAGTGTGAACAGAGCACTTTAATGATTTGCACTTGTTTTGAAACTGTTTTAGTCGATCGATTTCACAGTGACATTTGTTTACTGTTTTATTTGTTTTATTTTTGTCTTTTAATGTTGTTTTATGTCTGTATTTGTCTGTGCACACTGGTGACTTTTGCTAATGTTTTCCAATGTGGTTTTTTTACTGCAAATGGCAAATAAACTGAATCTGAATCTGTATTTTTTGTCTAGGTGTAAGTGTTTTTTTTTTTATTTAACTTTATATTGACCAAGATAACCTCATTGAGATTAATAATCTCTCCATCAAGAGAGTACTGGTATGATCTTAAATATTTCATGTTATGGTTTTGTCTGGAATGTTCGAAAACTTAAGCAATATCAATGGGATCAAAGCAGTAAGGAAGTAGATCGAAGATAGCGACGTGCATATCACTATACTATATAGGATATTTAAGATGATTAACCCTTGCAGGTTAGATTCTCAATCATAGTCTTTTTTAGCGTGACAACACAGCCTTTCAGAGTCTGACGAATGCACGGATTTATTGTATGTGAACATGGTTTAAAACACGGAGTCAATTTGCAAGCTTGGGTTGATTATTTTCATAATCACTCAGCACACTTGACGTAAATAACAACAACAAACAACTTGAGGTCTTTGTGTACATCTTGCGCTAGCTGGGCTAACGCAATACGAATGAATGGTTAGCTAGCTCCGCACAACATAGCTGTTGTGTTACGCTACATTTATTAGGCTAAACATGCCTAAATTACACACAAATCCGTACACATCCACGACAGAGAGAGATTATTTATCAGATTATTGTAGGAAAACAGATACAAGCATTATGATATACACCATATGAATAATCTCAAATAGCGGTGGAGTGCTAACATGCTAGCCTCACACTCCATTCATCTACCGTTTACGCTAGCTCTGTGGTACCTGTCTCGCTCGTTGTAAGGCATCTGCAAACGCATCCTTTTGCATCGCTGCACCAACTCCGTTTGTTGGCAAAGCCCCGAAGTCAGTCATGGTCTTCACAAAACCCACACAGGGGATATAAAGTGGACCGGGCGTGTGGGAATGCGATGCAGCTGAGGAGCGGGAAAGCTAGGGCACGGGGGCAGACTGTGATGCCAGCACCACGCCGGCAAAACTTCACTGCTTAAAATAACCAATCAATGCAGCTCTGATCCTCTCCCACGAAAACTCTTCTTCTTGTTTACATTCTGGCGAAACACCTGTTTAAATGCACCGCCACCTGTCGGGTGGAGCAAACTGCACACTATTTACCTAAAAATGTACAAAATAATATAATTCGTTGGATTGTGTTCTCCAAAACTATCAAATAAAACTGCACTTTAACTTAGATACCACACACAACTTACAACCCATGTAACTATCGTTCCTACCTCTCACAATTTGGTTCTAACATCAGTTTTCACATGCAAATAATCGTTTGCTTGTGTCATCTAAATATTTAGATAATCTTTTTTTAGTGAAAATAAGAGGACCACTTTCCTCGGCTCCATGGGTATCAGCTCTCAGTATGTAGAAGATTACATATTTTATAATAACACCATGTTGTGGTCTGATTTGTTCACAAAATAAAAAGACTTTCTGTTGGTACAAACAAAATGTGGGTCAGGCGTGGTTCATTAAAATCAAGCATATTTATTTGCAATTCTTTCAAGTACAAAGTATGATATACAAGTCGACTTAAAAAGGAGCCTGCAATAAGGTAATACATACTGAAATTGCATTATATATTGTTATCCCCAGTATTGATACGTTTACCATCAATGATGTTCTTCCTGTTTCGTCCATAAGATCTAGAAATGCCTATATACCACCTGGAAGAACAAAAATATAATTATAAAAAATTTAATATCTGGGAGCGTTCATTCAACGAGAAGTTTTGTGAATTTGATTTGGTTTTCTTGTTAGGGTGTACGTGATCCTTTTGAAGTCCATGCATCACAGGCATGGAGCAGGCCATCAAGAACACAATGCAAATCAAGCATTAGTACTTTTGATCATCTATTAAAAAAAAATGCTCAAAACATGTGGGTATTCAAAAACGTGTTAAAGCATAAAGCCATTCATGGAAAAAAATATCTATTTGGACTGCTCATGCTTTATTTTTTTCTCCTCGCCTACCCTCAATCTCTACTCCCAAAAATATCCTAGTGTATTCGTAGACGACATATGAAACTGTGACTGCCGGGATGACTTTCAGTAGGTTAGGTGAAATTCCTCTGTATAATCCAGTTACCCCCTCCTTTGAGACTATGTTTTGCAGTAAGGCCAACATGGACACTTTTGGAGATCCCTTCACTGAAGCTATGGAGAAAATAAGAAAAAAAAGGTAAAATTATTCACAAGACAAAACAATGTCCTGCAGTGGTCAAAATGTGTTTCAACAGTTCAATGTATAACTCAGAAATGTATGGAACAATCTTTCTTACTCCATAGATTTTGTTAGGGTTAGAAAATATGCTATCCTGTGCATACTTGAGGAACCCTGTGAGTCACTATATGACTCTTTGGGTCAAGAACCAATTGCCTGAGAGTTCCTTTTCACTTTTCTGTCTAAAAAAGCTTGTTTTTAAGATATGACAGAGGCCAACATGCATGTGATAACTAGAAAAAGTGTTTTGAGAAAGGAATCTATAGTTCCATTGTTTGTAATTTGAAAATTAAAATTATGTCAAATGAACCCATTACACCTTATTTGAGTAAAAATCAGTTCCACTGAAGGCAAACATTGACTTCAATAGAAGTCTCAAGAATCAAGTATCAGATTTTCTTACTTTGTGCCTGCATGCGTGTGCGAATCAGAGCCAGGGGGTAGCTTGCCAATTGTCCACAAGTGCTGGAGACTGCACCACATCCCACAAGAACCATCACTCCAGGGTCCACCACACTACTGTTTCGATTGAGCCATGCAAACTTCAGTGTCTGAGGAGTATCAAAAAATTATTGTTAGCAACTAATCCAAGAGATGCATGAGCAAGCCTTTACTGACCTCATATACAGCTAGGTCAATTCCAGCATACGGAACTATTGCCAGTAAGTTTGGCACATAACCCTTGTAGAATGCAGAGACACCTTCTTTCTGCAGGATCTTTTTGGCACAATCGGCCATTCCTGAGTATTGCCCAGTTTTGCGAAGTGTCAGTCGAGTTTTTAGAACCTGATAAAGTGATTGAGATCAGGATGACTGATTGGGCAATGATCTTTGAAATGAATGACATAGTATGACTTGTGTGAATTACCCTGTTATTACCTCCATTGGATAGATGGCAGTCTGTGCTGTAGCTCCGGCCAAAGATCCTGCGAGAAAGCGTTCATAAATCCTCAGGGGTCTTGTCTGATTATGGCCATGTATAACTGACTTGATCTGAGAAGTATCAAGAGCAAGAAAATACAGCATTTGAATCGCAAAATATTGAGCTAGAATTTAAATGTGTAGATAAGTAAGTAAGTCAGTAATCTTTATTTACTGTACTGTATATATCGCTTTTCACAGACCAGAGTCAAAAAGCGGTTTACAGTTGTGGGCATTTGTCTCTCACTCCACACAGAGATGGAGGCAAGGTCGCCAGTACAGGAGGCGCATGCCAGACCTATTGTACATGTTTTTAGTGGTAGGGGAAACTGGAGCACCCGGAGAAAACCTACACAGACATGGGGAGAACATGCAAACTCCACTCAGAAAGGCCTTGTTCCGACCGGGATTCAAACCCAGGACCTTCTTGCTGAGAGGCAAGAGTACTATCCAGTCCGTGTCACCCACATTCACATACAAAGATTTTAAAAATACACTTACATGTTCATAAGCTGTGAATTTGATGGCTGTTTCAGGAGCAATTTTGAGAACGTTCATGCCATTGCCTCTCCACAGAGACAAAACTCCTCCCTCTTTCAGCATATACCGTAAACCACTCAGTACATTTCCAGAGAAAAACGAAAAGCTATGCACCTAGGGAATACTTGATATTATGATTTAATATGAGTAGCTTTAAGTGACTAAAATATGATTGAATGAATGTTACTTGTCGAAAGACTTTGAGTCGATCTAAGGGAGCAGTTGCTGTCCGGGCGACACAGCCAGCCACTGCTCCTGACATAAGCTGGCGCCAAACATAACCAGACTTCTTCTCTTCCTCTGTGAATTCATCTGGTACAGTCATCTGCTCACCTATGTCCAGCATCTATAAGCCATGGAAACAACATTAAAAAAATGACATGGAATATAAAAAGAATATAATATGTAAGAAATAGTATGCTGCACGTCTTGATTATGCATTCATCAAACTGAATTTCTCCATTGTGAGATCCATAAAGTTTATCTTATCTTATCTTACTTTAATTAATCAAACTTGATTATTGCTCTTACCACTGAGCGTTTCCAGCATCGAGCTACATCCTCCATGTTGGACACTGAGTTAAAGAGGAAGTAGTCACGCCATTCATTCCAGTCTATTGTCATTGTGCCATCCTTATCCATACTATAAGAGAAAGGAAACATACTTTGAACAATACATAATTCAAGTATTACATGCTTCAGTAATGCCAAACGATACCTTGTTAAAATCCTGTTTGCGTCCCTGAGACTGACGGTCACACCAATGGTCTGGAGAGAGTGTTGTATCTCTGCGGCATCGATGTGACCTACACACACACACACAGTTAAAGGGGGAAATCATAACATATTATATTAAACGGTCTTATTACTGATCCAATTATGTGTTTTAACCATCATTGTTTTGATCCAAGCTCCGAAACATGAGTTTGAGCTGTTTCTCATGGTCACGCAGGTACTGCATGAACTCCTCAAAGTCCAGGACACCATCCTGGTTTGTGTCGCCAGCCGCTACAATCTGAAAACACAATGAGTAGAAGTGAATAAAGAGACCATGCCATCTTGCACTGTACATAATTAATATTAAAAACAAAAATTTAAACTAATGTGCAGCTTTTTTATAATGACAGATTGCCATGTGTCATGTGTTCACATTGTCAGAAAATAATTGTGGCAATTTGCATTTTAACACACCTATGTACCAGCTGAATTTCAGTAAAAATGTGATCATCAATAATATAAAATAACTTGTATATCGCTTTAAAAGAGAAAAGCTGTGGGAAAGGTTACTGTTCTCGTCTTACGAAGTCTTGCTTCAGGTACTAAAATAGACAGCTGGCATTTACATGCACACACGCATCCTGTCACATGCTAAGGTGACATAAGAACCAATGAAGTTTTTGTATTTATGTCAACATATAAAGTGTTCACATAACATGCAATGTGTGGGCAGAAAACAGAAACGCCTGCCATGTAATATGTCTGTAAATTAGGTTAATGTTATTATGTCATACTTTCTCCAATGAGCCTCTGGAAAGCCCTCGAGCTGCAAGTCCAGCCCGCAGTTCACTTATGTCAATGTGGCCGTCTTTGTTGACGTCAAATTGGTCGAAGAGCTCGACCCAGCGCTTCTCTCTCTCCTTGTCTGAATTCTGCTGGCAGTGGGCCCCCAGGACCGAGGGGCAGAAGAGTCCCATCACTAGACAGAAAATCAAATGTGAATGTTTTCTAAAGACACTTTATTAATCACTGTGACGTCACAAACAAAGTCCAACAGATAGCTTTAGTATATTTATCTAGAAGGACTTATTAGATAATGTAACAACCTGAATGAATGAAATTATATTCTTTCCCCTAAATCACAGCACAATGTCATTAACCCTATATGCATGCACTGTATGAAGGAATCTATATCATAGCTGAGTTACAAATGATTGACTGAAGGAAAGTTTTATATCTTTTTCCATAATATTAGCATGCAACAATAGCCTGCTGGCTAATATCGATACATTCCTGGCATTTCATTGGAGTTGTCATCAATATATACTGACCGAAAAATGCTGACAACACAAATGCTAAGGGGTCACAGTAGGTTAGAGAGCAGTGTTCTAGTTGAAACAGGCCATAAACCATAATTTTAGACCATCTATGAGTCAAACACATTCACATAGATCACCATGTTGGTTCCCATGGTTACACATCTGTCAGTTTGGCGGCGCGTGGCTTTCGATCCACGGGTTTTATTTCGAGTTCTACGTGGTTGGTTATTGCGCAACACATTCACGAAAATGTCTAAATGAGCTCAGACTGATTTAGACATACGTATATCCTTGTGACTGTATGTCGCAGAGTGCAGTAGCATAACACGTCCACTCACTCTTATCTCCCGCAGCGGTATGTACACATCACACGAGCCATAGTGCCCGACAGCCTTGACGCCGGTTTAGAGCACAGATTCTGGGCTTTGAGATCTCCGAGTCACCGCCATAATCCACCTCCTCTCAAGTCACGACACGTCCTCTTCCCCACTCGTCCTTTCCGACCTCCGGCTGAAGAAGAAGCAGGAAGCGCAGAGCCCGCAGACATTCACCAGAGACGCTCCGTGCTCTGGGCTCAGTACATGACGAAATGACACCATGTTTGTTCAGAAACAGCCTGCCAGCAATCCCACGGATGCTACGCAGGATGAATATACAAATATCGCCTTTAATAATAATTGCAATACTGCATTAAGAACAGGTGGCAAAATTAGTCAACTATTTTGAATTATATAAGTATCTACTCTAAAAAAAAAAAACATGTAGCTATATGTTAAATGTCACCGTTGTAAACAGAAAAACAAAAAAGTAGCATGACCTCAAGACTATTTTAATGAACTTAGCGTTATTATTATAGATCCATGGAACTTAGAAGCAACGCTAACCACTTCTAACTATTTGGGTGATTTTTTTATTTACTTCTTATTCATATTTTTCGTCTGTTTTTTGTTTTATTTGATTTTTCTTTTTTATTACTGTAACTTATGCTCCTTTTCTGCAAATTATTTGTGATTTGGTCATTGTTTGTTAATTATTAAAAAGTTAATAAACAGTTTTGGAGAAAACTGGTGTTTTTTTCTCTTGCAGCTTTGTCGTTTGCTTGTATTTTTTAAAATACATGAGTAGACGGTATTCTATGTCTTTATGGGGTAAAAGTACTAACTATACTTATTAATTCAAATTAATTAAAAAAGATAAGATAAGAATTCCTTTATTTGTCCCACAGTGGGGAAATTTCGGTGTTGCATCGCACATATAGGACAGTAGAGCACACAGGGATCACACACAATATATACAAATAAGTAGTAGCTATGTTTCTTAACCAACATAACTAGCTGTAGATGCTGAAAATGCTTCAATACCAGTCAAAATATATATATGTAGTAGTGCAGTTATATACTGTACAGTTAAATAGTGCAGGATAAAAAGTATATAAGTAAAGTGACATGAGGTAAAGTGACATTGTTCTGTGACATTCTGAAGTTGCAGTATTGCACATTGCACATGATTTAAGAATTTACTTAATTACAGATGAATGAAATTTACAGGCTCAGCAGTTCTTATTGTACAGTCTGACAGCAGCAGGAAGGAAAGACCTCCGGAACCTCTCCTTCACACAGCGAGGGTGAATTAGTCCGTCACTGAAACTGCTCTCCAGAGCAGAGAGAGTGTCCTGCAGGGGGTGACAGTCATGGTCCAGCATAGATGTTAGTTTGCTCAGGACCCTGCTGTCCCCCACCAGCTGCACTGTGTCCAGGGAACAGCACAGGTAGTAGGTAATAGGTAGTACTTCAGAGCTAAATTCACATGGGAAAGTATAAGATAGTTAGTGCTTAATGAATGTCAATTATGATCTACTTAACCTATTACTATGCTCTAATTAACAGTTAATTAGTGAGAGCTAAACTAAATTATAACCAAAAGCCTTTTATAGTAGTGTACTTGCCATGTGTGATTATGAAGACCAATGAAAGGTCTTTTCATGCGATCAGTGAGATTATGACAAAGACAAAATAAATGATAAATATCCGTTATGCTTTTAGGTACAACCCTTGCAACAAAAAAAATGGGCTTGTTGACTCACAGGGCACAGATAATTCATGTTTAAAGGTCTTTTGTTTGTGGTTTTCACATGGATAAAAGATGTCTTGAGTGCACCTGCATCTCTCTCATCAGGTCATGTGGATGCACTCAACATTGTATGGACAGAGCTTTCAGAAAAACCAACCGCCCCTGACTGATCACGGTTTATGCTTGTCATGTTTTAAAGCCCTTAAATCAATGTTATGATTATTGTCCTTTGGATGTTGTTGACAAGCATGGGACACATTCACCGCCTCACCCCTGCCACTAAAATCTAATAGAAGGAGCCCATATAAAGGCAAGCTCTGCAGGACTCTAAAGCAGACACTTACTCGGCTCAACTGTGACTGAGATCAACCATTCTTTCTCAACAACACTTTTGAAACCTTTGAAAACCACAATGTGTAAGGGACTTTCCTACCTCCCATCCTCATGCCTGGAGAAGTAAGTTACCTCTGACCACTTGTTGTTCTATGACATATATTATTGACATGTCATATGACAAACATGTATGACATATATATTCTTTATATTTTTTGTTTCAGGGCTAAATTTATGCGGGTGAAGTTAAACCATTTGTCGGACAAAAATAAGTAATTGCCTATTCTTATGCAAGACGATGTTAATTCCATGTACATCAACTCACTTTTCTGCACATTAACCAAATGTTTTTCTTTAGAAGTTTGGATGGGAAGGCTCCACAGCATTTAGATGCTCTGCTAAACAACAAAAGTGAGACATGATTAATAATATATTATGTCATAAATAGTAATTTATTCAAATAACACTTACACATAACAATAATTGTTTTAGGGTATTGTTTCCCTGTCCTGTTTATGATAATTGTGTAGTGAATAATTGTTACATTGTTGCCATGTTTTCAGACACCCTTCATGCTTTCCGCTGCTTCCTGAAGTCAGAGTTCAGTGAGGAGAACCTGGACTTCTGGTTGGCTTGTGAGGAATACAGGGTTTCTCCCTCAAACGTACTGAAGTCCAAGGCCTCTGTGATCTACAGCAAGTTTGTCAATCCCAGTGCTCCACAGGAGGTCAGTAAATAAAAAATTTATAAGTAGATTTCCAAAAATGACCTCCACCCTCAAAACACATCTATTCAGACTGTGACCGACAGTCCCTTTTTAGCTGTACACCCCTGAAATACTTTTATTTTGTAACTTTTGAAAGGCAACCTCAAGTGGCCAGAAAAGACACCATATAAATAAAATGTAGTGTTATCATTATTAGTGAGCTAAACTTAAAGGTTTCATCTACATATTTTCTTCAAAATACAGTACAAATGTATTTTCCCAAAACAACATAAAAAAGATAAAAATACAACTAGTGCTTTTTTTTCTATTACTGAATAGAATCGTTATTCTAAGAAATAAAACAAATTGAAAGTGCCCTGTATCGTATCGTGGCTCATGTACAGAGGTACACATAGTCAAACTCAAAAAGACACCCTGGCCTAGACATAATGACAGCTTTACATTTTGTCAATGTAATGTCAAAAAATTACACCAAATCAGAATTCTATCATGGGAAGATATTGAATTAGTTTGACACTAGGAACTGGGATTAGAAAGGATAAAAGACAGTTCAAAAAAAGATTCCATGTAGTTGTGCTGTCCACTTCTGTGAATTCAATATTGGGCTGGCTAATTTTGATCTACCGTGTCTACTCTAGGTGAATTTGGATGCTGAGACCAGGGAGGCACTCTTAAATGTGATGGACTCTCCCTGCTCTGACACATTCGATACAGCACAGCAGAGGATCTTCAGTCTAATGGCCAAGGACTCCTTTCCTCGCTTCCTGCGCTTAACCAACAGCATCGAGACCAATCGGGCGTATTAGTCACATAGAACTACTGTGATAAGAAAACGCCATTGCTTGTATTTCCTTTATAAATGTAACTGAAGTTCTACTCAACATTGGTAACGATTTTAAGGGTTATAATTTCCGAAAAAATATGACACATGCTTTGAATATTCATTTCAGGAGAAATGTGATTAAAAAAAAATAGTATACAATGTGTAGACTGTTAAATGACAACCCTGAATAAATCATCTTGACTGGATTTATGCACTTTTATTTTGGAATAGGATAGCAAAAACCATTTAACAAAATGTTTTACCTTTGAAACTAATACAATTATGATGTATCATAGAACAGGTGGCCAAAAAATACCATGGATACAGGTATCAATGCAAGACATCACTATTGAGACATCATCACAGATGGAGTTATTAAGTAAACTTTATGATGGTCCATTTAATTCTGTTCTTCCTTTAAAAGCCATAGTCCAGTTTACATGAGCAGGTCCTACTTCGAGCTTGTTCCTGGTTGCATTGATCCTTTTGAGTCTTTAGTTTGAGGCATTTTGATCACTGCTAGAGGTTTATGCAAAGAAGAGCTGGCCCTCTGCGTCACCTCCTGCTCGATCCTTTTCCGAATGGCCACTTCTAAACCCTAAAAGGCAACAAGAAAGCAATGGGGAATGTGATGTAACATGTAACTCATGACAAGAGACAAAGAATGATCCCCTCAACTAACTTGTTTGATGAGCTTAGTTTGAAAGTTATACACGCTCTCTGCCAAAACAATTTCCAAGTGGTAACTTGTTTGTTACTAACGTGGCAATAAAAATGATTCTGATTCTGATATTAAAATCATTATAAAATGTAATCGAAGCAAATAGCAGTTTTTTAAAAAACAATTCTTAAAAAAGAATTAGAACAGTTTAGAGCTTTTTTGCATAGTCAGGCTAACTTAATTTCATCATCATACCTTTTTTAGTTTGTGTTGTTGGACCACTTGAGCCTTCTTGGGAGCGATTATTCTTCCTGAAAGCACAATTGTTAGTAGTTATTTTACAAAACAAAAAGGTATAAGGGGATTGTTTTAACTGTCAAAGAATGCTCCAAAGTGAATGTATGTACCACATGGAGTACAGCAGGCAAAGTTACAAGTCTAATCCGTGGAGAGCACGTCCTTTTGAGCAATAAATACAAACTGCCAGGCTATATTTCATCATAGCCTGCAGGAGAGGAACGTAGCAGTTATACAAATATATATACTCAATACTAACATTACAGTCTCTTCACAAAATAACTTACTAATTACTAAACTAATTAGAGATAGAGATTGTTGACGCCCTCAATCACAAAACTTGCGTATATTGCAGCTTTAAAAATGTGCCACACAACACAGGCATGATCCCATTACGTGTGGTTAACAGTGCGCGAGGGTTAAATTCACTGTAAGAGAACAGACAGACAGAAAAGCAGATCTGCCTAGAGTACCTCCTTTCTTTGGTCCTTTCTGCTTGTTCTGCTGGTGCTTCTTTGAGGCTCCAGGCCGCTGGGCTTTAAACTTCTGTGAACCTTGGGCCATTTTCCTTATGTTTACATGTGCGTTTACCAATACCGGAAGTAATTGTTCTGTCCTGTTTTCTGAACCACAGCGCCATCTATCGGCTGTGAATGCAATACAGGAGGCAATACATAATTCGGGCGTTCTGCTCTCCCAAAATTTCATCCACTGAGCGGCGCTGTGATCAAAAAATGACACCGTTTGTTGCCCAGTTCACTTCCGGTTGATTTCATACAATGGCGAATATGGCTCACGAAAACAACAAACGATTGACAGTGCCTGAATTGCGTGAAAGGTTGAAGCGAAAGGGTATTTGCAGTGTGGGAAAACGAAAGGAGGAATTGTTGTTGCTAGTTCAACGAGCGGATGGTGTTTATGAAGATTTAGAAGAAGATGACAGCGAGCAGAGTGAACGAAAACGGCTGTGTGTGCGAGTGACAGATGGTAACAATGAGAATGAAGTTCAGCTAAGAGGGAAGAATGTGAATTGGACGGATGATTTGCGCAATATGCCACTAGTTAGAGACGGGAATGTATTTGCATACAGAAAATGACGAAAACACTCAACCATTTAGAGAAAATGCGCCGGGCAGAGAGAACCGGAAGTTGCGAAGGCAAGTGTTACCCATAATGCAACGCAAAATTCAGTCGCTCCCCCGCCCATCGGATGGAATTTTGGGAGAGCAGAACGCCCGAATTAAATGTGGTTTATTTTTTTATTTTAAGTGAAAGAGAAAACTTGTAATTAATGAGTACACTTAACAGTATATATCACTTTACACATGTTATAAAATCCAGTTTGAACTTTTTCACTGGTTACAAAATAAACCAAGTCAATTTTAATAACAATATTGTACCGTAAGAGGCCATCTGAACAACACTCCTTTGCACAGCTTTGGCAGGCGACGCAGTAAAGTGAATAGCAGCAATATAATTTGGCACCAGATTAAAATATATTGACAGCATTCTGTTCTGCACAATAACATGGATTTTCAACATGAGAATTAGCATTATTCTATACAGCAATCATTTCAGGGAAAAAAGTTGGGGAAATCAAGACAATATAAATATATATTTTTTACTAGTCAGCGCTGCCACAACCAGTGCTCGTTTTTATGCCCTGTCACAGAGGTAGTATGGTTGAGGAGGCCTCCCCAGTGTGGTGTGTTCATGAGTTATAGAGAATGAAAGTTTATGAAAGACCACAGCTAAACAAATATAATGAATGATTCAATCTGAAACCCCTCATTACAAAAAACAGAAATAAAGATAACAAGAATGACAGCCACAGTTGCTACATATGTCTGGAATAATGTGATTTTGTTTTCAATTGATGTCTTATAGATACAAAATTAAAATAAATACACAAGTGTCTTTTAATCACAAGTAAGATCTAAAAGCACCATCAGGGGAAAAGGATTAATAAGTAAAATGTGGACATAGGACATATCGTGCAAGGATGATGTAGATAGATAGTGGGCCGTTTAAAAATAATTATATAAAGACATTTATCAGGTTCTCTCTGTAGTGATAAAACCTAACTATGCACAAGTAATGCTTACAGGAAAAACGTATTAATCAGATTCAAATGTGGAAAAACAAGGTACATTTTATTTTAACAGCAAGAGGATGTGTATTTGAGTCTCTACTTTGTTTTGGAATTTGAAAAAATGTGACATTCTGTGTGAAAGATGAAGGCAAAAAGTTGGAGCCTTTCTGAGGTACCAGCTGTTTTACATTCGAAGACTGAATAACGAAACATGTCATTGTGTGCAATTTGTGCCAGTCTAAATCCAGGACAAACAAAGGTAGGTGTAGGTTCAGAAACGGAGCAGAATATCATCAGGCCATTGTACAATTGTGCTGCTCACAAGGTGGAATAATGAAGTGAGGTTAGAAAGCGAATCCATTCATACAGTTTGTCAAATATTATACAAATGCAGTATGTAGTAGTACATAGTAGTATATGTTTTTAGATATTTAGTGATCTCTGACTGAGAAATATAGAATGTAAAACTTGAGCGGTGCTACATACTGTAATTGTTAGCGTAAGCAAATGCTCGTGTGTCTTTCTGTGTTACCTTGCATTTTATATTCATGTAAACTTTAGGCATGTTTTAAAAGTACTCTTCTGTTATTATATAGTACGCCATAATATCAGATGCACAGTTGCATGGTGTGATGATTACATATAGTGTGAATGTAGCTCATATGCAGATTATATAAATAGAGAATATGTAATGCACAGTTGTGACACATGGGAGTGAGGTATACACAAATAGGTTAGTCAAAAGGCTTCAGCTGACTGTGACAATGTTTATAAGTACAGTGCACTCATTAGAAGGGAAAACCAATTGTTTCGGAGTATATGAACTATACATTTGGGCATCTACAAAAGATTCTACAAGAAAAAAAAGTTGAATGTTAATATAACATATCGGATATCAAATTCAGATAACCACACATTTGGTTAATTTAGCAATGTCTTCTACTAGCAGGATTTAGTTTCTCTACATATGTACACTACCAAACAACTCATGAGTATTTACAGGTGGGTAGCAGCTTTCATTGGGAAACTAGTGATCAAAAGCACTACTTTAAAATTGGAGAAGTTATACCGTTTTTAGCATTCTTCTGTTGGTATGCGCCCTGAACATTTTCCAGAAATGTCTCTTGATACTTTATCTGAAGTTGTTTGGAGGTTTTAGAAGCCATTTTACAAAAGAATAACAGATGTTTGTAATGTAAATGAGTTAAGAAACAGACATATTGGTCATGCTTGTAAGGTTGGCACACACTACAGGATTCTTCTGTTCAGTTGCCCTGGCCATAATAGTCAATTATGATAGACTAGCAACACAAATGCAGACAAATTACTCACAAGGATTTAAAATAACCTGACAAGTATTCTCTAGTGTGTTCCAGGCCTTAGAGATGTATGCTTATGTGCAGAGTGTTTGATTGTGCAACAACAACATTTACTAAAATAATCGCATAACAGTGTTTGTGGTATAAAATGAGTGTCTCTGACATGTTGAGGTGCTGCTGTGCACGAGGGCCAGTGCGGGGGTCTAGAGGGCAGTGAGGCGTCCTGTGAGCGCTGCCTGAAGCTCTGATGGTAGAAACACGCCCAGCTCTGTGATGATGCCTCCCGTGATGAGCTGATGCGGAGTCACATCAAAGGCTGGGTTCCATACTTCAATACCTGCAAAGAAAAATGTACAATTTAATGGACAAGTTTTATTATACCCAGGAGGAAACCTATCCAGACACGGAGAGGAAACACTGAGCAGACGATTTGGAAGATGAGATTCCACCCAATTCCACTTAATTTGGCCACATATAATGTTTTGTAATGTTTTGTTAGTTTTGATTTTCAACCTTCACAAATAGTGACAGGTCATTGGATCTACTCTTGAGAATTAACATGAACGGATTCCAAATACAAATAACACACTCATACAATCTTCTGTACTTGCACTGTAAAAACACATGTGAAGAGTTAAAATCCTGAAATTATTTACGCAGCATCTGTGTGGCACCAGTGCTGGCTGCTTGAGTTGCCATAGCTGTAAGTACAATTACCTGTGGCAGCAATGGCAACGCCGTTTATACTGGTGAGTTCCTCTGGGGGGCGTACTTCGATGATAATGTCCCTGCCACTCTCCAGGCTCAGGTCACATGACGTGCTGGGTGCTGCCACATAGAAGGGGATGCCATGGTGCTTGGCTGCAATGGCCAGCTGATACGTGCCCACTTTGTTTGCTGTATCCCCATTGGCCACAACTCTGTCTGCTCCCACCACCACAGCTGTAGATGCATTCAAAGTTACAGTAAATATTTTAAGTAAACATTTGTATAACACTTAAGCTTGTGCCCTAGTTTTACACAATATAGTGAACAAGAGGAATCTGCTTGTTCAACCTGTAAGATTAAAGTAGAAGTAAGCAATTTTTTTGTGTTAAAGTGATAGTCTGTAACTCTAAATGAATTACAAATTTTAAGAATTGTATTAAATTGACCTCCTGGCCTTAAATGTTGTCATTTTATTCATTCTAATATTACGGGTAAGTCCCGCCTTCCCTTCTCTTAGCTATAGCTCTTAATCCACGATGCCGTCAACGTTAACCAATCGGGTGATGTCAAGGGCTGTCAAACATCGCGCTGATGCTCGTAGCTGGGTGCATGCTTTTTTTCGCGGAGCCTCCGAATCAAGCCTCCATTAGGCTCTGAAACTACATGAAAACTGAACATCCGCGCTGAGGTACTTATGTATATACTGAACCTATATCCATAATCAGATCCTCTGCAGATGTGTCGTATAATGTGCAATTAATGATAATAGCTAATTCCGGGTTTGCCGCGATCGCTTTTTTTGTGCATTAAAACATTATTTTTTTCATAAACACTTTAACAAATAATTCTGAAAACCTCCGTACATTTGTATTAATAATGTATATGTATAATGTGTTCTCCCAATAACATTTAAATGTGTTACGGAAACGTAGGCGTAGACCAATCAGAAAGGAAGGGGGAGGGAGCTTGCGTTGTTTTTTTCAAATCAAGTACCTCTCTCTCTCTTTTTCTGACAAACTGCAGACAATCACTTTAATGTAAGTCTTAAATAGTCACATCTTCCAATAGCGATCACTTCTATACAGTTTTTATCCAATCAGGAGAGAGAACGGCATGCCAGGATGTTCCGCTCACATACAGGGCAGAAGTGGCTGGTGGGCTTTGATGCCCACCTGCCTTTTTGTAAAGTTATTCTCCAAGAATGCAGCTCGGCAGCGTCTCTGTGTCCAGAGACCTTCCAGAGACTTAACAGCAGTATGTGTTCACTGAGTTTTTTTATTATTAAACGAACACGTTAGCAGCACTTGTTTACAGTCATGGGAGAGTGGGAACTCAGGCTGAAGGCATATGTTCTCAAGCACTGTCCCCCATTGTCAGTCCTGGTTTAGTCCTGGTTTGGCTGTTTACGAATATCTTCAGTCTTCTCTCTTTGTCCCCGTGACCACTTTGCGGCTCTCTGATTGGTTGCCGCAACCATAGACTGTAAAGTCAAGGAGGACGATGCACATGCATGTGGTGGCGTAGGGACGAGGGCGGGGCTGCTAACTCGCTCGGGCAATAATAAACGGCCAAAACGTCCGAATCGCTTACTGCTGCTTGAATTGTAGTATCTTTATATGATATAATATACTATATCATATTATTATCAGTTTTCAAAAATACGATAGACAATAGTATGATGATACAATAGTATTGAATGAGAAGCCTGAAGTAAATCTAAGCAGACGTGAAAAGAATATAAAAACCTCCAGAAAAATAATATATATTAAGCAGCATTTATGAAATACTATTGATTGATATCCCCAATAGAGATATGAATCATTGTGAGGGGAATGGGCAGAGTACAAACCTGTGATGTCCATTTCCCTCATGGTAAGAGCGGCCATACTGTCTGTGATGAGAGTGGCGGGAATGCCCTCAGCCACGGCCTCATATGCCGTCAGCCTGGAGCCCTGGTTGTAAGGCCGTGTCTCTGTGCAGTACATGCGTTTCAGTCTGCCCAGAGCGTGAAGACTCCTCACCACACCTAAGAACATGACGAGTTATGAGTATGTGTATACCAGGAAAGATGTTGCTACATTCACAAGTGAGAGAAGTATTGTATTTTCCCCTGAACCAGTCAAAGTATTCTAGTTTAGTTTCATTGCATCTAATAACTTTGTATTACTGCCATCTTCTGAGTTGAAAAGGGTCACCAAAAACATACATGAGGCAAACGTACACCTTTTTATTTGTTTAAATGGATGTAAATTATGACCTGACCTGATGTGCTTATGCGGTCTGGCACCTAAATCCATGTGCCCAGGGTTACATCTATTACATACATTTATCTGGTCTCTATGGGGTCAGTGTAAACGCTTAGAATGAGTACTAAATTCTAATTAATTTGGTTTTAGTTGATTGTTTAACTGTTGTTAATCAGGAACAATGCACAAGACTATTAGCTATACAAAAGAAAAGATGATTTGGACAATATTTATTTATTGCTGCTTTCCACATATAGTCCCTGGGCAAAATACACATTTATACAGTTATACTAGAGATCACCATGATCTTTTTTTGCCTTTAACATGTTTGCACACTTCTGTATTTTGCCCAAATCTGAGTGATTCTATCCATGCCAAATGTGACATGTCAATTTATCCTGTGTGAGATCAATAAAGTCTATCTTATCTTATCTTAAAGTCTATCGGAATACATATTATAAACATTTTGGGCCAAAATGTTTAATGCAGTATTATTTGTCCTGTACCTATACTCCTACTCACTAGACACACTAGAGAAACAATAGAATTTTGCAAATGTTTTAAGTCATAGTAGGAAAATATTATTAATCACCATAATTACGGTCTATGCTTATGGCACCTCATCGTTTTATCATTGTTTACCCCTTTATTAATCCATTTCTGGATCAGGGGGACTGCCACCCAAATCTCAAAGCACCAGTCCCTCGATGATCCTTCTGCAGGTGGTGAGTCCACAGGATGATATGGCTTCTCACTCATCGAATCGGGGGTTTCAAGCAATGTTATGGCATAGGATTAGGATATACTGGAATATATATTATGAAAAATAAAAGCTGTTAGAAGATGTCCTAATCCTATTATGGCATAGTATTAAGATATATTGTAATAACTTTTATTCTTTATTGCTGGGATACTATTAGTATTACTTGACACCCTCACCTTCAAACCCCATATTCACAATCTTGTGAAGATGCTTAAACTTAGATTGGTCTTTTTTAGAAATAAATGTTGTTTTTCTGAAAAAGCGGCTTGTCACTGCAACATTTTTATCTTTTTCAGATTATGGAGACCTGATATACATGAATGCCTCAACTCAATGTCTCTGAGGTTCATCACTAACTGTAAAGCCTTGACTCATCATTGCAAAATGTATTCTCGAGTGGGATGGCCTTTTTGTCCACCAGGAGGTCAGGACACTGGTGCACTTTTGTTTAAAAGGCCAACGCTTGGTCTGCTGCCCTCTTACATCTGTCATTTAATCACAGAGATGTTGTCATATGGTTTGCAGTAAAATGATCTTTTGTTGCTCTCCGTTCCTTTTTTCCGCACAGAACTGGGGGGAAAAGGCATTTGTATTTGCTGCTCTTTCGACATGGAACATTTATGTACAAATTGCAATACCTTAGACATTTTTTTATATACACAAAAACAATTCCTTCCAGCCAGAGTGAAATGTAGATAGAGTTCAGTAGTTGTTGGAATTAAACTATTGCGAAACCTGGCAGTTCTGCTATTTGCACTGCTATAAGGTCGGTCTGTGTTCAGAGGGGAGGATCCATGTGAAAGAAGTCTTGATAGTTACAAGAAACAAGGCATTGCGCACTCCTTGTAATTACTCATTATTAATGAAAAAAGCGAATCTGTAAATCTGTTTACAAAACTCCTAATTTTGGTCCAAAACTTGAGTGAATTCGTTCAAAATACCACCATACTGTAATAGTGATTTCCTTTATTCCCATTTGATATCCATAGAGGCAATATACAATAACCTCTAAAAATGACAACTAATGTTTAAATTAAATAGTATTGAGGTGTTTGTAGTAGTAATATGTGTCTGCACTTGCACAGATTTAATACTCATAAATAAAATCATAAAGATTGAATAGTTGTCGGTGACAAGTTAAAACAAGAAAATTACAGCATACAGTATTTTTTGATTGAAACTTTTAAGAATGGGAGTGTGATTAAATTTTTATTTTGGATCCGGATATCACAATAGACTAGAGGCTGTGAAATGCATTAGCAGAAGCCTGAGTGCTTCTTGTTGCCCCTAATACGCCGTGCATATACATAATGCCATTGATTTTCCATCAGACCAACTTAACTCTTTTTCTATTAAAGCTTTTACACTGTCAGAGCTATTTTGGGCTCAGTAGCAGCTGAACCTTTGCACCCAGCAGGATGGACTGTTTGCAAGTCAGAAAAGCAGAGACATTTGCCTTTCAGGAACATGAGGCATTAGATTTTATTCTGGGGTTTCTGACACCTTATTTCTTTGGAAAACTAACTTCCATTATGGATCTAATGATAATGTTCCAGTCACATGGATGAGTGCAAGAAAAAGCATTGTTTTTTTGTTATCTATTTATCAATGACCTCAACTGCCAGGACATATTGACTGAACCTCAAATCAATAAATAATATTGCACTTTAAGGGGCTTTCAAACTTGTTGGTCTGGTTCACTTTGGGTAAATCACACTTTATTTGTAGATGTGTCCACTAGTCAGTTTTAGTGTCTCTAATCATGACTAAACATTTAAAACTCAAGTTTGACACTAGAAAGAAAACTTAAATACCAATTTTTACTGTTTTTGGACAAAAAGAGTCTTGTTAACCTCAAAATAATTAATACTATTAGTTATAAATTGGGTCATCACATTTTATACACGTTTTTATGATATCGTTTTTAATCAGTGTTATCAAATTTAACACGTTAACTCGTGCAATAACTCAATACAAATTGTTGCATTAATCATAGCTTAATGACAGATTAATCTTGATCTGTGGTCTTCCATCTCTGACGCATGTTTAGAATGGAGGCTTCCGTGACTGGGTTTGCTCATGTGTTAACGGGTGAGGTTAATCAGACTAGGTTAAACACACAATACTTTAAGGTGAACCAGACCAGCAAGCCTGTCTTCTCTACACATGCTGGAGGTGCCTTTCACATTCCAATAAGCAACACTATAGTTCTAGAATAGTAAAAGGCCTTAAGCGGACAGTAAATTAAACTCCTAAAGGCGTTAAAGGGACATAACATTGACTTGTTAATACAATGTAACAGTTGTATTCTCTTGTTATTTATTATAACATACTATTATCATTTGTTATTACCGCCTTTCCTGTGTTCGAACGATTTTATTCTCTAATCTGTTGTTGACAACTTCGTGAAGTTGTGATTCAGAGCTATACAAAATAAATTCAATGTATCCTCATGTACGCGAGACGGCATCAGTCCTTTGAGCGTACCACCGAGCCCCGCCTCTGGGTTTTTACTTACTCTACAGACTTTGTGTTGTGAGCGACAGGAGGTTCACCATCATTCATTCGTCCATCGAGTGAACATATGACTTACCCAGTGCGGTGCCGTATCCAGCAGTAGCCAAGGAGCCGGTGTTGCAGTGCGTGAGGATGGTCACAGAGTCCCTGGGGACGCCGGACAGGATATGCTGAGCGCCATAGTTCCCAATCTTCCTGTTATCGTTCACGTCACGCTCGAGCATGTCTTCGATCCAAGCAATTACACTGAAAAAGAGACAACGGATTGATGTGGGAATGTGAGAAGCTGATCCGTCCGGAAGCTGGTCGTAATGTGTGGACCCAACTGCAGTTACAATGAACACACAAAGGCTGAGTCACAGACCAGCAAAGCACAATATAAGAAGGATAAAGTAACAGATGAATTATTTTGAGAACAGTGTTGTTTTACCAGAATGTGAGCAGTTAATGGGAAACCATAAAATATAGCCACAACTACCCCAGGGTGTTTACTACCAGGGCTGCACCATTTTGGCAAAATATCCAATTTCAATATCTCTGACCCACATTGAGATTGAGATAGCCTACATCTTTAAAATGTCTAACTTTAAGTGTTAAGAGTAAATAATAGTATTTTTTGTTACCACAAAAGTTATTTCGGTGTGATTTTTGTGCAGCCCTATTTGCTCCTACACCTCGTCAGGTAACTACACAGGCATACACACTTTTACCACTCATTCTCCTCTTGTGCTTCTCAAGTCAATTCAATTCCATTTATTCTTGTATAGGCCCAAGTCACAACAGTAATTATCTCAGAGGACTGTTAAAATCGCCAACACATATCAGAAAATAAAACAGTTAAAACACAAAAACACATTGGTATTGGTCCATAGGGGGAGTTGACCAATGTCCATGAATGTTGATAAATGTCAGTAAATTTTCCCCACTGTGGGACGAATAAAGAACCTCTTAATCTAATCTTTAATGTTGTAGAGTGTTAGAGCGTCCTGGATCACCACCACAGTCCAATTTCAACAAAATCCTCAACTTTATTTAATTTAAAACATAAGTCCTCACCTCTCTCTGAGCTGCTCCGAGTTCTTCTCCATGCTCTCGTTTTCTGCAAACTCCATGAGCTCTCTGGCAGCGCGGCCCATGTTGACGGCAGTGGGACGTGCAGAGGTCAGATGACACAACGACTCTCTGATGAAAGTCACGGGATCATCGCCTCCGGCTCCGGCCCGCAGCTCCACAGCTAAACTCAAACAGCCCACAATGGCAATAGCAGGAGCCCCACGCACCTGCAAAGAGAGATTCTGCGGTTAAAGCAGGAATACCTAACTTTAAAACCACTGCCAAATAAACAATCAAATCCATGTAACTAGTCCCAGGCTCTAAAACAGGTTGCATGTGTGTTTTGGCCTCCGTAACCTTTTTAGACCAGCTTTTTCAGACTGAAACATGAAAACAAGAGGACCAATCTCACTGAGCCACGAGATAGCATGTTTCTAATAAGATGAAGACAGAAAGACAAATATGCATATGATAATTTATGTTTACACAACTCGCTAGGTTTACACAACTCAGTAAACAAAATGTATTCCTTATGAAGCAAAAAGTACAGAGACACATATGTGCAGCATGTGTCTCTGTTTCTTTCTTTTTCTTTATTGCTCATGATCATATATAGGACATGGGGCACAAGTTACAAAACAAAACATAACAGAAAAGCAATACACCATCTTAACAATTTTTTAACTGCATTGTAGATAACTACTGAGTAATAACAAAAAATGACCAACAAAGTAATAAAGTATGAACAGTCTAAAAGCATTAAAGATATGACTTAAACTAATTAACAAATGCTTAAGATTTATTTAATCACTTAATACCTATAATAAAACTTTATAATAAAATTACCTTTATCTAATTTACATGAATAATTTTGCGTGCAAATGATTACATTAACCATGTCATTTATATGACCATGCAATACCCAAGTTTTACAATGGGCTACATAAATAGTAGTAGTAATATAATAAATAATTGAAAACTAATTAAATGGCTAGTTTTTTTGCACCTGTCCAGTTTGTAGAGTGGTCAAGCATCAGACCATGAAATGTCTTTATTGGACATAATGATCTCATCTGATGAGCATTAAGTCATTTCTTCAGACATAGGCTTAATTCATCATGACATCACTCTGCTTATGGTACATGCCATCACTACCACATAAACTGAAGAATGTCTCTCTCCTAATTACAAGCCACAAGAGTGATCAGCTTGGATTACACTGGGTTCACATTTGGAGAGCTTGAGACAAAGTAGAACAAAAACCCTGGCAAAAAGACATTAATAATTCATCAACAATCTCCAAAGGAAAATGAGGATGAGGCACACAGGGTGGGTGCCCATACCAGCTGTGCAGAGTAGGGTGACAAAGAGCAGATAAAGCCCAATTTCAGATATGTGCCGGGGGTAATACAGGTACATAGAGGTCCGGGGCGGATCAGGCAGGACTCACACACATGGGGCGCACAATCATGGTGGCACAAAGAGCGTGTGAAGCCGCGGCGTGCGCAGGGCAACACGGAGACGCCTGCTTACCTTCATAGACTTGATGGCCTCGTACGCGCCCTGGACCGAGCGGACTTCATCGTAGACGCTCTGGTGGGGCAGTAGCAGCTGGTTGAGGACCTGCAAAGAGCCGGCCTTGTAGCGGATGCCTTCTAGCGTCATGACCCAGGCGGAGAGAAGGGATGGCGGGGGATGAGATTGCGAAGACGCGCGGACCGGTGGCTGTGGAGGAGGCACCACACTCACACACACACGCACACACACACACACACACACTCACTATCTATCTCTATGGCTCACGCACAATCACTTTCTCTCCAGACGCAAGTGGACGCGGCCTGGTTGGATGCCCGTGTGTAGGTCCCGAGTAGAGATGATGGAATAAAGGTGATGGAGAGGCGCGGATGTGGTGAATGGGAGGATAAAAGCAGAGAGGAATCCGCCGGGGAGCCTTTGCACATTGACAGACAGGCAGCAGAAGCCAGGCAGACACGGGAACCACGTGTCCACTCGACCAGGAAGCGCAATCTCAGCCTTTAGCCCACGCCCCCTGCATCCAGAGCGGGTTGTCCAATTTGCTCAAGACACCCCGCTCACTGATGTTGTTGTCGTCTTTCTCGCACCATCCCCCCCCCTCGCTGTACCCCTTTGTCAGGAGAAATCTCACATTCAAACACGATATTAGCATAACATCCAAACCCCAAGCGCCTGCTACGTCTATTTTGGGGCTGCCTTTATTGTTCAAAAGACAAAAACACGCGCAGTGGGAAGGTTTCTGCTTTTATTCTCTCTCACAAAATCTTCATACATTACATAGGCACAAACCCAGGATAAAGGATTCCCTCAAAATGTCATGACACTTGAAAATACAATTATATATATATAAATCAGTAAACAAGTATTACATACAGGAATGTAGTGATGAGAATCGTTCTAAATAAAATCTGCCACCAAATAAGATATGTTCTTTTTTTTGTACATATGAGAGTGGGTGTTCGCTATGAAGGGAAAGTGAGTCACCAGTGGGACAGCCCCAATCCAAAAAGGACAAGTGTTTTTTGGAGTCCACCGTCTAGGACAGAGAAGATGGCCCACATAAGTGCATTTATTACATAGTTGTGACAATGCATTGGGGCGCACACATTTGCAGGCTATAGCTCCAGATAGGATTCATGATTGACACCGTTATTATTCACACAGTGGGTTAAACACAAGGATAAACAAGATATAATTTAACTTCAGATAAAAGGTAAATGTTTTGAATAAAATATCTTATTTTTGGCACTGATACATCATGTACCCCTAAACCAAAATTGATTTCCATCTTTTTCTATGCATTTTTGTTTTTGAGATTGACAAAAAACTGCTTTACCATTTTAATCTATAATTAAATGTATGGAAATTATAACACCTGTAGTTTAGTTTAGATATTGTGTTTTTCTTTTGATTAAAATATAGTCAGCCGATGAAGGGCAAAATAAGTTATTATGTTTCAAGGAGCGCATCGGACTTCAATTTCATGAACCAGCTACAAATGAGTGTCACGGAAAGACAAGTGATAAAGTCAAAAATAATGATTAGTTGTTTGCTGTTCAGAATCTCAGAATGAGGCGAGCAATATTAGAAAAATGTCATATCTGTTGCAATTTTGAGGACGAAAAACATGGTCCACCGAGAAAACCATGAAGACCAACTTCCAATCACACTCGCACACACACCGCATCAAAATTAGGACCAAACCTCATGTCAAAGCAATCTAAAACAATTCATGAATACCTGCATAGAATTACTGTCCATTATCATAATATTTTAGTCATTTTCTAATTGTCTGTTCAGTGCTTCTTATTTTCACCCATGGTAACGAATGTTCACTTTATGAAATCATCAAAAGTTTCGAGGTGGAAAGGAGCCACAACCGCAATCTGCTCAACATTTGTTTTTTTGGCAGTAAAATAATAACAACAAAAATACACAGGCAATCTCACACAATTACACCCTGGGGCCAACCCGAACAGCTCAATATAGCACTGCAGCTCTCAAGTTTGGAATCGTACTTGCAGGAGATAAGCATCATTAGACTCGCAAGATTTAAAACTGCTGATAATAGGCCTAGGTCTGTGAATATATGTAGACAACAATATGGGCAAACAGAAGTAAGTTGGCAACACATTCAAAGCGGACTCCTAACACCCCTCTTTGCTAAAGGCGACTTGATCTCAGCGTCTCCTTGGTGACACAAACACTAATCCATCATTATGGGATGTCGGCTGCAGTGCCCTGAAAAGCCCCACTTTTTCTGCTCTCATATCACAGCACCGCAAATGGGGCAGATTACAGTAATCTGGGAACACTGGAGCAGACAGATTAGATTAAACTCATTTCACAGATACAATATGGAGTAAAAACACATTGGAGTCGTGGTTTAACGTAATACACACATTCATAAGGACGTAGATAATGTTGAGTAAACACAAGTATGAAGCGACGACCAAAGAATCCTGACTACATTAGGATGTCTAATGGTCATAATGCACATAGTTAGATAGATAATAAAAAAATAGGGATGGTTTGGATTGAAAAAAATAATAAAATGTATCATCAAAGGTTTTGTCAATATATATAAATATGGAAGTTAGAGTTATTCAGCAAAGTGCAATAATATTTTTTGAGGCAATAATATTCAGAAGAGTTTAACTTTTCCATTATTAATATGTCCCCAAGTTTGTTTAAAGGGTGCCTTATGCAAAATTATGTGAAAAAAAGTTTAACCTTGTACCGGTAGTGGGCAGCATGGCGCCTTAACTTTTGAGTTGTGTCCACGGTGCTCCAGGATCAATTGTTCTGTAGGTTTTCTGGTGTGAGGATCCCCAGCAGAGAAAACATTCCGAACAATTGATCCTATAGCATCCTAGAGACCACGGTGATGAAAAGTAAAATAGGCATAAAAGTTGCATAATGTCCCTTTAAACTCTTGTGTTTGTGGTTATTTTTGTTGTTGCTAGTTTCAGGTTTGAACACAGTGCACTGAATGACTAATGCACTTGCCACTCACAAACCAAAAACGTTAAAGCGCAAATATAATCCACCCGTAAAACTCTAGCTAGCTCTATGCAACTGTCCCGGTTTGTTTCCCATGCAGGTATTGGTAGAGCTTAATGTAATCTAATGTAATGCTATCGGTGCTTGAAGTACCCACTGTAGTGTTTTTAACAGAGTGACAACAGTATTTCAGTCTTGCACAGAGTCCCCGGTCCCGTCTTATCCAGTGCGTTTCCGTTGGAGTGATTCAAGCTGCAACAATTACAGAAGTACTGACGTTTAGAATGCCATTTCAGAAGATTATTTCAAGGATAAAAATCTTCCTCCTTTCAAAAATTACCTCATGTTCTACCATCTTCAGTCTTCCAAGAGCATCTTTTGCCGCATCCTGGAAGATAGATTTGCAAAATCAATGTGTTAACACAATAAGGAAGTAGACCCCTATACCTAACCACACCTAACCACAGACTTTGCATTTTTCAAAGTGATCACAATTTGAACATTCTGAGAGAAATATCAATAATTCACTCACTCGATTTCCTTGGCTGGAGTATTTCTTTATTGAATCGGAGAGTCCATGCGCAAATCGTTTCAGCACATTTTCATATTCTGCACATTTGACGATATAAAGTGAGAAAAGATATTGAGGATTCCTTCACGGAGCAATAAACAGCAGATTGAATGTGTGTATACCATTCAGCAAAGCAGGTGAAGCCCGCTCTAGTTGAGCTTTCTGCCACTGTAGTCTATTTGTGACGTCCTTGTACTGCTGGATAAGGTCTGGCGGAGGATCCCGGTGGTTTTTACGATATTCTGCTAACTGTGAGACAAAAGTAGGATATTAGCCGATGTTAGGTCAACTCTATATAACCACAGCAACAAGCTACCTTTCTCTCAAGCCGCTCCTTGTCAAAGTTGAGGAGGCTGAAGCTGTGGAGTTTGTACTGAGGTGGAGAGCTGCTACTTCTGCTACTGCTTGATGACTGCACTGATTCGTTTCTGTGCTTGGATCGAGGAGATGGCGCCTAGAAAGTCAAGAATGCACAAAAACAGACAGCAGTTTAATGGTGGGCTATGCTACTTGAGTGATACATACATGTGAAAGTCATGAGAATATTGTTCAAAAGTTCAAGTATTTCTGTATTTCAACTTCAAAAGTGAAACCAATATATGACTCATTTTATGCAAAGTTTGATATATTTTGATGATTATGTCTGACAGTCTGATTATGTCTGACAGTCTGACAGTCCAAATAATTGTATTTTCTTTTTCGATTTTCTTTTCGATTTTTATTTTTTTAACAAAATAACAAAAAATGTTTGATATTCCTCACTTTGCATGCAATTGGTCCATCATATATATAATTTCACGTTGGAAATTTAATTCCAGAAGTAAATGTACTTTACTATAACATTCTAATTTTCTGAGTATTTCAAGGTTTGAAATAATGTTTTCAGCATCATTTTAGATACATAGATCAAGAACACACAGAACAAAATCACAATTGAATCCAGCGCTATGTATAGAATTTACTGTACAATATTGCCTAAAAGAATAATACTTTAAAAGTAGTATCCATCCATCTTCTTCCCCTTAATCCATTTCTGGGGGGGGGGGGGGGACCACCAGTCCCTCACTGATACTCCTGCAGGTGGTGAGTCCACAGGAGGATGGCTGCTCTGTCAGTGACAGTATAGCCTTGATCTGTCAGCAGGGCCTTCAGGCAAGGTGGGGTCAAGTGTCTTGCCCAAGGACACAACGACAGTAGACATCAGTGAGAGTCGATGGAGAAGGTCTCATGGTGGGCTCGAACCCACAACCTTCAGGCTCAAAGGCCAATGCTCTACCAACTGAGCCACTTTAAAATATCCTAAAGTGAAAGTGATTTATTTTTGATTTAGATAGAGATCAGCAAATTCAATCAGAAATCTCCCCACTGTGGAACGAATAAAGGATCTCTTCATTTTAATAGTTCCAAACGGCTCTTTCTTGACTGCCTTCAGACATTGTTTAGGTTTGTGTCTCTGTCATTGGAGAAACTAGATAATGCAATGTGATATTTTCAATTTGGAATTGACTCATAAAAACTCAATTTTTTGTTCTTACTTGAAACTTTATCAAATCTACCCACATCCGCTGCAGCAACATAACTGTTTGATACACATAAAATATCTATATATATCTCACCCTTTCCTTTTGTCTCTCGGGAGGCGACAGAGCAGGCGCAGGATCCACGACCAGCCACTTCTCGGTGACCGGCTGCAGATGAGCCCCGGACACCGGCTCTCGGATCTTCACTCTCACCTCCAGCTTTCCACCAGTGGCTTTACGACCATCCAGAACCTGCACAAGTCTCAGTCATTATTAAAAGGGTCTTGTGGAGTGATTTACAAAATGCAGCAATAATGTCACCTCAACGAATTCTCTAAAGTCACAGCTGTTTTCCAGCGCCTCCAGTTTCAGTTGAGCATTGCCCACAACTCTGTCACTTTTGAAGAGACCTCTGAAAACACAAAATAAAAATACAAGTGGTTTAACATTTGGGGGGATTTGGAATCTCATGGAGGACTTGAAAGAAGTACGTGGACCAGAGAGTGAAGCACAGTGTGAGTGAGGGGAGAGAGGTGTAAATAATTCTTGCACACTTTCTGTAAATGGTACAAACTTTTTTTCTAACTTCTCAATTATAACTGTGTTTGTCTCCTATATGATATGTTTCAATGAAAAGTATTATCCAAGCAACCAATTATTTATAAAGGAAAATCATAAAAATTGATAGGGGTGCTGAAACATTTCCATACCACTGAATGCCATGTGATTTGTTGAAATGTAATGTTTTTTCTTGTTCCATTTTGTATCAGGTCTTTTGCTTGTATGTGTGAGAGGGAATAAGTGTTTGCTTCATCCCATCCCTTTTCAAACCATGTATGAGTATTTTATTTTTTACTTTTTTCTGTGTTTCTATGTAGTGCAGGTTGAAAATGAATACATGGACCACAATAATGATGATACGTATGGATCTTGTTTTACCCTTTGTGGATGATCTCAAATTTGATTCCCTTGGACTGGATAACCCGTTTGAAGGCTCGATGTGAGCGAATGATGTTGAGTTTGAACTGCTCTTTAAACTCTGGGTTGTTGCTGCCTTTCACTGTGCCGGTCTTGTCACTTTGGGCTTCTTCCTACGCACAGATTAATGATGACGTTAATAATTCATTTGCATTACCTTATCTGGTTTAAAGGCTGCTTTTCCTAAGTATACTTACTGCACTGGGGAAGGGGAACTCAAACTTCACACTTGCATCGAGATCGTTAGGTGAGACGCCTGAAAATAAAGCAGCACTGTGGGTGTAGTACATGCGATGGTGACGCATTAGACTTGTTATTTCGGAGACAGCGCGGCCTACCTGGAGGTACTGGCAGGTTGACGCCTTTGATGATGTATAGAATCATTTCATTTGGTGTTAGATTGGCATAGACTCTACAGAGGAATAAGGAGAATTTTGAGAGGCATAGAAAAGCAGACAGAACAACTGCTGTATTTGTCATCACACACATGGGAATGACCTATGTCTTATACTAAAACAAACAAAATATCTGGAGGCAGACATTGTAAATGACACTTAAAGGCGTGCTAAATAGGTTGTGAATTATTATCTGACTTCACAGTGTTGAAAGTCCTCTCCTCGGTGCGGCACTTAGGAACTGGTTGTCCTTTGGTGTAGGCATTTTTCAGGATCTCGATGCTCTTCATGCACTCCCCCATCAGCTTGTCAAACCTGCAAAGATAGTGCAAAAAATTTTGAAAGAAAATTATGTTAAATCAAAGCACAGAGAAAATGCAAAAAGCAAGGTTACTGGATTGCTACACAAGTCTATTTTGTAGTGAGAATGTTTCTCCCAGGTGCTCTTCAGATTGGGGATCAAAATAATTAAAAAGGAGAAGACTGAGGCACTCAATGGGTAGAGAAAAAGTTAAGAAAACCTTTATTAAAACATGGCTAAAAAGTGAAAAACGCCCAGAGGAAATGCACTAATTCTTACTTTAAGGCTTCAGCTATGTTTCCGTGCTCAGTGAACTGTTGACAGAGACTTAGACATTTCTGGAAAAAAAATTAGAATCAGCCAAAAGATTTAATTAAATGGAACACTCATTAAAGGGGTTTTTCAAAAGGGAAGTCATCTACATCATGCTGTTTTTTGAGAAGATCCATCAGAGCGCGGTACTGTTCACTGGAGCGTGGTGACATTGATGATGAAGAACGGGAACGTGCCAGAGAGAAATCCTCCTCATTTATTGGGGCCATTGGAACCTAAAGCAAATGTAAATAATAATAAACAAACATATAACATTACACCATTACAACCTTTTACATGGGGACTCTACTAATCTGATCATTTAGTGGGGGAACCAAAAACACTTGAATGTATTAAATATTCTTAATAAATTTTCTCCTACCATTACCATTATAGTTAAAGCTGGGTTAGGGTTACTACCTAACTTTCAAACCACAAGTTAAGTATGTAATGAATATTTAAAAAGTGGAAAATTCTGGCTCTAAAACAGTTCTTCACTAGTTTTCACGTGCATGTATGTATATTGGGCCTCTGTCAGATCAGCTTTTTCAGACAGAAAAGTAGTAAGGATATAGCGGTAATTTGTGCAATATTATCCTATTACGGACAGATATCGATGCATAAATAACCTTTCTGATATCAACAGGAAGTCCCGACTTGGCTGCTTCAATCATGGGGTCAACTCCTTTTGCATGTCTGAGATGTTGTGCTGCTCCTGTCATATCCTACAAGGAAAATATACATTTCTTACATACAGTATATATTTCATAAAGGACAACTGGTTTGAAAGTAACAAAAAACAAGTAGCCAAAATAAATACACAAACTCAGGAGTACTGTAAAGAACCCCATCTGCTTACCTTCATCTGTTTTGACCGCAGAGCTGCCCGTACAAAAGCCTGTCGCCGTAGCAACAGGAAATCCAATTGCTGTTGGGCTGCACAAGGAATTAAAAAAAACAAAAGCCTTAAAACTTTGTTCACACAAAGTTCCTAGAAGTCGAAAAGAGTTCCCAGTTTAAAAGCGGAGCAGCCCTCTCCACAACGACCCAGAACTTTGCCAACACTTCTCACATTGGGTTTAATGCAGGGCTGTCAGACATGAGACAATGACTTGCAGCATCTATGGCAAGAGATTAGTATTGGCTACTATGGAATCCATCATTGTATTAGTGTAAAGCTAATATAAATTTGGTTATGATCAGCTCTCCCTTTCAAATCCTGCCCCCTAAAATGACATGGCTTATTGCATTCTCACATAATAATAGAATGTAACCATGACACTGGGTTTTCTTTAGTACAACACAAGAAACCCAGTGTCCCTGCCAATTTAATGGATTTATTCACATAAAAACATGGATTTTGTGATACCAACATATTCCTGGTAATGAATAGCCCTCTCTCGGGAAATTCTATATAACAATGTAGGGAAATGTGGCCTTGTTCGCAAATGATCCTGCTCTGGCAATAACCAAGACACACATCAGGATTCAGCTGCATTTGTGAATAAAGGTCTAAACCATAAACCATCATCAGCAAACTTGACGTTGTTCTCACATTCACTAAATACCAGTATCCTTGATGTTTCAACAGTATTTAGAAAGATTTCTCTTCTGGAGTATACTATACAGTAAACTGTACTCAGTTTAGCGTATACAGTTAATATATTCCTTAAGAAAAATACAGATCTGAACACCTAGGCTTCAAATAAAATGAACCCTATGGTTAGAGTTATTAAACAACCTGTGTATCCTGAGCTCTTTTCAGAGCCTCACATACCTTTAGGTGCAAGTTTAAGGGCAGCTTGAGGAGCTGGGGATTTTGCTTTCTGTGCTGACACTGCAGACTGAAACAGATATAAAGTTTTAAAAGTATTGATTATATTATTATTTAAAAGTAATGATTATTTCAAAATCATTGGTGAAAGCAGTAACAGTAGCATATTAAAATTGCATTAAAATAAATCCATATATAGAAAATAGCTAACTTAGATGATCCATTTACCGTTGTAGTTCCTTTATGACTTCCCTTATCATCATCATCATCATCGTCTCCATCAACGTCCTGATTTGCTATTTTCATTGCTGTTTCAAGGACTCCCCTGAAGTTCTGCTCACCTCCCTCTGTTCCTTGAAGTGGTGGACAGCCTAAACCATTCATAACAATGTTAAAAGTCAATCAAAGATTTTAGATGAAACCATATATTTAAAACATCCTGAATTTACCTGGTGGCATAGGGAGATCTGATAAGGTCACAGGTCGTCCTGCTTTTTGAGCTTTGATTGAATCTTGGTATTGCTTTTGGATTTAAAGACAAAGACAAAAGACAAAAAAGGGCCAAAAAAGGTTTATGTGCAAGTACGGTTTCCCACTAGTCATCAAAACATGATGATCTTGTACAATTTGTTGTCCCATAACATAATTTTAAAAAAATTATTATCTTTAGTTATTTTGTATACTTTTGTTGAACCTTTATTTAACCAGGAAGTTCCTTGAGATAAAACCTCTTGTCGAATGTATATTTTGCCAAGAGTACCAGATTACATTATGAGTATGTGAGTACAAAGTCAGGAGAGTACCTTGACAATGCGCTGGTGCATGCGAGCCTTGCGATCATCTCCTTTGCTCTTGGCTCCCTCTGCTGCAGACTTGTATATCTCCATTCTTTGTTGCAATGCTTCAGCTACTGTCTTGGGCGCAGGAAGGCCTATGAAATAAACATGAGTGAGGGTCAAAAGCAGCAATTAAACTGTATAGATTTGACATGGATATTTACTAGCTGGGTTTATGTGAGCGGAAACAGCAGCAGTAGCACCAGCAGCAGCAGGAGCAGCAGCAGGAGGAGCAGCAGGAGGAGCAGCAGGAGGAGCAGCAGGAGGAGCAGTAGCTGCCGTAGCAGTTTTAGAAGAGGTAATGGCATCTCCAGCATCACCTGCACAAAAGGACATGAACCAAGTCAGTTGCCTACATAGTGTTTAACAACTATGTTGTTTAATTTAAAGAATAAATTGCACTGACTGGGTGGAGGAGGCAGCAAGCTCATGTCAAACGGCTCGTTTTTGTCCAGTGCTTCCAGCATCGCATCCATTTTCTACACAAATTGAGTTGCTGTGAATTTTTTAAACTAACAACTCAAAACAACAACTTCAAAATATCTATTCAAATCACCTTTGCAACAATGTAGAGTGTCTTGGCCAAGTTAATGTCATTGTGCTGTTTGGCATCGAGGGCAGCCAACTTGTATTCCCTTTGCCTGGACAACACTGCCTGCTTCAATTCTAAGTGCATAATGTGGATTTAGTACACAGTTACGTTTGACAAAAAACACATTCTGTATACCCACCTGAGTCTTGTGCATCAGGTCGACTTGGAGTGAGTGGAGACATCGCAGGGGTGTCAGGGGTGATAGCCAGAGCAGCAGTATTCTGAGGAGGGGCTAGATGAGGTTTGGCATTGTAAACAGGTGGTGGAGCATCTCTAGAAGGTTTTTGATTGCATGGTGAAGGCGACCGGTCTACAGGATGAGGTACTTCCTGGGGTGTGACAGGAACAACTTCTGGTGCAGTACTAGGCTTTCCTCCCAAAGCAACTGGAGGCGGCATCTCTTCCTCATTGATTGGCTTTCCTTTCTTTGCAGATGTTAACATGGACTGCAAGCTCTACAGTTCATAAAACGGTGAAAATCATGTACAGTGAACGCTAAGAAACATACATCCAAACCAAAGTTACATTACCTTTAATCCACGTTCATATCGTCTCACTTTGCTACTTTCTCCAGCAGCTTTAGCATTTGATATGGCTGTATTGTACATTTGAATACGTTCCATTAACTTGGACTCCACTCCTGATGCCCCACTGGGGGCTGCAGCCGGTGGATGAGACGTGACAGAGACTCTTGAAGTTGGTGGGGCAGAGGCAGGAGGTGTGGGAGCTGAGATTTCCTCTTCACTGTCCTCTAAAACCTCATTTAACTCTGCCTGTAGATGTAGATCAATAATGAATAAGATCAACTTAGAACAAGAGTGGAACAAACTAAAGATTGAATAAGAACAACAATGATTCAAAATAGCACATCCTACAACACAACCTTGTTATTTATACAATGAACAATAACAAAATTAACTGACCAACAGATCTTCATCCTCCAAATCTTCATCTCCTACATCGTCGTCATCTACATCTTTCATGCAAAGAGCTGCCATTCGCTCTATTTCAGCCATTGCAACGGGAGCTTAATATGACCCAAACAATGATCAAATAAATCTATAATTAGACTCAAAAGAGAAAACATTTAAATAAATGTATATGAAAGACTAGGATTTACTTCTTCCATCAGCTTTCTTGGGTTGAGATCTGCCTCCACCTGAACCAACCAGATTCATCAGCTCTGCCTCCAGATCTTCATCGTTTTCTCCATCATCCATTCCTCCATCAGGGTTTAGATCAAGTAACAACCCCATCTTAAACAAAGATTACGCAAAAAAATGACTACTGCACATTATTTACGTCACACAAGAAGAAAAGGCAAATTAAAGTTACCTGTTTAGCTCGAGCTGCCCCTTGTCCACGAGCTGGTGGGTTCCTACTACGACTCATTGGAGCTCTTAGAATGGAGTCTATACATACCACAATTTTAGTTTAATAAATATCTGTATAGTAGATAGTCATGACATTCAACACATCTCCGGAAAGTATGACCACATAAAAACAGTGATAAATGGGTTTCCTTATATAAAACACTCCACTTCTGTTTTCAGAAACTTTCTAACGTCGCGTTATATCGCGTTAACCTCAGATTACATGGCAACGTTCAATGCATTAGAACTGTCTAATTCACTGGAAAACATCTTACCGACCCTGTCGTTGTTGGTTGTTCCAAAAACAGGGAGAATCCTATTTTCTAAACACACAAGGTATTTGTAATCAAGAGACTAAAATTTAACTTTACAGAGACCTGTCAAAACAACAGCAGCTGTGGAATTCACTTCCGACATTAGCGTCTCCCTTAGCAACAGCATACGCTTTACGGCAGAACGAAACGCGCCAACAACTGTCGCAAAGGCCATCGTATTAACGCAACAAAAACATTATACACGTGGGATATTATTTATGTGAGTATTTATTTGTACAAACTATGTATATCTGCAAAATATATTTTTCTGTTTGTTAAAAAAAAGTACACGTCATAGATTTTCTATCTAGTTATCTTCTCAATCACACGGATATTGTTAGCTAGTATAACGTTGGGTTAAATCTTAGTGTTAAAGTTTTATAACCGTATAATGCTACTTTACCGTTCTACTTTTGTTCTGTTCACCTACTAATACAAAACTATTAAAGAAATGGCAAAAGGAAAAGCAGCCAACAACAAACAAGGTAAATAAATATTGTGTGTCCTGGTCTTCGAATGTAAATCATATTATTTTTCCTGTTGGTTACAGACGCAATGGCTACAACTATGACTCGGAGGTCTAGGAAGAGGGGCTGTTCAGTTGACAAAAAGACTGAGGATAATCAGGTGAAAAAGACTAACGAATAGAGATGGCCTAAAAGTAATCTTGGGTTTATGTTTGTGTGTTTTTGTTAAGTGCGTTTGCTATATCTCTCTATCACAGGGAGTGTCACACACAGAGGATGTATTAGTGGAATGTATGAAGTCTCCAGAAGAAGAAAGTGAAAAGAAGAGAAGTATTGAACCACTTATGTCAACTATTCTTGAAGAGAAGACTAAAGAAAAGAATGCAGAGTCTGACCTCCCTGAAGTTACAGTTGCAAAACAGTTAGTGGTATGCATTTTGGACTGTGGACCTGAGAGGAATCAAAATAAAATAGATGAACAGGAAATAGTGCCAAATGAACATGAACCATTAAATAATTTAAAGAAACATGTTGAGGGTAACGCAGTGAACGATCCAGATGGTTTAGAGCAACAGATGACAGCAGAGGACAATCTTCATCACAAGATTGAGACAAACCGAGATTTGGATGAAGTGAAATCGATACCCATTGAACCAGTGGTGGAGGGGTCAGCCATAAAGAAGAGAAGGATGGGCATGTGCCACTTGTCAGAAAAGGAACGAAATCGGATTATACCCAAACAAGTGAACAGAACAGTAAGGATTGGAAAGCAGAATGATACCAGAATGGTGGCCGAAGAAGAAAATGGATCTTCATCTTACCCAGAAACGACTGACATTATGCCACCTCTTAAAACAGAACTTCTAAAGTCCAGTCCGAACCACAAGAATCAGAAGTGTGTGTTTTTTTGGGGCTTTTTGGCTTTCATACTTACCTTACATGTAGATTCATAATACAAGAATTGTTTTTTTACAGAGATGAAACTGAAGTAGAGACTGGTCTGAACTGTGAGGATGCCCCTAATGGAGGCCTGCACGCTGGAGTCATCGCAAAGCACCATGAAGAGACAGAAACACAAAGGAATACAAATATGCTTTAGAGAAAAGTTGTGTTCTGTTTTTCTAATGGATTGCTCAAATAATTATGTATTTTTTTCTGTTACAAACAGGGTGGAAATGGGATTTGAGATGAAAGTTATTGCTTTACCTGTGTGTGAGTCAAGCCTCAATATTTGTAAATATGAAACCAAAGTGACTGACCTATCCTTGGAGAAGAACCATTGCACAGAGGAATTACAAACCAGGTTAGCAGCAGTGACTCTTTGATTTATAAGGAAAACCCGTTTTTGTGTTAACAATGAAATGAACACATTATATACATGTTTATTCTCAATACATGTTTATTCTCAATTTAACTGCATAATTCCATAGAAGAATCAGCAGCCAAGAAATTGTTTTAGATCTGTGCAAGGATTACACAGAGCCTTATGTCATCCAAACTTCACATAAAGAAGCAGAAACTGAGCATCCGTCAAACAAGTTTGTGACTTCAACATTAAGACAAATTATTTCAAAAACCATTTCTTGTTAAATGTAGCTTTTAACTTCACATTTTCAATTCTTAATGTAACTCCAACAGGACAGATACTGGAGAAAATCTCACAGTCACTGTATGTAATGAAACAGAAGCAGCTCTATCTCTGCCCCATTTGGACAAAGAACACTCCAGCAGGTTTTTTCAACTAAGAAAATGTGTTATTTCAGTAAATATGTGTTTCAATCATCATTATTACAAATGTGTGTTCAATTTGCAATGCAGATCTGAAACTGAGGTCCATTTGACAATGACACTTTCGGATGTCTCTAATGCCACGCATGAACAAAACCCAGTTCATTTAGATGGATCTCCAGAACCAAATGATGCTGCCACACTTTCAAACACTAAAGAGAAAGAAATAGTGAATGAACTACAACTAGAAGATGTAGATGCAACATTTACCAACATTCACAAGCTCCCTGAGGAACATGTGGATGTAGATCACAAGCCTGGTGAACATTGCAACACTAACACTAAAGAAGCAACCAAGGACACGCCATCAGAGCAGGAAGATCTTCACCAACAAGACATGAAGGAAAACATGTCTTTGGAGAATCATGCTCAAATGTTAGAAATCCCACTTTTAATCCACACTTCAGTCAGCATCCCTGCACCAGAAACCAACTCTACCTCATTTGATGCCAGTCATGTAAGTTATAGCAATGTGAGTGTATGTACTATTCAAATGAGAATTTAACAACAATCCAACCAATACAATACTATCTCCCTGTAGAGTGAAGAAATCAAACCGCAAGAAACAGTGAGCATGGGCCCTCCTCAGTGGAGAGACGTGTCAGACTCTCAGTTAAACACCATCGACATGACGTGAGGCTCTTTATTTATGAAAGGCAGTAACAGCAATATATTACAATCATTTTTGTACAATTATTGATATTGTCTCTTTGAATGATGTTTAAAGCTATGATAGATCACAACTTGAAAAAAAACGACAAGTGTAAAACTGTTAACATTCATTTCCTTGTAATTCAGAGTTCAGGCGGAGGCTGATGGAAGTGAGGTTTCTCCTGGAGGTTATGAAGATGTCACATACTTAGTCGGTGGCCTCATCAAAGAGCTGTCCTTCTTAAAGTGAGTCATTGGCTTTATTTTTTTGTTATCAGCTCATTAGCTCGTGATAAAACCACCGCAGGTGCCCCCCTCTCTGGAACTCACTCCCATCAAGAGTGAGTTCCAGACCCATCAGAAAGTCTGATTCACTACAGAACTTAAAACACTTCTCAAAACCCACCTGTTTGCCTTTCCTTAATTTTGTTCGTTTATTTGTATGTGTGTTTTGTAAAAGGTCTTTCAGTTTCGAAGCACTATACGCATTTGATGTATTATTAGCAGTATAACAGTAGCTATAACAGTAGTTTTTTGCAATGAAAGAAATGGAGGAGGAGGAATTCTGAAAACTTCTTTATCATTTCAAAAACAATTTTTTGCTTCTTTTCCAACAGTCGAACAGTAATGGCAACTCACCGGGAGCTGGAAAACTTACACCGCAGGGGTAAAAACACAAGGAATTCTATCCGCTAAGACGAAAATTGTCTGCCACTTGAGTTCAGAAGATACACTTAGTAAGTTACCTGCTTACGATTACCTTGTTATGTGTAATTGTATGTTGTCATTTCTGATTTTAAAATTAGTGTAAAAGCTAGTTGTGTTTTCAAGATGTTGAGTGTTGAGTTCAGTAGACAAGATTCATGCCTAGGTCGCCGGTTTCTTCATTAAAGAGCTCTTGTAACATTAAAAAGCTGTGTTTCAAACTAAAATGTGATGCCTTAGAACTGGCATCTGAACGTGAACAATCTTCATAATATAAAATGTTAAATATTGAAGACATGGTGGGTTCTGTTTTGTCTTAGTGATTATCCTTCAATGCATTCACAGGAGGTTTGGGTATGGACACCAACTAACCACAATTAAAATGTTAAAACAAAACATACATTTATACCGTTTTGTTTCCAAACAAGATTATGGAACATCGTTAAATACAATCACAAATACAATCACAAATACACTCCTTTCAAGCCGACGAGGCCTCCCCAGCTGGACCATGACTCCAATCAGCTGCGCGCACGGCTGCACCACTACTCTACAGGGCATGCAAACAAAAACACAAACACAACACACGGATATAAATTATAACGTCTATAAAAAAAAAAAAGGTTTTGCCTGCGTACGATGGGTGTTTGGGGCCGGATGGACCTCCTGGTTCAGCGTCTTGACTTTGCGTAAACAGAGCTATAGGCGCTGTCCACTCTCGGGCAGAAGCGCTTGGTGTGGGCTTTGGTTCCGGTGGCTCCGCACAGTGGGCACACATACTGCTGCAGATAAGGGCACAACACCTCCCCGGACTGATTTTTTAACCAGTGTGAGCCGTAAACAGCCTCTGACTCCCCGTTGTGTTTGCAGAAACTGCAGAAAATTCGCTCAGTCGCAACTCCCGGGGGTTTGATGCGTGGCGACTTCTTGCGCTCTTTGGGGCCCTTAGTAAGTTTTTGCGCAGTCTTCAAACTGCCTGTTTCTCCGGAAAAAGGCGAAGCGAAACACAAGCCACTTGTGCACGGAGGAGATGCCATTGGAGGATCATTGTAGAGACTATGCGGAGAGCTGATGCACATTGAGAGTAGGGCTCGGCACAGTTCATCCGTCTGAGGGTAAGGAGAGGGAGGCATGGGACTTGGCGCCTGGCTGGCGCCGCTCCGGCCCAGGATTCGCTTGATCGTATCCGACAAACCCATATAGTCTCGCCAGGGCTGAAAACTTGGGTTTTCTGACTCCATGAAGTTCGGCAGGTGGTAGAGCAGTCTTGTGTTTCTCATTCTCCTGCCTGTGGCCCAGGCTTCTGTTGCTTCGTCTCTCTACAGGCGAGTTGAGATGTTCTTTGCAACTTGATTGGTAATTGCGTACAAGTGTTGATTGATGGCACGTTTCTAGCCGCTCAACCAATCAGAGGTCTTTCGCCGTGCGGGGGGGGGGGGGGGGGGGGGGGGGGGTCTTACTTGTTTTTATGCTGTCCAATCCCTTTCCGCTATACGCGCAATATCAAATGGCAGACGCCCAATTTGCCAACTAGAAATGTGTTTTCAGTGCGAAGATATCGTAGATTTGTGACCTTCATACCTAAATGAGTAACAATGGAAGTTTACAGAATACATCTTTATTTGATAAAAATCTGTTGGAGAAGCTCGGTTAAAAAAGAGACAACAACAACAAAAGTTAAAATGACCAATCAGCTTGAGGGTCTGCTGCTGGGTTGGTACCGCTGTTCCACAGATCTTCTGTACTTCTATAGGAAACGTATGATTATTCAGCAGCACAGTTCCACATGTCTATCATTAATGTAATTTCTCAATGAGTGCCATTCCAGGCCTTTGACTGACCCACAGCGGCTATAGGGCAGCTTCAGTGCAGAGTAGAGTTCGGGTGTGCTCGGTGTCTGAATCCTCACTGTCCTGGGATAGCCAGTAACATCCCCTCTTTGCCGGATAGCTGTTGGAGTGACGCTCATGTGACGTCCTGGTGTGTTCAGGGGCTTAATCCCAGACAAACCTGTGCAAATAGAGGCCATTGCATTTCCATTTCCCTCTACAAGAATAAATGTCACTTCCGAGGCACTTACCAAGGCCTGCGCTTTCCCTCTTGTTACTGGGCTGAATCCCTTTGCCATAAACGGGAGAGTCACACAGAAACTGATGCTTCACAAGTGAGGCTTTTCTTTGCTCAAAATCCTGCCGCTAAGATTTCAACTTTTAAATATATAACAACTTTGAATTATTTTTTTTGTATTTTTAAGCTATGCTCTCATCACTTCACCTCGTGGCTCAGACGAATAGCAGCTTCAGTGAAAGCTTTTCTCTCGCTTTCAAAAGTCCTCCTCTGGACCTCAAACTCAGTCCAGTGCTCACGAAGCCGATCCCACTCTTCTATAAAGTAACAATTACCCAGTTCGGATGGGACAGGTGACCAAACGCTATCCTGAAGACAAGAGCTTTGATTTATTTTTTGAAACATGTTTACCCCCCCTCCCCAACCAACAGCTACCACCTGCAGAATCTTCTGTTGCATTTGAACAAGTCGTTGGCTTTCTTTCAATTCACCTTCTAGATGTGCCATAAGCTTATCTTGGTCGGTATTAAATGCAGTTGAGCCTTCTAAAAACAAAAAGTATCATTAAGTATTATTGATTCTTTTGAAGTACATTGTGTGGAGTTTACCTTTATAAATGCAGGTGCCCAGTTTGCTCTGCACTTGTCTCCAGCTCTGCACCACACCTCCTGTCACATGGTCCCCAAGCGCTCGCTCTGCCTGGTCCAGCCGCTTATCCAAATAGTGAGTTTCATCCAAACAACCCTCAATTTCAGACAGTGTCTAAAACAAAATGATAGATTGTGGTTGTACGTTCTATTGCTGAAAGTCCTACGATTACCTGCTCCATGTCACATCTGAGGGCATGCAGCACCGAGGTGAGACTGTGGCGCAGCTTCATGGCCTCTCTGAGCTCAGCCTCTCTACGCTCCAGCATCAGAAGAACTGCTCCATCCTCTTGTCTTCTATTGAGAGTAAAGAAGTCAGAAATCTTCCATGAGCTTACTTTTGATTTATAATGAAAAGCAACCTACTTTCCTATGAGTTGTTCTCGTTTTCCTCGAGCACTTGGGAGGGTGTTTAAGATCCTTATAGCTGAACAAATAAAATCAATTTTATCTCATAATTTAGTCAAAAGCTATATAAATACATCTTACCGGGGGTTTTGTCCTTGTGTCGGTCAGTGAAGAGTGACAGCTTCTCCTTCAATTTGTTTATGTTCTGCTCTCTGCGCTTCAATTCTGCTTCCTGCTGGCGACTTCTCAGCTGCAGTCGATTGCACTAGAGACAGAATGGAAAATACTTGGCAAAAAGTTTAAGCATCTTTATATCTACATCATACTTTGGTCCGTTCATATTTCAGCATTTCTTGAAGTCTGGAAACGTGATCATCCACTGTTTTTAGCTGCTCCTAAAACATAGTAAAATGAACAGCAACCAATATTTTTTGGTTATTGGTTAGCATCGATAATTTTTGATGTTGTGGGTTCAAAATTACCCGCAGAGATTCTTCATTATCAGGTTGCCCTTCTCGGTCTTCCCACCAGATGGTGCTGTCATACTGTGGACTGGTGGGGCTTGGATCCCTGTGTTCAAAAAGTCCTAAACCACATGCAATGTTTTGTTTTTATGACATTTTACATAAGGGAAAACACACATGATGGAAATATTAGGTACCTGTTGGATCTTGTAGACTTCCAAATTTCGTTTGACCAAAGCGGGAAGCCATCTTCACACAACTTTGAACAGTAAAAATGGATAATCCTGCAACGTCATGCACACATTTTCTACTTATACCAGATAAAAAGGAGTGTAGCTGACTCTCGCCCCTGCACAGTAAGCTGCAGTCCTGTCCAGGTGATGTCACTTTAGCTAATTACTTGCAATGTAGTGAAGAGGTGTGAACTTGTGATAGAACTAGCAGAGATTTGCCTGCATTCAGAACAAAGCGTTATGACTTGGAGGGTTCAGTTTCTTCCATGAGTCAATGACAACATAGATCATAATTAGATCTTTTATTTTGTCATTTTTCTGAATACGGTCCAGTTAAGGCATTGAATAATTATTATGAAGTTTGCTCTTTTACTGGTTAAATAAAGTCATAACAATTACAAGCTTTTGATGCAATCCACCTGCTGGAGTTTAGCTAGAAATGGTACAAACTAACATATACACGACTATCAAATGTGTAGTAAAAAAAATGCTGAACAACAGAAACTGGCATCCCAAATGAATCTGCTCTGGGTTAGGGTAAATCAAGACAAAATTCCACGCTTAATGTTTGTTTTTCTGTTTGGGAACACAAATAAAATAAAACCTTTTAACTCATGTGGCCATTGTGTGTATGTCGGGTACACACCTGAGCCATCTTCAAATTTACCCACCAAAAGTGACTAAAGAATTACCCCCCTTTTTTTTCCTAACTTGACCAGCCCTGGGTCATTTAAACCCGAGGGTTGCACAATAGTTAAAGTTGTATTTAAAGTTTATCCGAGACCACATGCTCAAGTAGTACTATTGGCTATTGAAAACATGGATACGGTCAAACACAGAAACGGTGTCTTTAATAACGTTTATTTTCTAAAAGATTCGCTACAACAGCTCAGAAGTTAAAAACAAATTGGGTTGATAGGTCAACTCCAGTGTGCACTATTGTCAGCTTGGTTACAGCCCGATTTAATAAATATAATATCACAGTCAAACAGTTGGCAATATCTGCGTATGCATATTTTTAAGGCTTTTGTGTTTCTTAAAATCAAAAGACAATAACACAAAACATTATTTTAACATGACATTAAATACAGACAGACAAAACAGATTCCTAAACAATTACAATCGTATGTCTTAATGAGTACCAGATAAAGAAAAAACCATGGATGATTGTAGTACCCAGCTGACGATTATATAGTGTTGTGTTTAGCATCAGGGTGGAAATAATTCAAAGTTGGTGTCCATAATAAGAGTAACCCATTGTGTAAATGTAACAGATATATACCATTCAATTTGGTAAAAATTCAGGGCCTGTTTCCGGCGAATGCTGCTGGTAGATCTATAGTAGTGGCCTTCAGTGGAAATGTCAGGAGTATCTTCATAGCTTTGAAGAAAAAGAAGAGAAGAATATTACAGAGGCTTTAAAGGGTTTTGGTCGACCTTCTTTTGTGCTGGACCGGATTTTGTTACACTCATTTTGTTACTTGATTCTGAAAGATCTTCAGTTCACAAAGCCTAAAACAATAATTAACATAATGATGATAATCAAACCAGACTTTATGGTTCCTTAAAAATAAGCTCAATTCTCACATAACATCAATAGTAGCCGTGTACAAATGACCACAAATTATCATAGCTTGTCACCAGACTAAATATCACAAGCAAAAACTGTTCTGGTGCACACAGCAGCTCACAAAGTAACACCTTGTTTATTTGATTTAACTGTATAAAGCTTAAAATAACATCAAATTACATTTCCACCAATTGAAGGTCACATGTTTTGGTACCAGGAAGGCAATGACACTTCATGCAACTAAACAAATACAAAAACTAACAATGGTAAACAATGGTATCATAATCGAACATTTAAAAGAGACACAACCTTTGCCAGGGTTTAGTCAACATTAGAAAAAATATGAAATTAATTAAATAAAAATATTGATTAGTATAATAATTAAGATAAGAAAGAGATCCTTTATTTGTCCCACAGTGGAGAAATGTTGGTAATAACTTTAAGATTGGAAGATTTTTATAATGATCTGGTTTTAACAATTCCCCCCCACAACAAAAAATATGCACATACACACACCAATAAGAATGTTATAATATATATTTTATAATGAGAGGACGTACATCCATTAGATTTAATGTATTGTAAACATTATGTAAACTGACATTTTTAATCATTGAGGTTTTAAATCTTAAATAATCTGACCCTCAAATGTTATAATAAATGTTTATTTCACACATGTTTAAACTTTTTTTTAGAGCAATATAGAAGAAACTGAATTAATTTTCTAGCTATAAACTGTTAAATACTGAGACTTTAAAGATGATCACATGATGGAAGTTGAGAGTTGGTAATTAATGTTGATGACTCTGGTCCCTTAGTTTATGTACGGTAGTTTCCTCTGATTTTAAAGCTTTTGTAGCTTGTGATTCCAAGGATGAGCAGATATCGACAATCATTTATAAGCAGTAAATATATCTGTAGCGGTTTTGCCCGGATTCAGTGTAATTAACAAGTTCATAAGAGTAATTAACTGAGCCGCTTAACCCTCAGACAAACAGCAGACCTACTTTAAAACAGGGAGCAGGATTTGGGGGGTCTGAAGGGATTATCGCTGGACGGGACCCCCACCAGAAGAGGGTCCTTAGAGGCATTTTGGAGACAGAAGTTCCTCAGTTCAGCTGCAGCTTGGGACACCTGTTGTGACAGACAGAATATGTGCGTACAATAAATAATAATTAACTTTGGAAATTGTCACAAATAATTGAAGCAGCACTAAGAATAGAACATGTTTTTAAATATTTATAAAATGTCTTGAGTGATTTTGTGTATTATCCTCAATACCGGGATTACGACAGAATTGACTTGGTGTATAAAATAACAAGATAGACTAGGGCCCATGCAAGTGTGCCTGAGAAGTTGTTCACAGCATGATTTGATACGTCTAAATGAATCCCGAGCGTGTGAATGTTTGCTTTTACGCAAAGTTGAACTATAAGGTCACAAAACCGGACTAAACTGGACAAAATAACAGGGGAACCAAAAGAAGTAAGATTATGTCCTTTATTTTTATTTATAATTCCCAAGTTGTACATTTTGCATTGTATTTGCATGTAGCGGCCCTGGTCTGTTGTTTTTACTCCACAACCAGGAAAAGAACAAGTCTATATGGATAAAGTTAAAACCAAAACCATTCTCTTGGGTGACTGCTCGGTTTGTGGACACAGTCGGCCCAACGAGACGTCAAAACACGGAAGAATGATTACTACTTGTAGCTGCGTTTGTTTAAGTCCGAATTGCGCACTAGACACACATTTATAGACTGATGTTTCAATACAAAATGTTATGAAGAAGTAGTAACCGTGTCCGTCGTTCAAAAGTAGTTTTTGAAGTCGTTTTGTACCTTGATCCTGCGGATACTGGCCTCAAACCTCAGCTGCTTGACCGCCCTGTGAGCGATGATCAAGTTGTTGCTGGCATTGTTGTTGGACATGGTGAGACAATTTTGAGCGAACGAAAAATGACAAAATATGTAGATATAGTTTATTATATTGAAAACAGAGAGCCGATGTCAACTCTCCAGCTGGTGATCGCCAAACCCAGCTCTGACCACAGTGGGAAAAGGTTGGCCTAATGATGTCCCGCCCCCTATGGACTGGTCCATATGCCTGATTGGCTGCTGCACTGTCAATCAAGTAGTCTCGTTGAAAACCTGACCTTTTTACATATTTCTGCAGTGCTGTGACTTTCCTCGAGAGCGCTATGCGTGTCTGACCTTCACATACAGGCAGAAATTCTCACATGTCTAAGGTATCAACTAACTTTTACCCTAATGATATGCACGATTATATGCCATTTTAACAAGTTGCAAAGGATGTCAGAGTAGAAATGTGGGTGTTACTCACTTGGTACCAACCTAAACCAGACTTCTATCCCACTTCCACCAGAATAGCTGATTTTCATTAATACTACATTTCATATAGATTTTTACAAAGTAAAGACGAAAAGAGAATTTCAACATAATGGTTTTTATGACTGTATAATTTATTGCTGTGTAACTTACAGTTGATAAAAATGGAAAACCCAATGTTATTCACAGGTAGACAACAAAAATACTTACAGGGTTCAGAAATATCAAACATGAAAAGCAAGATCTTCAGTTAAGTTAACAACTTCATGCATAAGACTTCACTTGATAAATAATGACAAAAATATATTAAGAGAACCTTTATTTGTTCCACTGTGTGTTGGTGTCACAGCGCACATTCAGGACAGTAGGAGCTAAGAGTATAACCCAAAGGCATACAATGTCCAATCACAAAATGTGAATCTTGCATTCAGTCACAGGCTATTATACTTTAGCAGATAAGCACCACTGTAAAAACTTTCTGGCAGAAAGCACAAAATACAATGCCTTAATTGGTTCCCCCTGTAAATTGAAAATAACAAT